AAAAAAAAAAAAAAGATTTTTAACAAATTTTTGAACATACTAGAAATGATTAATAAAATAAGCAAAAATACTTTGATCTTTCCTCTTAAACATTTTTAATAAACATTGTTTTCATCAAGTTTGGGGCTTTTTCATTTAGTAAAAATCATGTATTTCAATATTACCATATAGTTTTTATTACCCCCCCCTTTTTTTTAATAAATTTTATGGTTTTATTACACAAAGTCTGCTTTATAGTAATTTGCATGCAGCTTTAACTCAAGCATAGTAAGCAAGAGGCTCTGAAAGCAATACATCAATAATTGCCATCTGTAAATTCAGATATGAGTATCATATCTCACATGATAAAAACATTAGTAAAAAGAGAGAAGAATGGTTCAAGCCTACAAAATGGTATCTAGACTTCAGATGTCTAATAGTAAAATAAAATACTGAGTTCAACGAGACCAACATTTTGTTACTATAACAGTTAAGAAAATGTTAAGTGCATAAAAAAAGTTATTCTGAATGAACTCAAATTGCAACAATTTTTCATTTCATAGATGTTAAAATGTAAATTTGTATAAAACGAAATTGAACACAAATTTGGTTAATGAAAAATATTTATATATTGATCTCAAGACAAAACCTGCACATTAAATACACATTCAGTTAGGATATTTAAATAATTCCAATCCTGAAGAGAAGTAGAATAAACAATTACATTAGAAACAATAACAATGATTTTTAAACTTATAAAAATTTTTTTTCATTTCTATTTTTGAATATCTACATCTTCATTACATTTTTTCTATATTTCAATGAAATTGAATGAGTCAGCAGAAAATAATGTCACATCACAGACTTGATTATAAACAAAATGAAAAACAACCAGGCTATACTAGACGAATTCACTAGAAGAAAGATGGAAACTATAAATTGTCTAAAACATTTTTGTCAATTGTTCTTTCCTAGAAAACACAGAAATAATGAGAAAAAAAAGCGAATGAAAAACTAAATCTAATTTTTTTATATGGAAATTAAACTTAGTAAAGAAATAAAAAAAATGAAGGATTTATATAAATGACCTAAAAATATTAAATTCTAAAAGAAAATAATTTCATAATGCAATATCAGTTTAATGAAACCAAAGCTAAATTTAAGTGCTTTTCTGCAATAAGAACTGTTAAAAAACACCATGAAATAGAATATTAAATAGCAAAGGCATTCCTGTAATGAAGTATCAAGAAAGCTTAATAACAATTCCTTCATGATTAGAGATTACCTCAAATACAATAGAAAAAAATACTTTATTGAAAATAGAATGCCATTATTAATAATTTTAGCAATTCCATGAGATCAAAGTTGAATTAAGATAGCTTCTTCAATCCTCAACTTCAAAATTTGATTCAGTATTACAGGAATTAGTGAAGCCTTTGGTTTATTTTCTGCATCTTTTAACTAGTGTATTCAGTAAATACTTAACATATTAGGTACTAAACCATGTATAAAGTTAGTAATTTGGACATTTAAAAAAGTGTGGAGTGAAAAGGAGACATGGAAATAATTATAGTGAAATGAATCATTAACAAGAGGTTCAGCATTGTAAGCCATATATGCACTGCTTACCTGGCTGTCTAGGTTTATTACTACTTAGTAATAATAAACCTAGCTACCCACCCACTCACTCACACATGACAAAGTTTATCAACTGCATGATCTGCATTATGAAACACAGAGTAAAGGATTAAAATAAAGACAGATTTTCTCAAAGGTTTCTTCAGCATAGGGAAGGGGGTAAGAGCACCTCTAATTACCTACCATTGTTCATTATGAGGAATGAGTAGATTTTTTTCCCCTCAAAATCTAGTCTAAAACCTGCTTAAAATAAAAAGAATTAGTTATTTACATTTATTGTCAAGAAAGCTTCTGCCATAATGGTATGGTTTAAGTTTTTAGCTCAAGAAAAACAGAGGTAAAAAAAAAAGATTTGTTTGCCTTCCAAGTGGTGGAGGGCCTTAAAAATCAATATGTAATAATATCCTGGACTCAAACACTGACTGCTGGGTAATAATATGCAACTATCTCGGCCACCAGTTAGACCAATACAGACACAATGATGCCCAACTAAGCAATTTGATAGCAGTTGTTGCATTGAATGATGAATAAGCAATATTCAGAAATATGCAAATTCAAATAGCAATTATGTTGTTTCATTCATTAAAAAGCTAAAGAAAAAAAAAACATTTATTATCCAGGTGAGGGTTACTTTTTGGTGCATGCGGCAATAAAGCTAGTATAAGTAACAACATTTATACAAAATGTTGATGATCCCAGTTGGGATAAATTATGTTTTAAAATGAGACAACAGAATTCAAAAGGAAAACTCCTCCATTGCAAGGTGACTTAAGCAGCCAGATTTCTCTACGGTTATCAAGAGTTCTAAAAAAAGTATCAGTACAGTCTATATCACTAAATAAGCGTGGCTATAGCTGAGAGATTTATCATCAGTCTCCTTCCTAAGCGCCGTTTTTTGCACTTAATAGACTGGCGTCAGGAAAGGTACCGGGTCATGAACTATACATAAGGAAAATAATCATCTATGAAAAAAAAAAAAAAAAGATTTATTCATTCAAAGTATCATCTCACACAGGAAAAAGATTCTTTAGTTTAAAAATTTTAATTATTCAATGCGTATCACTTAGAAATGATATCGGAGCTCTACACTCTCAGACAACAGGAAATCAATTTTTAATCACGTTCGTTAATAATTTAGAGATCTGACTCAACTCTTAGAAAAAATGCACAATTACTGCCCCACCCCATCACTTTTAGACTCCTATTTAGTTTTAGCTGATGATGGGCTTTTCATTTTTCCTTATTCAATTGATTCCAATTTATTTTCTCTATTTACTCATCCATGACGACTTTTTTGTTTTTACCTTTACTTCCTCTTAGCCTTATCAGACTTATGAGACGAATTGGTAATTATAGGGATAATGGGGGACATTTTTTATTTTAACGGTGATTATCATTTTTTACGGCTTTTGCCTAATGGTGATCAGAAAAAACATTTCAAAGTAGTTAAAAAAAAAAAAAAAAAAACTAGCCTAACAACAAACTAAATTGAACTATTTACGTTAAGTTGCATGAATAAAAAAAAATTATTTAACTTCTAGTTTTTTTTGTTTTTTTTTTTTTAAATTGGCTGGAATTTTATGTCAAACAGAAATAAATCAGCATTTTATTGAAGAAATAAATACAAGCACAGCAGTCGCATAAACAATTTAAAAGTTAAAAAAAAACAAAAAACAACTCAAGGTCCAAGGGTGTGTCAATTCTACTTCTGAGTATGCTATCGATAGTACACTAGTTTTATTGGCCTATTGAGGCTGGAAAGTGAAAACTTAACAAAAGTGACGTATTAATTAAAAAAATATCATTCACAGAATCTTTCATGAAATTGACATCTGGAAATAGGAAATACATTGATCTTAATTGCATGATTGTTATCTTTTAAGACTTCTCTAAAAAGTTTAGGATCTTCACGTGATTGTCAATGAGATCATGACTAAATGCATAAACAGCCGTTAAGAGCTTTTTTTTTTTTTAATCAGGATAAAAGTAATAAAAATGAGAAAAGTAATAAAATTAAAATTTTAAGTTGTTTTAAAGAAGCCAAATTGATTTAAAAAATTCAATATGAAATGAAATCTTTTTCATATCTTTCATTTTAGAATATTCGAGATAAACAATAAATGAAAACAATATTGGATACTTTTGCATAAATTTTATTCGAATAAAAATTTTTACAAAAAAAATTTATTTCATTTTAGCTTTAAAAAAAAAAAAGTAAATACATAATTTATTATCTTTTTTAATTTATTTTTTAATGAATAAACAAACACAAATTTTTTTCATTTAAAAAACATCGGATAAAAAATTTAAACTGAAAAAATAAAATAAAAAAAAATAAATGATTGACGAGCCGAAACCCACCTGACATAATTTTTAAGTTTTTAAAAAAAATTAGTTTTAAATTTTAAGTTGTAAATGAAAAAAAAAAAAAAATTTTAAAAAGACTTTTGTCAACAGAAACATGTTTTGAAAGGGACAAAAAACACATTTATGATTTAAAATCCGAATTTTATAAAGAAAAATAAATTATTAATGAAATGGAAATCTTTTTCATATCTTTCATTTTAGAATATTCGAGATAAACAATAAAAACATTATTTTATAAAGAAAATTGTATTTTTAACCATTTAAAAGAGGGTTCTCTTCAGTTTTTCAGTTTTAGAAGAATTTACCTTTTTTTTTTTTTTTTCATTAGGAATGGGCAAAATTTTCTAAAAAAAATATTTCAAAAATAATTTCATTCATTTTCGATTTTGTCGGCAAATCAATATGTAAAAAAAAAAAAAAAACTATGTTATTTTTATTAAACAAAACCAAAACGACGTGTTAGAAAATATTAAAAATTTCAAAAATAATTAAAAAAATACTTTTTCTTTCATCTAAATAATAACATAAGCATTTTGACGATAAAAAAACAATTAAATTTAAGAAAAACAGTTCTTCAAAAAACATAGGAAAGATTTTTTAAATAAAAAACAAAAAACAGAAAAAAACATAAGTTTAAATAAAAAAACAAAAACGTGAAGATTGATGTTTTAAAAATATTTTCAAACCGAAACAACTAGAAGAAAGAAAAAAAGAGTTGGCATTTTCTGGTAATCTTCTTCAAAATAAAACAAAATTTGTTTATTTATTGTAATAATTCTTAAGCCATATATAATAACTGAATAAAATTATTTCTCAGTGATTTTTTTATTTTTTTGAATTGATAAACTTTAACGTTTCGACAAAGTGTGTGTGTGAGACACTGTCTTCTAGTGACAAAGAGATTTCATTTAAATAAAAAAAAGACTTCTTTTAATAACCTGAAATAAATAAATTCTCAACACTGAAGAAAAAAAATAAAAATTAAACAAAAATATATAATTTTTTTTTTTTTTTACCTGTTTTCCTAAGCTCTCGTTTATAAACAAGGACCCTGCAAGATAACCAGCCCTGCCGACGAAAAACTCATCTGAACCATACGGAAAAATCTTAATAGGTTTGCAAAGCTCGCCTATCGAACTATATTTTTGGGCAAGTTTCTCAGCCTGGGCACCGTCACCGACATGCGAGGCGATAACCGTCCCAAGAGCATAGACCCCGGCCTTACCGAGGAGGAACGATGTTGGGGGGTCTCTGTCATTGCTGCTCTCAGAGTAAGCAAGGGCCGTGGCCAGATATTGACCGCACAATTTGGTGTAGGTCTGTCGCAGTTCGGGCCTAAGCAATTCCGAGCGAGACAGTCGGTACAACATGTAGGCAATGCCGGCATTACCGACGTACAAGCCACCGTCGCAGTTCTCAACTGATGAAGGCGCCATGTTGCTGGTTATCGTATTTACCGTCGATTCGATCGCCTGTATCCATTTTGTCCTGTCCACCTGAACAGCTGAACCGCTCGCAACATCTTTGTATCTATTTGGAAAATACCTCATTATTAAATAATTAATAAATGCACCAACTGACTTGATGAATTTTTTTTTCTTTAGTCTTAATTTCTGGTCTCAAAGAACACTTTGGTGGCGACAGAACCTCCGTTAGTTGCTTTAACTTTTTGTCCAATAATCCAAGTACCTTTCTTTTTTAGAATTAATCTTCCTTCCAGCTGTTTTTTTTAATCGCCCAAATATCAGTTTGTTTTTTTAATCTCTAAGTGATTATAAAACTTCAAAGTTATACAAAAACACCGTCTTTGACAGTTGAATCCCGGATTCCGAGTTGCTTGCTTTTTAAAATGTTAATAATCCGTTCCTCCGTTTACCTCTTGCTTAACTCCCTCAAGGGGTTGGTAGCCCCTAACTATTCCAGCAGCTTTTCAAACTGAAAGTAGGATGCTGGTGACTACACTTCCAAGGAAGATGTGATAATTGGAAGAGTTGTACAGCAGCAGAAGAGAGCCGTCTGCAAACCCGACATTATCATCCGTATTATTTTTCCAGTTGTCTCCCTTGGACTTGAGTTACGAAAGCAATGCGCATGACGCCGATCATTACCGAATATTTTCGACAACTTCCGACACACACACACTGTTTAGTTTTCGATTAAAATGTTTTATTTATCATTTTATTTCATGTAAAATACATCAGCTGTAGTTTTTCAATAAAAGAAAAACATTACTACTTTTCAAATAAGAAACGTAAAACAGAACATACGATTTATTATATTAATTTAAATAAAATTACTACAATTGTTTTTTATTTTTTTTGGAAGTATCGTATGGAAAGAAAATGAATTTGATTTGATCCTCAAATAATTTAAATTATTTCCAAAATGTTTCCCTATTTTTTTACGAGTAACGCAGTCTATTTTTAAATATTGCGTTTCTTTAGTATTTTTTTTTTTATTTGATTTAATTTGATTTTTGTTTAATTTTATGCAACAATTGATTGTTGAATTACACATTATCATTATTCTTCCGTTCTGGCTACCCACTACTATTGACAATTTATAAATTAAAAGTAAAACGGAAATAAGTTATCTCATGTTGACTCAGTAACTTAGTCAAACAAAAAACATTTAATTTTTAAAGATTTGAAAGTTGAAACTATTCATGACAGAAAACGAAAATTAAAGTTCCACATCCACTGATTCGACACCCAAACAGTACTTCATGCATAGCATAATGTTTTTTTAGAGAATAAGTTACTGAGTTTTGACTTTTAACTTAAGGCCTCATGGCCTGTGAACATGCTAACTAAACTTTTAAAACTATTTAATTTATTTCAGTCCAGTTCTACATGGACTTGACTGTCCTATCAATACCTCTCCCTACGGTCATTTACCCACTGAAAGAGGAAGTACCGAGATGTTTTTTTGGTCTTATGTACGCAGACTCTCCCACTTTAAATTCGTACTTGTGCCACATCCTGTTCGAGTAGGCGTTTGGAAATATCGCTTGTAAAACCGCTTTATGGTATATCGTTATATATTATAATCCCATCGACATACAATCAAACAATTAATTTAGGCATATGTATTTTTTTAAAAATGCAAAAATAAAGTATTTATCAATATTTTTTACTTAGTATTAGGCGGCTATGATTTTCAACGACAGTGTTTCCATTTACGGCCCATGTGTTGAATCTTTGTGAAGGTTACGCGCAAGCTTTTTTTGAGGTTATATGGAATCGGGATCCTGTTTTTTCCTCTAAAGCTGCGAAAAGGATCACGCAGTTTTTGAAGACATCATGTTGATCCTTAGGACCCCCGGTTGCCTTCTCCGGCGAAATGGTATCAACTTTTTTAAAACTATCGGCAATGTAAGTCTTTTTTTATACCTGCTCTTGTTTAATTTGACACTGTCTTTTCACCTGCGCAATTTTCTTTTCTCAGGCCCAACAAACCGGCTTTTTAAAATAATTTTATTAATATTTAAAATAAATCCTACTATTTTTGTAGATTAGCCTTTATCCCTATCTACTATTTTTTTTCTTAAATTCATTTAAGTTAAAAAAAAATTCTAAAAGATAAGAATCTTTTTTTCTGCGTGTCTTTGCCCAATCGTTAATTCTGGAACTGAAAATAAAGACCTTTTCTTAAAATTAAAAACATTTAATAATTTCGAAACTGTGAACTACATTTAAGAAAAATAAAAAATAGTTTTATTGTAATTTAATTACCTCTACGAATTCTCTAAAAAATAGTATATCGTGATAAGAATGCCCCGAACTTAATGAAAACAATAGTTTTATCGTCAAAAATCATTGTTATTAAGAAAATCAAAGTGTTAAAAATTTTGCTTTTCTTGCGTCAGTGGATGGAGCCTATAAATTGGCATAGCAAATTTTAGCCTCTTTTTCCGGTGAAAGTGTAGCGGACCCCCTGGAGGCGGGCGCGATATGAAACCACGGCCCGAGCGTCCCATATCGTAGGTGATTAGAGTACAAGAGGCCCGCTAACGTTTTTCGTATTAAAGACGTGAACTCTGACAAGGTGAAACAAATTGGACAACAGAACGAGGATATGTAATGCTAAGTAAGGAGAAGTCGTGGATTAGGTTGGTCTGGCAGTCGTGGTAATGTTGGTCGGACTGGTTATGTCGTCAGTTGGAGTTGAGATGCAGACGTTCCAGTCGTGTCGACGGTTGCACGTTGAGGTTGACAACGGGATGCTGAGGTGCATTCGTTCTGGTCATGTCAACAGTTGGAAGTTGCAGTACAGGCATTGCTGGTCGAGGTCGGTGTCGAAACCTCCTGTAGTAATTACTACCGAGAGTATACAGGAAAGGTTGGTTGGTCATCGCAGGTGATCGCTGCTGGTCATCACAGATGATTACTGCTGTTCTGGTTTCGGACTGGACATCTCGGAAGGAACAGGGAGCTTGCGTTGCGATGTTGTTAGGCATATCGAATGTCCGGTGCTGGCATTGCGTGTCTGCTGGTTGAGTCTGATCTCGAAACCTCCGGTAATGATCATAACCATAGTGTACGGGAAAGGTTATGGACGACGTGTGGGCAGCCAGCAGGGATGGAATGCTGAGAGTTGAATATGGGCAAGGAGCCAGAAGTAAGAAGGCGAAGTAAAGAGAGAAAGAAAGGTAGATCCAACTGGTCCAGTTGGCAGAAAAAAAAAATGGGAGCATAACTTAATACGCAACCTGGGTCGGCATTCTGGCCACAAAGGCCAGGAGCCTGCATACCAACTGTTCAGGCAGCGACCAGTGTTATGCTAAGGGAGACCAACAATAGACATGGTCTCGCTAAAATGCTAAAAAGTCTCTCTAAAAAACAAGTTGAGATTTGCTATGCAAAAACTAAGGTCTAAAAATGCTAAGAGGTGTACTACAACTAGGTTCGTAATTCCAACGAATTAAAAGGTAATTAGCTCATCCCTAAAATGAAATTACCAGCGTGTAGGGAACACAATCGAAAGGTCAAGGTTGAAATGCCCTGTTCTCTTTCGCTTCAGGGAGCGGCCACTACAAAAGATATTAATTTGGAAATTCTTACAAAAATTAATATTTCTTAAGAAAAGAACCCTAAAATAAAAATATTAATTTAACTTTTTCAACTCATATCGTGCTTTTGAAAGAGATTTTTTAAAATTCTATTACAATTACATAAAACTTTTTAAAAGTGATTTATTTTCGCATAAAATAAAGCTAAAAAAAAATGTATATCTTTTTGTTATTTTACCAGTTTACTCATAAAAGGGATAAATAGTGGGGGCAGCAGGCCACCTACCTGACCAATTTGTGTGAATATATGACAGTATGGTGGAACAAGAGATAAGAAGTTGTGGAGAACGATAAACGACTATTTCCTCAAGGGACATGGCACATAGAAGAAGTAATAAAAAGTGGTGGCATATGTTAAGTTATTAAAAGAATTTTCACATGATTCGTTAAATCAATTAAGTTAAATGTATATTTTCAAATTAATTTATTATTAGTGCAACCAACTCTATCATGGAGTCAGTTTTTTCACCTCCTGGCTTTACTAATTTTTAAATATTTTGCTAGTATCATAACACACAGCCACCTGGTATTGTCAATGCAAGTGTGGTAACTTCAGTACAGCAAAAAGTCATTACAAATATTGTAGAAACTTTGTGCACTTAGCTTAGCAAAACTCAGTGGAAGGGGAGAAATGAAGAAACTCAACTGTAATCTTGTGACGAATATATAGTGAAGTATTTATTGTAAAAAGCCCAATAATTGTGGCACAAAGCCGAAGGGGAGTTGGGGAAAAACTGGTCTTTGCTATCTATCTTAGTCTTAGTTAATCGCAATCACAACCCATTCATCCAATACAATTTATCCAATTAAAACAAGAACTCACCCATCACCATTCAATCCTGCATATACCACAATATCACATATTCACTGGGGAGCTATAAAACACCCCATGATATAAAAATCTCATGAAAGTTTGTAGTGTATTTTTTTCTCCACAAAAATATATAAAAATTTCATGAATCATGAAATGAGAGAGAGGGCATGAACCCAGAAAACTAACAAAAGATTTTAACAAACTAAAACAAAACAAATGTTAGTAGGACCCATCCACCCCTCAAAATAAGAGTGGCTGCTGTATTCTGTTGGTAGACAGAATCAAGTAGCACACTCACTAATGGAGAGAGAAGGGTAAAAATAAATGATGAAATGGGGAAAATCAAAGTCTTACCCAGCTGAGATGAGAAAAAGGAGACAAAAAACAAACTGGGGAGGTTGGGAATCTTGACATGAATCATAACAAAAGAGAATGCCAGGAACAGGCCAGGGGCAACACTTATTCACATTAACTAGGAAAACAAATAGTATCTAGCTTAACCAAGGGGAGGGGGGGATTACAGGAAATTGTCCTGTTGTGACTAAGAGGGCTTAAAAAAGCAACTTAAGGATAGCCCCTTTCACACAAACCAAGCTCGCTATTTTCACCCACCTTTTGCTGAAATCTGTCGACATCAAGCGCTTTCTATCAGTTCTGATCTTCACCTTCAGCTGATGCTGAAAGAATCCAACCAGAGCCTGATACAATAGCATTTGTGTTTCAAGATTCCCTCCATTCGTGACGTCCAGATCACCATTCTTGCCATGGCTAGCAGCATCAGAAACATCATTCATTTCTCCCCAGAATACAGGGGCAACACATTATCACAGATGTATGTGAGATCGATGAGCATGAGCCAATCGGGAGTGATACAAGACGTCAACTCACCAACATAGTCTCAGAAAGGGCACACCTGAGGAGAATGGTAGAAGGCGTGTGAAACTGTTTCTTCTAACCCAAGATCACTCTGATGACAGTTGGGCAAATCCGCCTAGCCCCATCTGAAGATCCTGTCATTGAGTGATAGCACATTCCAAATCAATCGGCAGATAAACACAAACTCAGGGTTTTGAGGTAATTTGCTGCTGGTACCCAAGGCCAGAAAGAGTACAACTTGGCCACTGACAAGCCAAGCCACCCACAGAATGGATTCTTTGTGACTCTCCATTCATTCACAATACAAGATGCTCAGAGGCCATAAAAGGTCAGTGGACTGAGGAACGACCCTCAAAAATGCTCGACACCTTTCCCAGACCTACAACAGCACTTAGCCCAGGAAATAGGAGGAGTGATGGTAAGGCTAGGGAAGGCGTCCCTAACACTCCCCACCAAAATCAAATCCTCAGTCAAAACGCAGTGTAGGAAAGCCAACCTCAAGATGTGTTGATGATTCACCAAGTGTGCCAATCCCAGCCCTCCATAATGGACACAGCATTTATTGTGGACCTTCTGCTTGTGACCACCCCACAAGAGGGTGGACAACAAGCACTCAATCGCCTTCCTACAATCCTTGCAAAGAGGAAGTACAGCCAAGCGGTAAAGGATGAGAGGAAAGACATAAATGGCACATACCTCAGCTCTACCCTTCAAGGAAAACTTCCTTTGGAGCCAAGTCCTGACTGACACTCCAACCATTGCCTGTACTTCTGACCAATTTTTCTGCAGCTAGAGGTCAGGTCCAAACCACACTGTCCAACCAAAGGGCCCCAGAAGAGTGACCCCCTTCAGGCACCTAACTGCAAGTCAGAAGACTTTTTGCAGTTAATCTTGGCCCACATGACCTTTTTGTACCATTCCGGCACCTTCTGTACCTCCTCAATGTCACTGTGACACAACACAAAAATAGATATGCCATCGACGTATGCAGAAACCCTGATTCCACTACAGCCAAACTGCTCAGCCCCATCAGCAAAAGTGCATAATTAATGATCCAGCAGCCTGCAGGAACAGCCACATATTGATGGAGGATCCAAATTGATCAGAACGGCTTAATTGCAGTGCCTGAATTGTTTGGCCCTGGACAATCAAAACACACCTCAAGATCTTGCCAAAATCTTTTAACTTTTAAACAGAGTTATGGGGATTCAAATCATGATCACACCCCTGGTGATCCCCGGAACCATTTGTTGACAACAGAAATTAGAACGTGACAGCCCAAAGTACAATTCATAGGACAAACCATAAAATTTTTTAAATATCAGTTGGTAAAAGCCAAGGAAAGTCAACCAAATAGCTTCAAAACTGTTATGAGGTAAACAAGCTCTCAAAATGCCACTGAAATGCCCCACACATCATTGGTCAATCATTCATAAATTTTTCATGAATGTATTGACCAGAATATCACCAAATGACTTATTGTTTAAAATGCAAAGTAGCGCTCAAAAATTTTAATAAATGACTTTGGAAGTATTAATATTATAAATAAATTTTTAAAAAGTAACAAAGCATCCAGCCAAAAAATTTTGTAAATCAAAATCATTATTCATCAAAAAGTTTCATTTCTTCGTTTACAATGACTGAAAATTAAGTGCTTTTCATCCAGTTTTTTTCTACCAACTGAGTGGTTGTCCTTAATATAGTTTATTTTTCCCAAAAGTCGGGGACAAGTAAAATTTTTCAAAAATTAAATAATGTTTTTGCATTTTCTTACAATTTAGAGCAGTTTTTTCGCCTAACAAAACTGGTAACTGTTTTAAAAAAACTGGTTTTACAAAAAAAAAAATCTATCAACAATTTTGATCAACCAGGTTACGAACACCCAATTTAGCTCCAGGATAATTTGTACCTCCATTCAATTTTTGCCACCTGCGTTTTAAAGATTTTATTTTAGCTTTAATTGAAAGCTAAAGGGATTAAATTTATAATATTATTTCCAGTAACTATTTCAGATGAAATTTATAGATTGAATGTCAAATATATATACTTGATTTTTTTTTTTAATTTTTAAAGCAAATTTTTCTTTAAGAAATTTGTAAACAAAAAAAATTTTCAATTTTTTCCTAAAATAAATTATATATTTTTGACATGTTATTTGAGTAAAATTAGAAAAAATTTAAATCTGATTTGAAACAAACATTACTTACTTATGGCATAAAAAAATTGTATCCTAACATTTCTTAACGATGTGTCGGAATTTTCTCATGACTTTATTCACGTTATCGATGTTATTGAAAGTTATGATGATGACAGCTACTATGGATAACCAAAATTTATATAATTTTTACAAAATATTTTTTAACTAGTCATTTTTAAAATATTAACATTTTTTCATCAATTATGTAATATTTATTTTTATTTTATTTTTTTTTTAGTCTTTTCTTTGTTCTTAATTTTCTTATCAAAAATTCTTCAAAAAAAATATGAAAAACCAAAAATAAATTAAAAAATAAAATATTTAGTAAAAACTAGTTAACAAAAATTAAAAATAACTTAGATATTTTGAAAGGACTTTGCAAACACGTTTAACCGAACGATTTGAAACAGAACTGGATATTGAAAGGAAATAATTGCAGTGCCTCAGCCGACAATCAAATCACGTGACCTTTTTAAGGATTATGTCATAGATCCCCATAGATAGAAATTAGGAACGTTTTTTTCACTAAAAATTTTTTTTAAATATTCGGGTACAAATGACTGTTATGAGCTTTACAAATTTCGATTCATAAATTTACTTTTCACTTGACCATATCACCAAATTGTATGTTTAAAAGCAAAGAAAAATTTTAATAAAGAAGTATTTATTAAAATAAATTTTTAAAAGTGAAAAAATTTTGTAAAAATACATTATTCATCAAAAGTTTTATTTCTTCAGACAATAATGTTTTATAGTTTATTTTCAAAAAAGTAAGTAAAAAACTTTTTCTAATTAAATAATGTTTTTTGCATTTTTTTTACAATTTAGAGCAGGTTTTCGATGAAACTGGTAACTTGGTTTTTGTTTTTTTTTTGTGAGAAATTCTATCAATTTGTTAATTAAAAAATTGGCTAATTTATTTACACTGTATTTTCGAATTATCAAACCAAGCTCTTTGGTTGAACTTTTCGTCGGGCATTTTCAACTGCCATGTTTTTTTTTACTGTTGCTGCAAAAAGATGACAGGATTTATATTTTACACTTTTGCAGGGTCTTTGCAGAAAAAAGCCCTACCAAAATGAAGAAATGTAATTTTTTTTCTTTTCATATTCTAAAGGGAAAAAAAATTATTTAATTTGTTTTTTTATAAAAAAACTCACTTACCAAAAAAAAAATTTTAATGGAAGAACCTTTTGCAAACAAAAAACCAAAAAAAATGTTTTTATTTCAGCAACCTGTTTTTAATGCTCCTAAAAAATCGACCTTAAAAACCCAATTTTAAAATTCTGCATAGAGACCAGTTGAGTCCTAAAAAGAAGAAAAATACTAAAACTTCTTCAAAAATAACTTCATTCATTTTGAATATTTCCTGAAATTTTTTCATTAAAAGGGCATAATCTTTTTTGCAATTAAACCATATGAGAATTTCTTCTCACACGGTTTAACCCCGGCAGAGACAAGAAAAGACATACAATTCAAACAAAGCCTACCTTAAAATTCAATACAAATTTTATTTCGTCTTTGCAAAAGGCACGGGCAGTTGAAAATGCCCGTGAAAAGCAAAGGAAAATTCAACCAAAGAGCTTGGTCGGTACAAAAATACGGTGTGGCATAAATTAGCCAATAGGAGCTTAGCTTTAATTGCAGAATTTCTCACACTCTAAAGAGTCCTGTTTTTAACTAATAAAAAAAAATCCCACTCTTAAAAATTTAATTTCTCGAAATTTCATGAAAATATGTAAGGGGGTGGAAACATATAAAAAAAATATTTTTTACCAAGATTTTCTTAAAAAAAAAATTTCAAAAATAATTTCATTCATTTCTGAATATTTCCTGAAAGTTTCATTAAAATCCAACAATTATTTGAATTTTGCAAGAATTTCCAAATCAACGTGTTTTTTCCTCAGGAAAAGCGCAAAATAAAACCAACCTTTTTTCTCTTTTCCAACGCTGTTGTAAAAAGAAAAAAATAAGATTTTAACCAAAATTTTCAACGTGCTAGAAAGGAGTAAAAAATTTGAAAAATAATAATTTTCCCCTAAATAAATTTGTTTTTTTTTTTTTTGAAAACTGAAACAAATTGATTTTACTTTCAGATATCATGTCGTATTTCCTTTTCTTCTTCATTTCTTTTGTAAACAATAAGATTTCACATTTATTTCTTAAAACTAGTCAATTAAATGTTTAACATATTTTTGTTCAATCTTTTTCTATTACAATGGCATAAATATTGATAAAATTTAATTTTATTAACATCTGAAAGTCTTTTTCCATAGTATTTCTTTGGATATGGTCACTCAGTAGTGAAAAATGAAATTGAAATCGTTCGGTTTCACGGTATGAAGAGGAAAATGAAAAAGTCGGCATGTTGGTTAAACCTCACATCTCTAGAACAGATAGATTCAATCTGTTCTAGGAACTGTGTTGTTTTTTTTAATTGACTACCTTTTCATTAGCTGCCCAAATTAGCCCAGCTTATTTTAAAAATAAACCCCTAAATGACACATACTGAAATTTTTAAAAATTATATTACTGGTCTCTCAAAAGTAGACCAGTTTGCCAATTCTGGATTTCAGTCATCTGAAGAATGTTTGAAATAAAAACTATTCTCCAAACTTTAGAAAATAACAAAGAAAAAACACAACAAACATGAAAAGCTCTTGATTTTAATAAAACTACCTTTTAAAAATATTACTTCTTTGTCACTATGATTAAGCTTTCTCTCTGACCTTATCAAGCAAACATGATTCTTTTAACTTGAATCCACTGACACCTTCCTTTTTACATATATTGTAAGCATTTTGCTTAAAGTTTACAGGTTCTTGATTTCAGGTGAAGACTTTGAAATTTTCCAACATATTTCAGTGAAAGTCTTACTTTCCAAAATTATAGTTTGTAATTTAGATAGATTGAAAAAATAGGATGTCAGTTTAAACTGACACTGGGTTAAATTATGTGACTTGACTAATACATGCTTTTATTTCTTTCAGGTATGGCCTACGTCATATGCAGTCACTTCAAACTATTCCACCAAATCCATTTTAAATGTGAGTTTAATTTTTAAAATAATTCTCAAAAACTAAAGCTAGATATATAGATAGATATTTTAATAATTTTTTGATAAGCATCTTTACTCAAATATGACTAAATCTTAAGCAACTCGACTACTGATGTCTTTGTCGCTTAAGCAACTGAAAAGAAAATGAAACAAAAATTATTAATAATTAAATACATTATTTTATACTGCATTCAAGATTTGTATCAATTTTACTAATTTAGTTACATTGAAAAGGCTTTCTTTTCTATTTATTAGACTCAAATATGAAAAGATTTAAGCAACTTGAGTACTAATTCTTGTGTACAAACTAAGCAAGCTAAATATTGGTCAAAATCCTTAGTTGCTTATTTTTCTTTTTATTAATCAAGTTCACCCCATGATGGCAGTAAAGCTACTTGGTATTTATTCGACCCCCCACCCTCCACGAAGTCACGTTGTGACAGAAGGTCGGTTTAATGTGGGGAGCCCAAGCACATACACCCGGACTAGAAACAAAAATTCCATGACATTCCCCATCCCCAAACTGTCTGTTGCACTGGCCTCTGTGTGAGCACTGATCCCTCTCTGGTGCAATGAGAGGGTGTGGCCCCAGGCAGCTGTTCTCAGGGCTGGGCACCTCTCAGTATAATTTTCCTCATTTGCGACTCAGCAATAGAGCCGCCCTTGAGCACACTCTGTCCAAAGACAGACACACAACTGAGAGATGATAAATAAATGTGTTAAAAACTACTTTATAGTAATTTACACACTTAAAAAGCTACTTAGACACAAGGGGTTACTAGGTGTGGAAGAATAAGAAACAGAAACATTACTAATGAGTGAGAACAAAAAGAGTAATCAGGCGGACAGAAGATAGTGATTGATATTGCATTTAAATTTTTGAAGATCAGAGTTATCCAGAAAGCATGGAGCCAGAAGAGGGTTCCACAAGCGAGAAGTGCAAGAAAAGAAACTATTAGCGTAGAACTTACAGTTACATCTAGCCTACTCAACTATAAATTGATGAGAACTCATTGCCAGTTTAGTACTGCACTTAAATTCAAAAAGTTTAGGTACCATAGCAAAAGAGCTCATCTGAACAATTGAAAGTATTTATAGAAAAGGCACAGGGAGGCAACTTTATGGCGATGAGAAAGTGACTGAAGTCAAGATGCCAGATCAGGACCAATAATATTGCTGATTCTTTGGATTTTATCAAGGAGCTCTAGATAAATAACAGGAGCACTGGCCCATATGTGACAACAATATTCTAAGCATGGGCAAATAGATATGTAGGATAGATTCTGGAGAGAAAGATTGTCTCACATGACACAGTGAACCAACTTTCATAGCAGCTGAAAAAAATCAAGTAGCTAGATAGATATGATTTTAATTGTCAACTTTTCATGCATCTGATGATGTCGTGAGTTGATAATTAAAGGACAAAATAATAGTACTTTTTTCTGATTGAAATAAAATTGATGTATTTATGCAAGTGCAAAATAATAGTTGATAATGGCCAAAAGAAACTGAAATGAGCAGACGGAGTTCATAGATTTTTTATGTTATTTTCATATTAATGTTTTTGCATAACATTATTAATGTCAGTACATAATTATATCCGACATTGGTATTTATATTGCTCCCCTTACGTATATATAGTTCCATTAATAAGAATTTTACTTCAGTTTACAGCCCTTTTAGAGGGGCAAAACATGTTAGAAATTTTTTTTCCATTTTTGTCATTCAATTACACATTAATGTCTTTTTAAAATAATAGATCCTGATATCTATTTTGATTTCTTTCATTGGCAGTCATCTGGAACATGATCTTGGCAAGAAAATTTTTATTAGTTTGTTTTAACCTAGAAAGGGTTACTGAATGAGGAGTAACCAAAACGGAGGTTGGAAATGAAATGGTAATCTTTATAACATCAACAAAATACAATACTTGCCAATGGCGTGAAGTAGGTAAACCACTGCTAGTGCTGGACTCCTTCGAGAGCATATTACCCCCACTTACAACAGTGTCCGACATATTTATGAGGATTGGGATATACCCATTATTGTTCATAGGTACAATATATAATATAGTTAAAGAGTCAGTTCATAACCTTATTTGATAGTAAAACTGATTTAATCATTAAATTATTTTAAAAAATACATTATAAAAAAAACTTGGAAACTTGAACCTTCAACAAAAAAAAAAAAACAGAGTGTCAAAAAGATTCTTTTTCCCTTGACATTGCTATTATTTTAACTACCTTCACTTCTTGGCAATGTTTAAAACCCAAACACATGAAAGAGAATTTATACATTTTCTTTGTTTTTGAGAATTTACAAGAAAAATAATAAACACTATTTATTTATTAGATCATTTATCTATACTATTTATATTGTTTATTTGAATGGTTGGTAAAACATTGGCTAATTGTCAATTGATTTGAACTTTATAAAATGGTAAATAATGAGGATTTCCTCAGCATTGGTTCATATATTTTAATAATTTAGTAAATGTTTATAAATTTATGAATAAAAATCGTTTTCATATTTATTTCTTCATAAATTGATAAATGATAAATATTGCATTGTAATAGTTTTTAGAATGTTATAAATATAAAATTATTCTTGTAAATAAACAATCTAATAAATAAATAGTGTTTAATATTTTTGTTGTAAATTCTCAAGGACAAAAAAAAATGTATAAATTCACTTTCATCATATGTTTAGGTTTTACTACAATTCTAATGTCAAGGAAACATTCTACATATGGGAACAAGTCAACAACCCAATGCAAGCTGTCATCATGAACCTGCCTGGCAAGCCACAGTGTATGGTGTCAGCTGAAATGTGTGTGCTATAGAGTGGCGACCCATGGACCACTTCAAACAATTCACAGCCAAGGTTTTCATGCACAAAGACTTTTCTTCTTCTCACATCTAAAGAAGCAATTGGAGAAGAGAAGTCCACAAAAAACAACATCCTTCAAAAATACCAAAAGACAAATAGAAGAGTGCCCAAAAAAAGTCAGCACTCTCTCCATCTCCTGAACCCTCTTACCCTACCATAAGGTGACTGCGGGTGTCTCTTCAGATTCAACATAAGACTAATTTCACACAGAAGGAAATGTTGATGAGCATCCCCAATACTCAGCAACGAGTTCCAACAATGACAATTCTAATAATTGCTTTTTAAAACAATAAGCATTGCTAAGGAGTGAAGGTAGTTAAAATAATAATAGCGGCGTCAATGGAAAAACCATCCTTTTGATACTTCATTTTTGTTGCGAGCACAAAGCTTCAGGTTTGCTAAAAGGAACTTATTTATATCATGGTATTCTGGATATTTTATTCATGTTTTCTTTTCTCTTCATCGTTTAATAGCAAGAAATAGTAGATTTGAAAAACATTCGTAATATTGGCATCTCTGCACATATTGACTCTGGCAAGACAACGCTGACCGAAAGAATTTTGTTCTACACTGGGAAGCTTGCAGAGATGCATGAGGTAAGAGGCAAAAGCATTTATTATATTTTATCTTTACCACAAAACTTTTTTTTAAAGAGGTATAAAAAAAAAAAAATTGCTTTCAAGTTTATCATTATTTGTTGATTTTCCCCCCCCCCTTGTATTTGAGATTATTTTAAAAGTTCCCAACAATAATGCTTAATGTTAGGGAAATATTAAAAGGGTCTGAAGGTTTTTTTTGTGTTTTTTTTTTTTTCTTAATCAATTTCACTCCAAGCAAGGCAGTAAAGCCACTAAGGCACAAGTGGTTACTGGATGTGGAAGAATTAGGAACAGAAACATTGCTAATGAGCAGGAAATGAAAAGAGTAATCAGTAGGACAGTAGATAGAGATTGCAGCTCTTTTTGATTGTGCAATCAGTCAAATTGAAAAATTGGTCCCACGTAAATATATGGGAAGAAACATTGGTCAGCATTTAAATGTTTTTTTTTGTGCTTAACACAGTAAAAAATTCATTTTGTGATTAGATAGTCAATGTCAATGAAAACTGTATTGCAAGATTCCAAAATGGAGAAAATGGTGTGTCTAGATCCAAGATAGTCTTCAGCATCTCGACCTAAATGGAATCTAATGAGGAAAAAAAATTTTCTGTGATTGGTGGGATTTCAAGGCAATTCTTCATTATGACTTACTGAAGACTTGACAAATTTACTGTAAAACTCTATGAGTCTTGTTTGAATTATGCACTGGCAAAGCCAAAACCTTTTTTCTTGGTAAGGATGTTAATTGAGGAATTTGTTGCACAACAATATCTGTTTTGTTTTTTTGTTTTTTTTAATGTAGTGAAAGAGATAATCACCAACATCGAAAAAAGAGTTCATGTTTTGTGTGCAATCTGCCAAAGAAAAATTACTGAAATTAGTTAGCAAAAATCTGCTACTTTAAGTATCAGAATCTATGCTAATGTTCTTTCCTCCCCTGAATGGCATGGTGAATAAAAGCCATTGTTTTTCGGTTATGAGTGTAGGATTTTTTTGAGCTTGGTGGACAAACATGATGGTGATAAACAAAGGTTGGATTTGTGAGCCCATTTTGTCATTTCTACGTTGCCTGTTGTACTGTTACAATGGACTATCATTTGAACTGTGATTTGGCTACAAGTGTTGTGGACGAGAGACAAGAAACCTATTGCAGGCATTTATTGCTACTATAAATTTACAGTCTTTTTTTTTCTTTTCTTTACTACAACATTTAAAGGCTAGAAGTGCAATGCAACAAATGATCACAGCTGCAAACTTGGATGGGAAATTCTTCTACATGCAGCATATTCTTCAAACCTGTCACTTTCAGGCTATCACCTGTTTTTCTCTATGCAATGCTCTTTGTCTGGTCAGTGGCTAGATATAATAAAATTCTGTAAAGAATTAATTAAAAGTTTAATCATTCTTTTATGGTTCAATTGACAATTTAACTGAAAGGTATATTATGATCATAGAAAGCCAGGGAAAATACTGTTCATTGGATGCAATGATAATGTTGAAGACTTTCTTCTTGTCATAGCCTTTGATCAATGGGAGGCTGAATTAAGACTGACTGAAAAAAGATAAAGGAACCCTATTTATTTGGGCAAACCTGCACAGAGGGAAACAGTTTCAATTGAGAGGGATATAGGTATATCTACCCAGGATTAAACTTGTAATCTTCCTGCTGTTAGCCCCGTTATTGTTTCATGTTTTAGAAATAAGACGTCTCTCTCTATCAATACAATGAATAAACAAGATAATTTTTATACATCATCTTCATCTTGTTGTTGCAGTAAGTGGGGAGAGTTATAAAATAAGGTTTAACAATGTTACCCCTCTCTTTTTTTCTTGACTGTTCCTGTACCTGTACCCCTAAAAGTTGTCTTATGAAGATTCAATGTTTAATACCAGTAGAAGTGACAGCAGGATCAAATTCAACACACAGCAGCATTTTGACTTAGTTGGTAATGTTATATGAATAAATAATTTTATTGAAAAATGCTGTGAACTTTTGCATTAACCTAATATTTGTTAGGTGTTACTTCTTTGAACAATGTAACCATTTCTTAGATTTTCTTAGGCGTCTCTCTGTGTTCTTTTAATATTTTAAGACTTTTTTGTAATGTCATGTCCCAGTTTACTCTGCTATTTAACCCATAGCTACAAGAGATGGTTTCATGCTTTTTCCAAGGGCATTTGTGTGAAAATTAATGGAACAAACTTGGCTAGAATTTCTTTTAAATACCATGTCTCTACAGAACATAGAATTTCTTTTAAATACCATGTCTCCACAGAACATAGAATTTCTTTTAAATACCATGTCTCCACAGAACATAGAATTTCTTTTAAATACCATGTCTCTACAGAACATAGAATTTCTTTTAAATACCATGTCTCCACAGAACATAGAATTTCTTTTAAATACCATGTCTCTACAGAACATAGGCGATCATAGCTTTTCACACATTACTTGTCTTTATTATATATGAATTGCCATGCATTCTTTGGAAAGATAAGTAAAGTGTTTTCCCATTGTCTTCACCACATTTTGGAATTCAGTTCTCCTTCTTTTAGAGAGCCCAGTCTGCCACACTATTTAATCCATAGCTAGGGAAAGAAGAGATTAATCCATGCCTTTCACAAGGGCGTTAGTGTAAAAGTGAATGTGACAGACTAGTATGGAATTTGAACTTTTCTTACCGATTCCATTTTCCAGTAGCCACTTGTGTATCTTTGATATTTAATGGAATTAATGTTGTTCTAAGTTGATTTTTCTTTTATTTCTTGCCGCATTTAGGTAAAAGGAAAAGATCAAGTTGGTGCCAAAATGGATTTCATGGAACTTGAGCGACAAAGAGGAATCACAATCCAGTCTGCTGCCACTTACACTATGTGGAAGGACATCAATATCAACATCATTGACACTCCAGGTACTTCACTGGGATATGACAATTTACTTTGTGCAGAATATTCTATTAATATTTATACACAATGAATATAACTAATTTTTTTTCAATAGTTTCCAAATAATAAGGATTGGATGAGAGTTCAAGTCTCACAAAGAGCTTTATTTTTTTTTTTTTTCCTGATTCAGGCTGTTTAGCAATGACCACAGAATGAGTCTCTGGGGAGTTGCAATGAAAAGCAAGTTAGATTACAATGAAGAAAATACTTAAAAATTAATACTGTATGACAATGTTTCATGTAGTAATAATCTAGATAATGTTATTTCTGTTATGTGGAACAGTTGTAAATTCCATGAACCCAACCAGTTAGTTGCATAATCTCAAAGAGATCCTTGCAAACTTCTGTCCAAAGCAATCCTTTCAAGGGTCAAAAGTGACATTCTAGTGTCCTCTTTGATTTAGTCTTCTCCTCTCTTAAATGGTCTGCTATGCAATCTTTTCATCTTAATAAAGTTTTAGAATTAGGTTATGGTGTTTTATTTAGTCTTTTTGATGTGGTTGTAGGTAGAGCAGAAGTAATTTGTTTTTGCATTTGGAAATGATTTTGAAAAAATTTCTTACCTTCAAGGCCGTTAGAACATGGACTGGCCTATATGACTACTTGGTTTGGTTAGAGATTTTGTTTTTATGTATTATTATCACATTGATCATTGTACTATGAATTTTAGAAGAAAGACATATTTGTTGTGCTATGGTTTTAAGAAACTGATTTCCAGGACAGCCAACTACATCCAGCAGCAAGCACTCTGATCAGGAGATTGGAGGTTTTGAGGAGCATGGAACTTCCTCTTAATTGCTGTTGTTCCCAGGTCCACCCTGACATAGGGTGGTAGTACCTGTTAGGGTCCCAGCTATGAGCAAATAGTGTATACCCAAACAAAAATCAACAGTACATTTTTATAATAAAATGACCAACAATACATTTTTATAGAAAAATGACACTATAACACTAAAAAAAATATAAAAATACTGTAAAAATTACCAACAATACATTTTATGATCTACAAAATATCTAAAAAATATAACTTTACTCTGAAAGTATAAAATTATGTACAAAATATTTGTATTGAAAGCATAAAATTACATATAAAATATTTAGATTTCGGCATTAAATAACCCATTTGCCACTAAATAAAATCAACCAACCAACAGGAAAGAACTTTCATGATATTAATCCATATAATATCCTACAATTGCTTAAAGAAACCAAACTATATTCCAAAACATAACTTCAACAAAACTACAACATGAGAAACACGTATCACCGCCTCTAGTAATCATGTCCACACAAACATGTATATGCACAAAAGCCGAGTATCATCTACCATGTATTCAATTGTGAAAGCAGAATAACATATATCATATTTTTATTACTTCAAAGCTCCTAAGAAAATGAAATTTCGGCATCCAGTAACCCATGAAGGAGTTGATATACTGTTAAACAAATCAATTAATCCAGGGCAACCTTTTGAAGTAACAAGAAGAGAATTATTAGAAGTAGACAAGATGTTCTCTTGAAGAAAACTCATTTTATTCAGGAATTGCAAATGTTTGCTTTTTTGTTTTTGTTTGTGTGTGTATCATTGCAAGTTGCATGTCACTAGTTATAAGGCCTGAGTTAACCTGACATTGTCCATGTCTTTACAATTGCAAGTCTTCACACCCTGTCCAAAGAGCCAAACTTACAAATGGTGCTAGGCTCTCACTACACTATCACTATTTTCATGACAGATATCTGGGAGAACGACATTCCTTGATCCCACCAGTTCAGACCTTCACAGCTAGGACCGCAACCATGTACACTGTCAACTCATCCTCATTGCCTTCATATTCCATTGTTAAGGAATAAGTTCCACTCTGACAGCTTCCTCAGAACTGTTGCAATGTGGAACAAACTCCCGAGGGGATGCTTCCCTGATTGCTACAATCTTAACCTCTTCAAGCCAGGGGTTAACCATTATCTATCCTACATATCCTCATAATATGCAACCCTCACTCCCCCCCCAACACATTCTTAAAACCTCCTTAATTGTAACCCTCTACCTTGAGTGGCACTTAGCCCTTATAACTGGGTGAACAAGAGTTAAAAAAAAAAAAGAAATTAAGACCTTAAATTATTGTCCCTTGCAATCTGTTTCTATAAAGCTCATCATTTCTAAGTTGCCAATAACACTGTATAAGAAAATTTTGGCTTTTTTTTTCTTTTGCTCAGTAAGTGTTATTTCCTAATTGCTAGAAAGCAAAGGAAATGACTATTATTCCCTTCAAATTTTGCATTTGGGTCCTGGACATCACCGTTTTGAAACTAACCTATTTTCCATTATATTCCAGACAGATTCAGCACAGAGTTGCTGAAAGGGAATTTTCTAGAACTTTCTACAAGTTTCAAGAATTTCTAGAATGTTCTGGCAACATAGACGACAGTATAAATTACAGGGAACATAAGCTCAACAATTCAGTTTACTTCTGTCTAAGTGCAGACATCAATAGATGCATTCATCATAGATGGCATCAAGAGATTGTAAGCATCTGCTAATTTACAGTATAAACATAAACTGCGAAAAATTATTCACTTCTAAATTTTTTATGGTCTCTCTTGTATAATCCTAGAAAAAATAAATGCTACTTTTAAATCATATGTCATTTTGGTTCCTACTTTGTGTGAACGAGAATGTTGACATTCACCAGTTCTCCTAATGGGAATAAGTCAATATCAGAAATATCATTATCCTAATCACTAAAGCAAAGTTTGAAGGAAATATTTGCCATTTTTCATACTTTCTAGGCATAAACAAATAGGAAATAATAGTTGCTATCCAAGGGCAAAAATTGTGTTACAATGCACTATGGATTGATAAATTATGGTGACCTGAACCATTTAAATCCTTTAAGTCTTGTAATTAATTTTTTTTCTATGCTTATGAATTATGCAATCTTTAAATCTCTATAACATTCCCAATCCCATGCACTTTTTAAATAAAATGTAACCAACTTTGCATAGTTTTCAATGTTTTTCTTGTTTTTCTTTATTTGTTCAGGCCATGTTGACTTCACAGTAGAGGTAGAGAGAGCTCTGCGTGTCCTTGATGGAGCCGTCCTTGTCTTGTGTGCTGTGGGAGGTGTGCAGAGCCAGACGTTCACTGTAGATAGACAAATGAAACGCTATATGGTCCCCTGTGTGACATTCATCAACAAATTAGATCGGATGGGATCTAATCCTTACAGAGTTCTCTCACAAATGAGGTACTTAAAATGCTCCTTATTACATAAAGAAACAAACCAATGTGCCTAATAGCACTTTAAGCCTGTTTACTTTTACTAATTGTTAATAAACTTACTTTTGAATTAACAAGAATATCAAGAATTGATAAAATTAAAACTATTCTCAAGTGTTAGACTGCAGCTATTGAAGCCTCTATCCAGTATTTTATCATCTGGTCACAATTGTGGCCCTCCACACATTAATAGTTAAGATATATCTTTTTAATATATCTCTATTTTACATAACCGGTATAAAAATATTATCTCTCTCTCTCTCTCTATATATATATATATATATATATATATATATATATGGGCTCATGGCCGCGTGGTTAGAACATTCGCTTTCTGACCATGAGACCTGCGTTCGAATCTCACCACAGTTGATTTGTCAGGAAGGAGACTTCCTGGTGTTATCGGTCTGGAGGGGGATAATCCCAGTGTGCGCCACCTTTGAAAAGTGCCTGAAAACCATACCACAAGTTGACGGAAGCCTTATGAGTGAAACTGGGTAAACAGAACATTTGGGGGACCGTCAACAGCAGTGTTAACACAAAGTCATAAGTCATCGTGACTGAGGGTTTAAGTGTGCTGGCCTTGTTCAGATTGTTGATCATTCTAGGTAACATGCTCTCTCCCAGAAACTGTAACTAAGGTCTGCTCAGCATAGTTGCAGTATAAACCATAAGTAGGCTCTGTGGGTGTTGCACAAACAAATGTGCCTGAGTGAGTGTCTGAATTAGGGATTGGCTAGCCACCCTAGTAGATGGGTATCCTCAAATATGAGTGGCCAGCTATTATTATACATAAATAAAATATCTTCATACCAAAACAATGTTAGGAAAATTAATGACAAAGTGGGGAAAATTTTTGTGTCACCCATTTTGTCCTTGTCAACTTCATTGGACTCAAGTGATGTTTCCATTGATGTAACTGCACATGCACACAAAGGGGAGGGGACCCAAAAATTTTAAACTTTAAAATTTTTTTTTTTAATATGTGCTTGGGTAGATAGTCTAACCAATTTCATTTAACTTCTTTTTTTTTTTTTTTTTTTTTGCTTACTAAATATCACTTTTGTTATTAAATATCCAGCATTGTGATAATAAAAGATTTGCCAAATAAGGTGAAATGTTGTAAGAACCCTAACACAATTTACTGTGGATGATCTAGCAATTAAAGCACTTTCTATACACTTTCATCTTAGTAAATTACTTTCTCTGTTAATTAAAGTAGAGTGTTTAAATTGGAATTATGGTCAAACTCATTACTGTGAGCAATTATTGCATTGTATTTTGTAAAAGATCCCTTTCATGTTCATATAATTTTCTTAGTTAATTTTTTTCCATTTTGTCATCAATTTTCCTAATATTGACATGGTATATAAAATTTAATATATTTTCTCCTAAGCATTATTATAATGTAATATTTGTATACTGGTTTACCTATACCAGAAAAAATGGCTACATATTTTGTTTCTTTCAATATATTTTTTTCTATTTATTATATTAATATGTATTAATTCAAAGGGATCAATTTATTACATGATAATGATGATAATCATCCTCCTCCTCTGATCATCCACATGCACAAGATAGACATTTGTATTAATATAATAATGTTGTCAAAAGTGGTTGCATATTTTGTTAAGTCTGTATTGTTATTAGGCTTTTGCATGTGAATCATTCAGTATATTTTTCCATTTATTATATTAATATGTATTAATTCAAAGAGATCAGTTTATTAGTTAATAACAATGGAAAGCTGATCCCCCATTTTATGCCCAAGATAGAAACTTGTATTAATATAATAATGTCATCAAAAGGTCTATATTGTTATTAGAAATTTCCCATATTGTTTTAACTACATAAATCCATACAGAGCCCATAAAAATGACTGGATTGTTTATGAATCAAAACTTCTGTCTTGTATCAATGTAGTCTTTCTCATGAGTGAGTATAGCTGCAAAGCAATAGAGGCTTTAAATTAACAGTTGTTCTACTCTTAGACTGGTTGCCAACCAAGACTAGAGAACCTGCTATTTAACCAATAGCTGGTGGGAGAATAAATGCAATCATAGTTTTCCTCATGGAATTTATGTGAAAGCAAGTACAGCTTTCTTGGCTGAAATTTAAACATGACTCGTTGATCCCACTTTCCACACTGATAATGAGGACATTATGAGCACATAATCCTAAGAGATATATTTCAGTTATTACCTTCCCTTTATCAAATGAAGTAAGACTTGCCATGAGACGTGTGTGAGGTTTCCATTTTTCTGTCTTGTTATCAAAAGTCCATTTTATGATCTTTTCTTCAGGTCCAAGCTGTCTCATAATGCCGCCTTTTTACAGTTGCCTATCGGACATGAATCAAAAACTGAAGGTATCATTGATTTGATTCACAGGAAAGCCATTTACTTTCATGAACCAATGGGGTAAGCAGGATATTAATTTTTAATACCTTATTGCGCTCACAAAATTATATGGTTCCTTTTGTACGAGAGTAGGTTGACAAGTTAATTGACTGACTATGAAGGAGCCGTGAAATCTGCCATGCATTAATTTCCACTCTTCTTATTAATAACTGCATTATTTATTTCCAGGTAAACTGACATCTGACTGTTCAAAAGAAGACTGTTCATCATGTCATCATCACTGCAATACTGGTTGTTAGCCAAGTGATTATATATATTGGGGAACAGATGATATTTGGAGATTAGAGAATAGAGAGCATGATCAACCAGTTCAAAGCCACAATCATGCACAGCAGCCATTAAAACCAAGGACTTCATTGCTGGTGCATTGTCCTGATGAAACAAGTTCCCTTTTGTCAGTTTTCCTGGGCATTTTTTCTTGGTAGACTTTCCTAACTGCCTTAGAAAAACCTTATTAAGAAGAGAGAACGATAAAAGAACAGGAATTAAGAAGAGAGAAGATATCGATTCACATTTCATTTAAAATTTTAAAGATCAAAGTTGACTTGAAAGCAAGAAACTGGAAGAGAATTTTGGAAGTGAGAAGTTTGATAGAAGAAACTATTAGGATAGAACTTGCAGTTACATCTAGCTATTTCAACTGTAAATGATGAGACCTTGCTGCCAGTCTAGTACTGCGCTTAAAGTCTAGGTACCATAAAGGAAAGCTCATCAGAACAATTATGATGAAGGTATTTATAGAAAAGGCACAGAGAAGCTGTTACAGCAGTGGGAAAGTGACTGAAGCCAAGATGTGAAGTTGGGGCCAATAACATTGCAGATTCTTTTTTGGATTTTATCAAGAATCTCTAAATACATAGCAGAAGCACCATATCAGATGTGGCAGAAATATTCAATGCATGGGTAAATGGTAGACTTATAAATATGTAAGATAGAATCCAGCGAGAAAAATTGTCTAGCACAACACAGTGAACCAACTTTCCTAGCTGTAGACCTAGCAGTTGATTCAATATAAATCTTTCCACTTCATGTCAGTGGTAAACATTAGCCAGAGAAGACACAAGAGTCACTCTCCTGCAGGTTAATATCAACCACGCTAATAGAAGGCAAAAGTGGTTCTCTAAGATAATTAAAAGAGACCAATTTGGTTTTGGAAGTGTTAAAATTAACAAGTCATTTCTTGACCCAGTTAACAACAGACTGTAAGTCATTTTTGAGATCAGCTGCCAATTTGACCATAGTAAACAGATTAGACTTATTTATGTGGGCAATCATGGTTACCCACAACTATGTATTCTTCATAGCTCTTAACAATGTTGATCTTTTTACTATTCCTCCCAATCTCTGTTCTAGCATCCATTTACAAAAGCTTATCAGGCAGGTTACTCACTGTTTCCCTGTCTTTGCTTTCACTATGTTCTGTGAGTGTCAAATTTTCAAAACCTTCTTTCCTCATTATATGCCCTATTAATTTCAACTCTTTCTAATTCTAAATACAGGTGTTCTTTTCTAGGTGTTGTTGATGTGGACATTAGGTTTTTTTGCACAGGATAGCTGCTAGCCCCATGTTCAACTGCTTTTAAATTCCAAGTTGTACTTCTAGATTGATTGCTAACCCAGGCTGAAGCGCCCAATCTTCCCTACCATTTAAGCTATAGCTGGAGTGGGATAGAACAGATGGATTCATTGCTTTCCCAAGGTTATTTACTCAAAAGTTAATTTAATGAACTCTACTGGAATTTGAACTTGGCTCATTGATTTCTTATTCTGGGATTAGTAACCGTTACACCGACACCACTTCCATTTTTTATATATATATATATATATATATATATATATATATATATATATATATATATATATATATATATATAGCCAGCAAATTCTGGTTATAGAAAGAAAAAAGATAAAACAATAACAAGATGTATATAAGTATCTTCGTGTGAACTACATTTCATTCCAGTAATACTAGGTCTTGGTTTTGCTTTTTGATATCCACTGACTTTACCATTACTCTCTTGAATAGTTTTAATTATTTTTTTGTAATAAAGGTAAATAACCACTGATAAGAAAGATTTGGGATAATGAAACACAGAATTTAAAACTTCTTTTATCTTACATTTGGACTATTATCCTCATCTTTGTTATCACATTTCAGCCATTGTGCCTTCCAACCTTCTTTCAGATAATAGACTAGTGGATTAAAGCATTGGTTTGTGAATTTGGCAACATGGTAATTGGGAGTTCAATCTCTGGGCTGGGTAGTACAGACATAGATCCTGTGGAAACAGGGCTAGCAATAACTGAACAGTACTAAGTTAAAAAAAAAAACAAGATTTCTCTAGGCATGGACTGAAAAACAAGAACAATATCTCCCTATAGATTAAATAAGGGGTTCAGTCCAAAATTGCCTAAAGGTTGCCCAAATTGACAGACACCTGAGGAAGGCCTGAGGCACAACTGCCAAAATGTTGGGATAATAACAACAAAGATGAGGGCAATACTTTGAATGTAAATAACTCCTCATCCCAGAACATTTGTTTGCACATATTTTAGTACTTGATCTGTATGTTGTACATTGAAAATCATGAAGGAAGAAATTAAAGCAAGTGTCACTGACATCCTGAATATAATTCTGTCCTCTTCAAGCAAGGGAGATTCCTGGAATGACAAGATTGACACTGTTTATAAAAGAGAATAATAAGAATTTATTAATGGCTGATCAATATACTGTCGAAATTGTACAATATTATACAAATATAATTCACATTTTATGTCAGCTAGAAATTGTATATTTTAAAATACAAATCTTGAATCAAGAAAGAAAAAAGAAAGGGTGGTCAATAATATATATATATATATATATATATATATATATATATATAGCTGGATACTTTCCGGACATATCTCTTTTTATTTATATATATGTAGAGGAATGCCTTTACAAATGTGTTCAATAGGTCAGCAGTCATCAATATTTGTAGAGAATAAAAAAGAAGAAATAATCTTCAAAAACAGCTCTACAAATTTAAATGATTTTTATTACTGAGTATAAAAGCAATCTTTGTTTTCTTTCAAGTTGAAAGAAACAAGTTACAAAGTTCACTGCAAAGTTCAACAAAAATTATTTTGTTTTTACTTTTTCAATACAACAGAAATTAATTGCGTTAGTATGATTGAAAAGCTGTATGCAACTACATAACAAGAAAGTTACATATTTGCGTTGTTTTATGTATGCATATATTTTTTCAGCAGTAAGCACTGTTACAACTGTTAATATTTGTTTGTTTACATATCTTCTCTTTCATATGTTTTCATGTTGAATAATATATTTTAAAAACGAGAAGCTATTTGCAAGAATATACTTAATAATTATATGAAAGGTGTGAGTAATCAGCATTACGCACAAACCCCTGGTCAAAGGTTTACTGAAAACTGATTTTGTGAATTTATGTTTATGCAACAATATTTATAAGTAAAAATAGGATCAAGAAGCTAAAAGTTAAATTTACTAAACTCAGAAGTTTATTGGTTAATAAATATATTTCCCAATTTTTTAATATCTATTTTTAGGAGGGAAAATATTGCTAATCATTTTCTAGGGTGAGCTTTCAATTGTAGAGAACAACAAAGAATATTGTCATCTGCTTTTTCAAAGCTGGCATTTACATTTGGGATAATGTCACTGATTAGTTAATAAATGATAATGTGAAAATTTGAATTTGGAACCTAGGTTTTGCACAAAAATGAGTCTGTTTCTGTGTGATCTTTTTTTCACACAGAATTGAGATTTTTAGTGATATTTACTTAAATCTATTGAATTTTTTTACAAGTTTAAATAGGGTCACACACACACACACACACACACACAATATTCATGGCCAGAATATTACGTTTGAGCTCAATGTCCACTTTTATATTTACATACGCTCTATCCTTGATATTGAACACTTTAACCAATGCATACTTTAAAACTATATTTTTATCATATATATATATATATATATATATATTATACAAGTTTATATATATATATATATATATATATATATATATATATATAATTTAGTTTCAATCTGCACCTGACATGCATGAAATTCAAGAGTTTTGTTACTAGTGAGAAACAAAATATTTATTATTAATATAAATTTTAGCTCTTTTATCATACATCAAACACTGTTTTATTACCATCAGCACTCAGTGTAATACTTCAAGCATTAACTTAAAAAAAATTAATTATTTAAACAAGAAATAAATTTAAAAAAAAACAGAAAAAAAAACTATTTTTTTAAAAACTTTAGAAAAGCCCAGAATATTCTTGAAATTTAACCTAAGTATAAGTCATCTCTGACACTGGATATAACATTGTTGCATAATCTTTTGACACTCAGAACTGAAAGATAAAGAAAAGGCATAATGAGAGGGTAAAAGGAGAGCCGTATCAGTATACACACATGCACAAAGAAGTAAAATCAATCTAACACCAGTAAAAAGCACATAAAATATTTTTTTTACTTAAAATAACGAAAATGAGAAAATTGACAGACATTTGCCGATTCCTCCTGATGTATAAACTGAATAATTACGCAAACGTTTATCTATGAAACTGGAGTAGACATGCTGAATATAATATTATTCAGCTAAGTGACAAATTTTATATTTGTATTCATCCTCACATATATATATATATATATATATATAATATATATATACGTGTGTGTGTATGTATGTATATATATATAAATAAAAAGAAAGAACAGTAAGATATATAATCTGGTGTTCTTATAGATATTTTTATTTTTACAAAATAGTACTTAAATTCGGAGTTTTCAGCTTCCATTTTTGAAACATGGTTAGAACTGTGTAGCGAAAAAAATATATTTTAAATCAATTAATTTATAATCACCCTTTTTAACTCTCTTCTGTCTGTATTAAGTCACCTTATGCTGGTCAGTGCCATCACTTTCACATACATCTGTAGTTCCAATACTTGTAATATTTTGCAGTTTTAGTCTCCATTGTTCCTCTTTTATAATAATGTCTACTTGATCTTTTAAGCATTTAAGCTACTTGGTTTAACAAATATTGTTTTTAACTATTTTTGTTTCATGTGTTTTTTTTGTTGTTTTTTTTAAGTCTCAACATTATTGAAGATGAAGTTCCAGTTGACAGACGAACAGAAGTAGAAGAAAAAAGAGCTGAACTAATTGGTGACTATTTTTTTTTTCCAATTTCATATCTTCCAGTTATCTCAGTAAAAAACAAAATAAGATTTTTTCTATATTTACAACTATACTAAACTTTTTCTCTTTAGATTTTAAAACGTCAAACTTGCAATGTGATTACAGCCTGTTTTTTGCTCATGCTTTGCTTTTCTTAGAATAATTATGGATTTAAGGTTTAAATGTTTCTGTTATTCTGCTATTCTGTTCCCACTAAAAAGATATTAATATTCTACATTCAAATTTTTTTAGCAATTATTTGATTTTTCTTTATTCAGAATGCCTGGCTAATGTTGACGAGAACTTAGGGGAAATTTTCCTGGAAGAAAGACAACCAACAGAAAAAGAAATAATGGTAAAATAATTTGTTGCCTATTTTGGTTATATTTTCATTTAAAAAAAAATGATCTTGTTCCTTATTTCATGATCTTTTAAACATATAATCCTTCCTTACATTCCATGCATGATATACACTTAGGCAACCATGTCTCTTTTTGATTCATGATTGACTTAGCAGAAGCATTCCTGCAGTGGGTTGCTGTTACTTTCTGTGGTAGACTGGTTGCCAACCAAAGCTATACGACTTAACAGCCATATTACATTGAAACACTGGTTCTCACACAATCACCAAACTTAACATCAAGGCAGCATAGATTCATAGGTTTCCCAAGGGTATTTGTGCATAAGTGAATGTAACAAACTCATCTGGAATTTGAACTCAGCTCTCCAATTTCTCATTCTAAGTTGCTATTCATTGCACCTCCCACACACCAAGCTTACAGCACCTAATATTTCAAAGCGGTCACCTATTGAGATACTGACAGGTTCATGTTGGTTATCAAACAAGATCCCATGTTTCAATGAGATAGCCTGTAAATGTATAATAGAGCTTTATATATTTTTTTAATTATTTCACCCCAAACAAGGCTACAAAGCCACTAAGGTGCAAGGAATTACTGAGTGGGACAGAATATAAGAAAAAACATTATTAAAGCGAGAAGGCAATAAAAGAAGAGGAATTAAGGAGAGAAGATGAGAATTCATATTGCATTTACATTTTTGAAGATTGACAAAGTTGGCTGGTAAGCAAGAGGCCAGAAGAGAGTTCTACAATTGAGACATGCAAGAGAAGAAACTGTTAGCATAGAACTCATGGATATCTCTAGCCATTTCAGCTGTAAAATGAAACCTAGCTGCCAATTTTGTACTGCACTTAAATTCATAAAATTGAAGTACCAAAGAGGAAAGCTCATCAAACCAATTGCCATAAAAAATATTTATAAAAAAAGCATGGGAGAAGTGACATTATGGCGACGGGAAAGTGACTGAAGCCAAGATGCCGGGTCAGTACCAAGAACATTGCAGATTCTTTGGATTTTTATCAAGAATCCCTAAATAGATAGCAGAAGTACCAAACTAGTTATCTGTATTTTCATAATTTCAGTTTTTCATAATATAGAACAAAACTGGCTTCAATATTTCTACTGGGATAAAGATGCATGTGCTCTTATCACTCATTCAAATCTCTACTGAGGATATGGAGCCACAACTCTTATTAGGCACTAATCCTGTGGTTTCTGTAGGAAGTAGGTTTCTACAGGATGGAGTTGCTAGACTCTATGTACCAAGTTCAAATGCAGTTAGTGCTAATATACAATCTGCTTCTATTTCTTTCTTTTTTTTCATGGCCACCAGAATCTATTGTACCTGTGCCACTTTTCAGTCTGAGAGCTTTTCAGCACACTCATTGCACACACACACACATATATATTATCCTTTACTAATAGCATGGCTCAGAGTTTCATGCATGATGCAATCTTCAGGTGCTGAGCATAGACTGGCCATTACATAATTTAAATTTTGATAAAAGTATCTGGCTACCACAATATTGGCAGAGTCAAATATTATATAGAGATAACAGTTTATTATTTTAACATACATAATAATCAAGGCGGTTGGCAGTCTGGAGAGTTAGATGGCTAGATGTAAGGAGTGACGTGGTCATAGGAATTGTCTGACAGCTATGACTGGGTTCTCCTGTTTGTATGGCATGGTGCAGAGTCCTGTTGCTAGACATAGGGTCTTCCAGCAGCCATCCTCTTGACCTGGGACAGCACTACCTCCTCAAGGCACTTGATGTAGGCCTCCGTATTAAGTCTGAGGCCCTGTAGGAAGGTGAATGGAGGCATAAGGTCACCATCACTCCAAACACCTTTGTAATCACTATTAGACTCATCCAACTCTTTCCAAATCCTCTGCACTGTCTGAAGTGAATGCCAACAGTACTGCATGCCGTTTGTGCAGTTAAAAAAATAAACAACATGCATGCACGAAATTAAAAATATAAAATGCTGACAGTTTACCTGTTTCACACTATATATATATATATATATATATATATATATATATATATATATATATATACACACACACACACACACACACACAAAGGATGTATTTTAAATGCAAATATCTTGGATTATAAAAATGACATAGAGTACCAAATATCTTTCATTACAATACTCATAGATAAGAGTTTGCTTTCCAAAATGCTTTCAGAATTTCCTTTGTCCATCAGTTATGTAATAAAGATATTTGGCACTCTATATCATTTTTATAATCCAAGATACTCCTTCCAAATCCTCTGTACTGTTCTCAGATTAACACCCAAACACTCTGAAATATTTGTATTGGATCTTCTGAAGCAAATACCAAGCAGTACAGCATGCCATTTCCAAATTTCTGGCAGAGTGAATTGCCTCATGATGCTCTTTTTGTCACAGACGGTGCCCAACTGACCCTACTATACTGTGCAGTTGACAAAAAAATAAACAACGTGCATAAGTCTGTAACAATAGATCTTTGACTGGTGATGTATGCTTCCACTACATATGCAATATACTTTGGAGTCTATAACATTATGAGGATTCACTGTCAGTAAAAGAGATATTAGATACCTGTAAGAAATAGCAAAATCTTAATATGTTGAAATCTTGTATATCAGTTATGTAATAAATATATTTGGTATTCTGTTATTTTCATAATTTAAGATACTTGCATTTAAAATGTGTCCCATCATTATGGGACACTCTCTGTGTGTCTGTGCATGCAGGTATATGCCATATATATATATATATATATATATATATATATATATATAATATGGCAGAGGGGGAATTTCAAATCCAGGCATGCAGTTCAGGATAACAATTAATGGCTACTAGAGAAATATGAGAAAAATTATAAAATCAACCAATACCAATATATTTAAAACATCTATTTATAAATAAATTTAACTATTTGTTTCACTTTGAAAAATTTGTTGAAGAGAGGCTGCAATGAGTCACTTTTCTGGAGGTTAGCATCAGCCATGCTGATGGAAGGCAGAAAGGGGTCTCTCAGATGATTAATGGAGAGAAGTTCAGTTTTGGAGGTGTTAAAAATTAACAAGTCATTTGTTGCCCCAGTTAACAATGAACTTGAGGTCGTTTTGGACATTGGCTGTCATTTTGACCTTGTCGGACTGATCAACCTTACTATTGAGACAGGAATAAATGGTTGCATCATCAGCATAGATACCAAGTTGTGAGCTGATGCCATTGGAAAGGTCATATATGCAGAATTGCTATAACAGTCTATGTCTTTCAAACTAAAAAGAATAATATTAATCTTTGAAAAAGCTCATTAATTCCATTTTTTTTTCTCATTTGATAATTCAATAAATTACTAAACATTTGTTTTATTTTGTCTTTTAAAGGCTGCGATAAAAAGGACCTGTTGTAAACGTTTGTTCACTCCAGTCCTGATGGGAACAGCTTTGAAAAACAAAGGAGTTCAAACTTTATTAGATGCCATCATCTCGTATTTGCCCAACCCCGGTGAAAGTAAAAATGTTGCTTTGGATAACAGTAAGGGGTAAGTTATATTTTCAAATGTTACCAATTTTAAGTAACATCTGTGTTCCTTTTTAAAATTTGTTTAATTTCAAAATTTCAAAACAGGTAATGGATGATATGATTGAAGGAGAAAACGTCATGGAAGTAAGTTACTAAGGCCATGCCTCCCAAATTTGGTAGCATAGCATGATCAGAGGAAGATACTATTGATAATGTGCATTTGGTCAAGGAATGTGTTGGTTTCAATCTGTTAGGAATGATTGCAAAACAATTTCCTCTCTCCTTTTATAGGCAGAAGCACAAAAATGTATGCTGGGATTTTTTCCTAGCCAATAAAATAAGCCAGTTCACACTTTCATCTGACTCCATTCTGATCTGTCTTGAAGTCAGAATGCTACATTCACTTGTGTGAATTTGCTTTTGTGTGTCAATGCCAATTCTTAGCTTGTGAACTTTTTACCATATTACTGTTAATTTTCCTTGACAAAGTTTGCAATAAGAAAAAGAAAAGAACATGGCAAAAAATATAATTTTTTGCCATGTTCTTTTCTTTTTCTTATTGCAAACTATGTCAATTTTCTTTGTTGGACAGTTCTGTTACTTATTTGTATTTGACCATGGCTACTCACTCCACAGAATGTAGATATAAAAGTGACCAGTAAAGATTTGGGTTAGTGTTTCTTCAATGTTCCTTTGTCCAGTTAGAAGCAGACAAATGATTTGAAATAAGGAAGTTTCGTTCAATCTCACTTTCTTTCTCTTTGTTCTATTTACAAATAAAGTGAGGGCTGCTATCAACCATAAAGCTTTAAGTTGTGTTTTTCTAACACTACTACTACTATGACAGAAAATGGCTGACTGGTGTATTAAGAGTTCACCAGCATTATCACATAGTGTTATAGGAACTTTTTCTTTTTTTTTTTTTTTTTTTTTTTTTTTTTTTTAAATTATTAAAGAAAGTTTTGATGACAATTTTATTTATGGTACATTTGCAACTACAAGAAAATACAATATTTATCCTTATTTACCTTTGGACTAATGTCCACATCTTGGGTGTTATAATCATGTTTCAACTATTATGCCCTCTAACCTTCTTCAGGTATCTGCCAGTTTCAACAGTAACCCTTTATTTGATTTACAAGAGTAGATTATTATCATTCCGCTGTCCATGTCTCGGAATATTTTGCCTTATTCTTATTGTACTACTGCTCATTTACTTCTTACCCAGTTTCTACTGTGCTTGAGTTTGTACTATTCGACCCAAGGACTGAACTTATAATTATGTAAATAAATAACAAAAAATGGGCAATGTCTAACCTTCATGCCCATGAAAGAATGGTTATTCCCTTGACTCCACTACCACTATATACACTTTTGACTACCTCGGCAACATTTGTTTTAAAAAGCGATTAGAATTTTAATGAATCCCAAACATATGAAAGTGGATTTATGCATTTTCTTTATTCTTTAGAATTAACAAAGATGTTAAACACTGTTTACTAGATTGAAAAAAAAAAGATTTGTTTTCATAGTTATTTATAAAATAGTAAATAATAAATATTGCATTGTAATTGATTTACATATTTTGATAGTTTTGTAATTTTTTAATAAATATTTTTAATTACTGTCCTTTTGACACACTGTTTTTTGCAGGTATGCAAGTTAAACATGGCCAAAAAATATAGTAGAAATTGAATTGTTTTAGTAGAGTAGATTTGAAGTCATCAAAAGTGAAAAATACAAATATTTAATTTGAGGGTTGATTTTCATAAGATAATGAAATCTTTTCCAATAATATAACCAGCTTAATATTTTCAGTGATAATTGCCTATTTTGATGATAATTTAGAACATTTTGATACAATATTATGCTCTAATTTGCTTGAACAAATATTCACATCTTTGCTGTTTTCATCATGTTTCAACCATTGTAGCCTCTGGTCCTCAGCCATATGCTTTAATTGGTAACTTTCCAGGAATGTTGACATTCATTTAAGTGCAAATAACATTGAGAAAATTATAAGTCCATCTCTTCTACCCCCCCACAACTATGGGTTAAATAGTAGGGCTTGCATCTGAAAAAAAAATATTATTTTCAAAAAAGAATTGTTAATGAAATATTCACTTTAAAAAAAAGTATTCTTACAATCCAGAATATGTTTTATTGAATCAATTACTAATTGCTAGAAAAGTTGGTTCTTGGTGTCATGCTAAACAATTTTTCTTGACAGAATCTATCTTACACATTTATAAGTTTACTATTCATCTGTACTTTGTATATTACTGTCACATCTGGTCTGGTGCTTCTGCTATATATTTAGAGTTTCTTGATAAAATACAAAGAAAAATCTGCAATGTTATTGGTGCAGGTCTGACATCTCGGCTTCATTCATTTTCCACCATTGTAACATAACATCCCTGAGCCTTTTTTGTAAATATTTTCATGGTAATTGTTCTGATGAACTTTCCTCTATGGTACCTAGACATTATTAATTTAAGCACAGTACTAGACTAGTGGCAAGGTCTCCTCATTTTAAAGTTGAAATGGCTAGATGCAACAGTAAGTTCTATACTAACAGTTTCTTCTATCACACTTCTTGCTTGTGGAACACTTTCTGGTTTCTTGCATTTCAGACAACTTTAATCTTCAAAAATTTAAATGCAATGTCAGTCGTTATGTCTTCTTGGTTACTTTATTGTTCTGACTCTTTCATAATGTGTGGTCTTTTTCTTATGTTATTTCACACCCAATAATCCCCTTGTGTCTTAGTGGCTTTATAGCCTTGCTTGTGGTGAAATGATTAAAAAAAATAAAAATAAAATATAACCCACAAAGTTTGCTAAGCTGTTAAAAAATTTGATATTAGTCCATCATCCTTCTCGGAATCTTAAAATTTTTGATCAGTTCTCAGGGCTAGATGCAAATCAAGTTACTTAGAGGTTGAGAGTTCAATTCCTGGATTCTGGTCTCAACAAGCAGAATTCCAATTTCAGAGTGTTGCATTCATTTTCACACAAATGCCCCTGGGGAAAATTATGAATGCATCTCTTCCATTCCAACTATGGCTTAATTAGCAGGGTAGACTAGACACTCTAGCCTTAAGTGACAACCAGTCTAAGAGAATGAAAACAGGAAACTATGCCACTATGTTTCCCATAAAGTCATATCAATTCACAGTTAATAAAAAAAAGAAATCTGAGATATGGCATAAATTTTTTTTTTAAGTTCAAGAAAATCAGTGTATAGTAATAATAAAAATATATTTTGTGCATTTCATTAATCTAACAATTGTATCAGTAAAATATCATTGTGTTTACAGATGAAAATTATTTTTGGTATGCTCTTACTATGTGATTGGAAATTATGTTTGTTTGTTTGTTTTTTATGTGAAGGAAGGTAGAAGGAAAAGAAAATATGACTTATGTAAACTTAACTTCTTTCTTTCCAAATGAGTCATTGTGGAAGGGCAAAATGAAAGAAACTAAAGACAGCAGGAGGGGGCATTTATTAGGTGAAAGGGGAGAAGTGGGTTGCATTATGAGAGAATAGATGGAGAAATAAAGAAGTATGAAGAAAGAGGCTCTAGTTGTTTAATGGATATACAACTTGGGTGAAGAAGAGAAAGCAAGGAAATAGAAGAGTGCAAGTGGCACTGTATTATTTATTTATTTTTTTGTTAATCAAGATGACTGCCCAAACCTTCCAACTCCAGAAAAAGAGAGAAAATTTATGTGAAAAGTTGTGTGTGTGTGTGTATATATATATATATATATATATATATATATATATATATATATAATGTCTCTTTTGTTTCCTTTATTTTTCTTTTTTTTATCCCCAAAAAAAGAGGCAGTTTACTTTGAAATTACAGGAGCATGGTGGAAGTATTGATAACTTCTTTCTTTTTCTATATTTTTTTTTCAGTTTGATGGATTGAAATTTTTTAATTTTTTTTTTTAATTTACAGTGTAGAGACGGCAAAACCATTCACCTTAGATTCAACACGAAATACAGTTTTACCTTTCATTGGACTCGCATTTAAACTGGAGGTGGGTTTACTTCATTTTACCATTGTCTTTTTCCATGCTTTTATTTTTAATATAAAGTATTGTATTTATTAAATGTAAATGATGGTCTTTATGTTCTTATAGGTTAAGTCTATCATAAAATAATATGTTGTGGAAAACCCAGTGTTAATATGTATCAATTAGTTTTCGTGTTCCACCATTAAATGTATACATTATATGAAGAATGTTTGAATTTACCATCATTATTTAAAATTCATTCAAAAGAAAATAAGAAACAGTGAAATTTTTCACATCATTAGAAAAAAAGTTGAGATGTCTTTAATATATAATGAAACAATTGTTTAGCCCAACTAGAGTGACTTAATATTTTAAGTTTGAAAGATCAATTTATTTAACTCAAAAAGAACAACTGTTTAAACCTATGAAAGTAATCTACAAGAGTAATTAAGTTTAACTATGAGAGTGTAATTCATTCAAAGTATACAAGACTAATTGTTTAACTTTTATCCGGGCAATTTGTTTCATTCTGCAAGAGATGTTTCTTTAGATGAAGATAACCATATAAAGCTTCTTATTTAAATAAAATCTTCTAACCATATAACTTACAACCATATCATGTTGAAACACTAGTTCTCTTCCAATCACCAAAGTTAAATAATATTGAAAATGGTCAGTACCTAAATGAATGACCACTTGAGAATACCAGATGCTGTAATCTTGGATGTGCGGGTGGTAAGATGTGGTTGAAACAGCTCAGAATGAGAAATCAGAGAACCAAGTTCTCATCCAATCACTGAAGTTAAGTAACATTGAGCCTGGTCAGTACCTAGATGAGTAACCGCTTGGGAATACCAGATGCTGTAATCTTGGATGTGCGGGTGGTAGGATATGGTGGAAACAGCTCTTGGCCTCTCTTCTTTATAACTTGCTGCAATCGTTTTCTAAAGTTTTTGATGAGATTTGAACAAGTCTTTTCTGGAATTTTCACCCATTCTTCAATAGTTACATGTTCTAATTCCTGAAGGTTTTTTGTGAAGGACAATTTATTTGATCTTTCAATTCTTGCCATAGATTTTCAATAGGATTTAAGTCAGGACTCGTTGAAGGCAGAACTGTAATCTTCTTTTTCTGAAGCCATACAGTCACTGATTTAGATAGACATATGTTTGGGGTCATTATCTTGCTGGAAAGTAAATTGCTGACTTAGATGAAGAGTGTAGATTTTCATCCAGAATTTTTATATAGTCTGCAGATTTAATATTCCATTATTATTCATTTATTGCAATTAATTGTCCAGTCCCCCTTGAGCTAAAGCAACCCAAAAAACATTGTTGAGCCGCCTCCATGTTTTAATGTTGCCACTTTGTTCTTTGGGTGGAAAGCTTCATCTTTCTTACTCCAAATCTTCTGTACATCATTATGTCCAAAAAGCTCAATTTTTGTTTCATCACTCCATAGTACTTGTTCCCAAAAGCAATCTTCTTTGCAAAATTAAACCAAGTAGTAATGTCCCATGGTTTGTGAAGAGGGGTTCATCGTAGTCAGTTTCCATACAATCCATTTTTATTTAAACAACGTTGTATTGTGCGAGTACTTACACTGATACCCATCGTATCCAAATTTTGGCAATGTCTTTCAAAACAACTCTTGGGTTTATATTAACCTCACAACACAATATTTGTACACTTCTCGGTGACAATTTGGGTTTTCTTCCACGTCCAGGCAAATTCTCTGTTGGGCTAAACTGTTTAAATTTCTTTATAATGGACTGTATCATAGATCTAGAGACAACTAACTGGTTTGAAATAGTGTTGTACTTTATATGCCAACTTGTGTAAGTTAATAATTCTCCATCTCAAGGCAACGCTAAAGCTCTTTTGTCTTCCTCATCATGTTAACATAAGAATATCAATGGCAACACTCTATGCACCACATGATGTTCTTTGCTGTAATTATCACAAATATTTTACTGAATAAATAGTCTAGAAGGTTTCACCAATAAAATAATTATGTAAATTAATTGCACAAATCAATTAATTTAAAACAATATTTTTTTACTGTACAAATAATTTTACTTTTTCCCATTTTGCATAATTCACCTGTCAAATTTGTTGTATTTAACCTATTGTTCTGAAAATTGAGTTTTATATTCTTTTTTTGTTCTTAATAACATATAAAAAAAACTGGCATCATATGGGCATTGGATTCTGAAGATTAGATAAAGATAAAAGCATTTAAAATTGATGGGTGTATGAATAATTTTGTCTTTGACTATATATATATATATATATATATATATATAGTGCGATGGGTAAATTGTCACCATTTTATGTTTTTAATATTGTGCATGCACAGTGTTTGTTTTTGATTTTGTTGACTGCACAGTATAGTAGGGTCAGTTGGACACAGTCTCTGAGAAAAAGGGCACCATGATGCAATACACTCGGGCAGTATTTTGGAAATGGCATTTGTGCCAGAAACTCCATTTTACAGTATTTGGCTGTCAATCTGAGGACCATACAGTGAATTCAGAAAGTTAAATGAGTCTAATGGTGATTACGAAGGTACAGCAGCTCAGAAAACTGAGAGGAAAAGAATTTCTGAATTGTGGGACTCAAACTCAACATGGGGCCTATATCAAATGCCTTCAGGAGGTAGTGCTGCCCTGGGTCAAGAGGGTGGCTGCTGGAAGATACTATGTCTAGCAACATGACTCTGCACCATGACACACAAGCAGGAGAACCCAATCATGGCTGTCAGTTAATGCTGCACCACATTGCCCCTTACATGTGGTCACCTAATTCCCCAGACTGCAACCCCCTTGATTATATGTGGGACACAGTTGAGCAAGAGAACAACAAAACTCCTTGTAACACCAAATATGAACTGAAGGCAAGGATTATGGCAGCATAATAAACTTGATAAACTTGAACAAGGAGACCATTCAGAAGAGTTGCAGGAGATTCGAAGTCATCTGGAGGCCGTGATTGGAGCCAATGGAGATTTTATTGAATAAATTTACTCTTTAGTATTTCAAGATAATTTTGTGTCATTTTGGTAAATATATCTGTTAAAATAAGATTGTCAGTGTTATTTTCATTTTTGCATAATTTAGACGACAATTTATCCATCGCACCCCGTGTGTGTGAGTTTATATATATATATATATATATATATATATATATATATAAATTTCTATATATCAGAACAATGTTAGGCAATTGAATGACAAAGTGGAAAAAATTCTGTGTAGCTTTTTTTTTTTATTAAAATGTTTTTCTTGACAGAATTATATATGTGGGTGGGGAGCATCAGTTATAATTAGCCATTGACAGGAAATGCTGAAGATTTTAAAATTTCAAACATCTTCAGTGTTGTGTGTCAATGCATAATTGTAATTGATGTTTACATTTTTATATCTCCTCCATACACATAATTCTATCAACAAAAATATTACTTTAGTCCAATGGAGTTCTTGTCAAGGATGAAATGCGTTAAACAGAATTTTTTCTATTTTGTCATTCATTTGCCTTATATATATATATATATATAAATTAGGAAATCAGCCGATCATGCTACCTTGGTTTCAACTTTTCAGTATCTTCAGGCGACTTGGGCTAAATAATTTTCCAATGCTTTATTATTTAAAAATAAATGCACAATGTGAAGTGTAATAGAAAAGCAAGGGTATTGAAATTGTATCGGAGAGGGGTTATATGAAATGTACATACTTTCATCCTGGTTCATACAAACTCAAAAGGAACTTTTTTGTGCAAATGCATCATGTGTGTGAATACATGCATGTGAGTATCTGTGTGTGTGTGTGTGTGTGTATATATATATATATATATATATATATATATATTGTCTGATGATTCAAAAAGCGTGAAACCCAGGGTCACAAACTCACATCAATTCAACCAAATATGTTAGCTCTATCTGTGATATTGAGTACTTTCTAAAAAAGTACTGCACATATAATATATAAATAATAACATATAATATATTACACACACACACACACACATATACACATGTTTATATTTATATACACACACTTTTCACATACACACACACACATATATACTCACACATAAATTTAGCATAGGACACTGAACATAAAATAGGCTGTACTTAATGTAGTTTCAACCAACACTACAAATTTCTACAAAACTAAAACATTAACTTGAAAACTTCAAATGGAAACTTTCATGCCTTGTATGGTGCCAAATCTGTTCAGAAATATCTAAACTGTCAACTGTTTACAACTACTTTCTCAGATCAATTGTTAAAAACTGCTTTACTGATGCTACAGAATCAAAAAGAATTGTACCATATAACAATATCAACTCAAAGAAAGAATATAGACATAATGAAGACGTTGACATTCCACAGTAATTCAAATAAATGGTTAGGAAGGAAACCCCCATCAATATTGGAAAAAGCAATAACAACTACTGCACTCGAGAAAAAGGTTTTAAGAGAAAGATTTTATAAATTTCAGCTGAAAGTAGTACTGACTTCTTGGTCAATGAATGCTGAATGTTTCCTTATAAGGCAACAGCTAATGTCACCATTACCAATTACTATATAACAATAAATAATTGATGTGAAATATCCAAACAATGTGAGATGGAATACGTAAAAAAGCTGTTGGATATTTGAATCTTTTTATTTTCATGTTGATGTTTTGCTTTTTTTATGAGAGCATTACACATGACCAAAACATAATTCGAAAAAAATTTAAGGAAAATGTGCTAAATAAAAATACTATGGTCAATTTGAAAAGATTTTAGCTGTTAGTGAAAATTTAGAAATATCTCCTTGTACAAATCAATGAGATTTGTCAGTAGGAGAAATGTTAAAATAAAATGCAAACATGATGATTAGGTATAGGAAAATAAAAAATGAATAAAAAAAAAGAAAAATAAAGCATGTCTAGCCAAAGAAAATAATACTTATAATTAAAAATATAATTTATGATTATATTTAGGTATTATGGAAAGTATAGAATTTAAGATGCTTAGCCAGTATCTGTTTTAATATTACTTTCTTCAAGTATTAGCTAGAAAAAGTGGATACATAGGTGATGATAACTTTACTAAATAACAGAAACCACATCACTTGTGAACTTTCAACAACAGCAACAACTAAAATGGATATTGCATATAACTCGAAGAGAAAATAATGACATGATCAAAATGTTGACATTTCACACTACTTCAAATAAAAGGTTAGAAAGGAAACCCTCATCAATAATGGCTGAAATTAAAAATCAGAGAGCCAAGTTAAAATTCCAACTGGTTTGTTGTATTCACTTATGCACTAATACTCTTGAGAAAGGTATGAATCCATGTCTGCTCCTCCCTTAAGCTTAAATAGTGAAACTTGTATCTGCAAAAATTGTTGTTATTTGCAAAATATTGTTGATGCAATATTCACTCACCAACAAAAAAAAAATTATTCTGCTAATCCAAAATATGGTTCAGCTTTAAATAACGCACAAAGGCCATAAAAAAACAAAAATCAATTGCATATTTTCTTTTCCAGCTTGTTTTTCATTTTCTCTATTTCTTTTTTCTTCATTTTCTTTTTCTTTTGATTTTTATTAGGCTGGAAGATTTGGTCAATTAACCTATATGCGTGTGTACCAGGGAGGTGTGAAGAGGGGTGACACCATAATTAATACCCGGACACAAAAGAAAACTAGAGTGCAGAGATTAGTACGAATACATGCTGACGAGATGGAGGTAATTATTGTTGTTATTATTATTATTATTATTAATAATAATAATAGTGTTGGGTGGTGGTGATGTAGATCAAGGCTTGGCAAACGATGGTCCATAGGCTGCCTGCCTGAATATTTTATGCAGCCTGCAAGAACATGATAAACATTGTTTTTAAATAACCATTAAAAAAATTCTTAAAATTAGTATTCTTTTGGTTCCATGTTGCACAAAATAATAATCTCTTCAAAACAGGAACAAGGAGAACAAAGGTGGAAACCGTATATATTTATACTGAGCCCCAGTTCTCAGGAAACTCACTTCCTGCAAAATCAACATATTGCATCAACCACAGCCACAGGTACCTGGATTGCTATGGCTCACACTCTGCTCGTTTCAGTGTCCATTTGTTAGCACAGTGTAAAATTACATGGGGATCTAGATGCCTGTGTGTACTTTAACATATGATGTCATTTCTGTGTTTTGTTATAAACATCTCACAAGATTTATCAAACATTTGTTCTTTTGGAAAACATTTTTCTCAACTCTACAAATTTCATTAATTAATAATTTCAAATGTATTAAATAAATATATTTATATATATCTATGTTGTAACCTAGAAAGGGTTACTGAATGAGCAATAATTAAAATGGAGGATTGAAATGAAATCGTAATCTTTATAACATCAACAAAATATAATACTCGCCAGCGGCGAGAAGTAGGTAAACCACTGCTAGTGATGGACTACTTAGACAGTATATTACCCCCACTTATAATAGTGTCCAATGTATTTGTGAGAATTGGGACATACCCATTAGTGTTCATAGGTACAGTATATAACAATCTATATATTATTATACTCAATAATAAATGTTTTAATTTATTAAAATGACATAAATGTAGAAGGCCAATCCAATTTTCTTATCTTTTAATGATAGAATGAAATTGGTGAGAGTCTGATGCTAGTACTAAAGAGAATTTCTATGAAGAACTTATAGAGTAATATTTAATAAAAGTCTGTTAGAGATCTCCTATGATTCCTTCCTTCTTTCCTTAGGTGCCATGCAAAATGCATGCATGGGCGATCATGTCTCTTTTCAATTCATGATTGACATTCATATAACATTCTACTGGATCCATATTGCACATTTATAAATCTATCATTTGCCAATACATTGAATATTGCTGCCATATTTGATTTGGTACCCTGGTTCTATATCACAAGATTCTCAATAGAATCCCAAAATGAGTCTGTAATGTTATTGATCTTGACTTTGCATCTTCAGTCCCTTTCCCAATGCCATGATGTGGCTTCCCCTCTGTCATTTCTATAAATATTTTCATGACAATTTCTCTAATGAGTTCTCCTCCTAGCTACCTCAACTGCATGAATTTAAGAATACTACCAGATTCAATACCAGGTCTCATCGTTTTACTGTTGAACTAGCTAGATATAACTGTAAGTTCTATTCTAATAGTTTCTTTTCTCACACTTTTCACCTGTGGAAATCTCTTCTGGTTTCTTGCTTCTCTGCCACCCACAATCTTCAAAAATTAAAATGCAGCATCAATCACCATCTTCTGTCTTCCTGAATCCTGTTCTCTTATTGCCTCAATGAAGTTGTCTTATTCTCTTTCATTCTCTGTAAACTCGGGCATCTTAGTGGCATTATTACCTTGCTTGGAATGAAATGATACAATCTTTGAGTTGCATAATAAACTCTCAAAATCCCAAGTAAGTTTTCCACTTTGTCATGGATTTTCCTAAAATTAACATTTTATTTATATATTACTTTAAACATTATTTTTAATGTCTACATATATTTGAGTGGTCATTCCATCTATTTTAAACAGTATTTTATTTCATCTACAGTTATGACTTTCAAAAATCTGAATGAGTAAATTGTACTTTAAAGGCAAAATAGAATCTTACTTTAATCACAACGCTCTTCATAGCTGAGTGGTTAAAATATGTCAGATCTAATAATGGTTTCTCTTGCAAAGGGAGAACACAGATTTGTATCCTGCTTTAATAAAATTTTTCAAATATTCAGTCTGGTAGACAAAATGTAATACTGTTTAAAATAAACAGAATGTCTACTCAAACATTGGTATTTACTAAAAATAATTTAAAGTGATAAAAATATGTCAGATTAATAAATAAAATCTATTTTACTGTCATTGGCTGGTTTATAAAAATTTTATTGTGAAAACATTAACTTGTAAATTTTTTAGATGAAGAATTATTATTATATGCTTTGCTATTTGAACTAGCATTCTCATTTTAATGGTTATATTTTGAACATTCTAGCTGTCGTACTCTCTTGCCTACAATCTTAGTTAAAGAAGGTCCAATGGTCAAAACATTGTGAACATGGCATAACCAAGGTGAACCTTCTGGTCTAAATAGTAAAATATATAATAAACATTGATTTACATACTGTATTTCCCATGTTCTAAGATATTACAAGTGGTAAAATGCACTTTATAATTAGCTAGGTATAATTTAGAAAAAAAAATATTTAAGGATTTAATAGCCTACCATACTAGCAAGTCCAAGTCATCAACTCTACAGTCATTTTTTCTTTCTGTCACAACAACTTATCACATTTTGAACTTACTAAATATTTGAGATTATTAATAATTACATTTTCAAAAGTTTAGCACAATTTTATACCTATTTACATTAGAAACAACTTGCCACCACAAGTTACAAAGTGTCTTAACACACAGCAATGTTTACATTCAACTCTCAGCTGATAATTCAGGGCTGTGTTTCAAGATCAAACACTTTGTTGCTTTTGCATTTTCACTAACACAGTCTGATATTACTATATGAATATATTATTGACTATACATTTGTATTATTACAATAATTAAAATTACCTAAATTAGTAAAACAGGGAATGCAATAAATACTAATATATATATATATATATATATATATATATATATATATATATATATATATGCTATGATACTAACAGGGTATAGGGTATTTATTACATATGAATGATGATTGTAAGCTTATATGTCTGGGATTCATGATTGTTTGTATCTTGTGACTGGGGTTTGTGAAGATTGGCGAACTCTTCTCTACAACTTGACCTTTCTTTGCTAAGATGCAAGGTGGTTTTTTAGGTCATTTTTCAAGGAAAAAATACATCTTAGCACACAAAAAATATTGTAATGAAAATTGCTGTAAGTTGTAGACAAAAATAAATTTTAAACTTTTATTTTCTCCAGGAAATTGCCGAGGGCTTCGCCGGAGATATTTGTGCATTTTTTGGAATAGACTGTGCAAGTGGAGACACATTTGTTACCAAAGGCAACACCCACATTTCCATGGTAATTCATTGTCTTTCAATCTTTTGTTTTAGCCTTGTATCTATTATCACTTTAATGATAGTCATTCAATAAATATTTCAGTTTTGCAAAGATGTTTTTTTCCACAAGCTTAGAATATAAGAAAAAATGGTAATTATGAAAGGAATCATGTTTCTGTCAATCTAATTACAAAAAGACAACTGTATTTGTTATAAAATTTATGTTTATTAAATCATCATTTTAAGATTTTGTGACATTGGCCATACCATTAACAAGAAAAAAAATAGAAGTGACAAAACAAATGGAAATAAGAGGTGATTGCGATAATTAAAAGGTTTTTTTTATTTTCCATGATTTACAAGTGTCATTTAGGAATAAAGTGTCACTGCCAAAACTTGGGTTTAAACATGGATCACCAGAGAGCAAGCACCATCAACCTCCTCTTGAAATAATTAGATCATGTGATGGGTAAAAAAAAAAAAAAATATATATATATATATATATATATATATATGGGAATTAGCAGTGTTTTACCGAGGATTGTTCAAAGGCATTACTATTATTGTATCTGTGATTTACAAAGTCTCTCCTGCAAATAGGCATTACAAAAACAAGTTTCACTTGTTTGATCATTCTGGGATATCACATATCGGTCATGGGAGACTGAGAGTTCATTCAGGGTGTAACACAAGGTAGTATTTAAGATAAGCACATGTAGAATGTCAACACATGCATATAGTCAAATGATGTAAACTCATGGAAAAAATATTCTATGAATTATCCAATTGTTATAGTCAAGAGTTAGTCCTTGCTGCTGTTTTCATCACTGGCCAAAGACATCACTGTTGATAGAAATGCCTTTGTGTCACTAATAATGGCCTGGTTAAGTTTGCCAGCTGTCCATCACAAATGCCAACCTTGTTCTGCCTTTGTGAGTGGAAACATTGACTTTATAGCCAATCAGTGGCTCAGAAAGGCTGCTGTGAAAACTGCAGGACCTTTTTTCTGATTGGTCAAAAAAGATGTTTTATGACTCTGGTATTTTTGGACAGTATTTCAGAATTGGATGAATGGGGCCAGATGAAGTTAAAATCTGTTTTTGTCAGGTTTTGTTTTGAGCTGTAGATGTTGAAGTGAGCACTTTCATTAAAGAGTTGAATTTCCGACAGGGTATGATAATTTCTTTCATTAAGGAAACTATCAACAAAAAAAAAAAAAAAAAAAAAAAAGGAGCCATGCCCGTGTAAATATTGATGTGTCAGAAAATACTTTTCTGAACCATTGTATTATTGCTGTGAGACTTAATATTTTGAAATTATTATTGTGTAAGTAAACATTTTTTATTTCTTGTGAGATTTTGCATTTGACTGAATCAGACATTAATTATCTCATGTTTACAGCTGTTTTGGGAACAATTAAGTACTCTTTAAAATGTCAAATGTAAAAGAACATTTCAAGCCATACATGCACAGCTCAGCGGACAACCATGAGGAAATACTGATGTTTTTTTTCTTCCTCTTCAGTTGGATGATTTTTATTTGGGAAAAATTGCTGAATAAAAATCAACAAAACTCAAAAAAATTATGCTGAAATTTTTAATGATTGAGAAGTTAAAACCAATCAAAACTTGCTGATTAACCAAATAAATGTCTTAAAATGTCTGTTAAAATCTAGAGCAAGTGAATTTGACATGACAGAGATGGCATAGAAATTAACCTCTTTAAAAGAAATTTGTGCCTGAGAAAAACACTCTAGTTTTACTACATTTTTTAGATTCTATCTTAATGAAGACAAAGGAAAAATAACCTAAATGGTTTACATTCAGGCTATACTAGTCTTTATGGGTATATTATCCATATAGCTTTGCCAGTTTTGCCAAGAAGTCATTAGGTGGTGCTGTTGAGCACTTATAAAAATGGGACACTTCCTGTCTTCATTCTCTTCTCTCTCCTTTCTACCCAGCATGCCGTAGCGACAACATCCACAGGATCTTGTTCCCAAGCATGGGGATTTTTTCTCATTGATGGAACTTTATTCATGTACACACACATAATTATTAACTTTAATGTTTTCATTCTTTTTGTATGTGCATGCATTTTCTCTCTTTTCACTCAATTATATAAAATCCAAAATATAAAATAAAGTACCATGTATACTTGAGTATAGTGCTAGTTTTTATGATCAGAGTTTACACAAACTACAAGTAAATTTTTGCACTATAACACAGGCAATTTTTTTTCTGGTGGGGTTAAAATTCATACCAAAAGATTCAGAGGTCACACTATATGGAAAGTTTGCTTATGCCTGAATATATATAGTAAATTTTTTTTTTTTTTTTTTTGAAAGGTAAATCTTTAAGGTTTTTATTTTTGGTAAAATCAGTTTCTTTCTATTGTGACATTTTAAATAATCTTTTCTCTACTGACTGCCACTAAAATGCAATATGACTATTTGAAGACAATAGCAACCAACCAACCAAGAGAAATACTATTATTGATTTTTATGTTATTCGTCATCAATGACACATCGGGCATTTCAGGCAACAAAATATCTGACTCTTACCAAAATAGAAAGTGAAAGGAAATTGATAAGGCCATGTCATGGTAGACAATATCTTCTTCCCACAGCTATAGGTTAAAATTTCAGGGTAAACTGCACTCTCTAACCTTGTTTAGCAGCCAGTCTTATAAGAGGATGACTCTGAATTGAAAACTGTGGAGAAGATAACAAGGAAACCACTCCACAATCTTTTCCAAGAACTCCTGGTAATTAACGGATAATAAAAAAAGAAATCTTTGATGAATTATCTACATCCAGAAGAGATATAGAATTATTTAAAAAAAAAAAAAGTTTATCTGGTACCTGTATTTTCTTCCTCCTTCCACCTGGATTTTGTTGCCTGTGCCAATTCTATAAGATGATACTGTTATTTTACAGGAATCCATGTTCGTCCCAGATCCAGTGATCTCCATGTCCATCCGACCAGTCAGTCAGAAAGACTTGGACAATTTTTCCAAAGGCATTGCACGTTTTACTAAAGAAGATCCAACTTTGCTCATCAATTTTAATCCAGAAAGCCGTGAGACTATTATATCCGGAATGGGGGAGCTTCATTTGGACATTTATGCTCAGGTAAGAACAAAACAAAAACAAAAAAAAAAATCAAAAATTTTTTTTTTTTTTTTTTTTTTAATTAAAAAGAAATTTAATTTATAATATATATAAATTATATAGTATAAGTTATATATGATAAGTAAAAGAACAAATAGGAAACGTATATCAATCTAACAGGTTTCACTTTTATTAAAGCTTCATCAGAGATCGCGAGAAAACAGACAAAATGACAGGAACACTGATATTTTCAATTATGTTTGGGTCGGTTCTCATTGGTCAGACACGTGTCACATGTATTAAAACTGTGTGTATGTAAATTCGTGAAAATTCTTATATATCTAAGTGAGCAATGGATGGTAATATGTATTTGTAACTGAGTGCGTGTGTTTGTCTAGTTGGGTTTTTTATCTTCACCTTTGTGCCGTCAATCCTTACAGTGGTGAGTTGCAGAGTTCTAGTTTATAGCTTGCCTGTTTAAGAATGTATTCTTTGTATTAGATAGATATAAGTTAGATTCTTTAAGAATGGATTCAAAGAAAGATGGCGATTTTTTTTTTTTTTTTTTTTTTTTTTTTTTTTTTTAGGCATGTGTTTATAGTTGGTAATAATGTTATTAACTTTTCAATGTATTTTCTCCTTAAAGTATTAGGTTCTTTTTTTAATTAGGATGGCATTAGTGAAATCAAAGTTATGTCCAGTATTGTTTCATTCATTTCATAAAACAAGAGAGATTGTTTGTCAAAACGCAAGTCTCAAGCTTTTAGATCACATGATGTCTCCCCAACATAAACATTTTTACATTGTAAACAATTTGTTTCATAAATCCCAGCATTTGAATTGGTGTTGGGTTTATTTTTCTTTTGAACTATATCTCCAATTGTCTTGGAGGTGGTGGTAACTATCCTAGTATTAAGTATGACTAATTTGTTTGTGAGTTTAGTAGAAAGAGTGTTGGAAGGCAGGATTATGAATTTTTTGTAATTTTTGTTAGATGTGTTAATGGTGGTGCCTTTTCTTTTTTGGCTTTGTGGATTTTGTAAGCTCAAATTTTTTTTTGCATAGAGAATAAAATGATGTGGGTAGCGGTGAAGTTTGAAAATTATCTCAATATATCTCTCTTCTTCATTTAGATATTCCTAAGGGATCTAAGGTAAAATCCTTTGACTAGCCCAGATTTTATTTTTTGGTTTTGGTAGGAATAGAAGTTGATTAGATCATGTTTGTGGGTTTGCAATATACCTTAAAATCTAATTTTTCATTGTGTATTAGTAACATGTTGAGGAAAGGTAGAGAATTGTTTATTTCAAATTCATGTGTGAATTCAATGGTAGGTTCAACCTTATTGAATTATTATGTCTAATAGGTTTCTATCTTTGGGATATGTAATAAGAGGATGTTATCTATATATCTTAGGTAAGTAGAGCTGTTTGGTATGATTTGTCTAAATGGACCGAATTCTAAGAATTCTAGAAAAAGGCAAGCGAGGACACTATTGATAGGTGACTCCATAGGTAAGCTGAATTTTTGCTTGTAAAGAATATTGTTGAAAGAACAGAAGCAGTGGTTAGTTTGCATATTTTTATAATTTTGTGGATGGGTAGAGGAAGCTTTTCTTTGGAGTTTTGGAAGTGGTTTCTCAATATGTTGAGGCATTTCCTGATGGCTATGTTGGTGTATAATGATTTGATATCTAGACTAACCATGATTTTCCATATTTGTGTTTCATATTCTCTTAAGACACCAAAGTGTTTGATATATGTTGTGTTGATGGTTAGGACTTTTGTGATGGCTCTAGCTAATTTGTGGGCTGCACTGTTGATACTAGACACAATGGGTCTGATGGGTATGTCAGATTTGTGTGTTTTGGGTAAGTCATATAATGTGGGTGTGGTGGGGTGGTATTCTATTAATCTTGTCCAGGATTTATTTTCATGTCTTAATATTTTCTTAACTGTTTTGTTGAACTTTTGTGTGGCTGTGTTTACAGTCTGTTCATTGGTTTTTGTGTAGGTATTGTTATCTAGGAGGGATTCTAATTTTTTCTTAAAGAATCTAATTTATATCTTTCTAATATAATGAATACATGATTAAACAGGTGAGCCATAAACTAGAACCCTGTGACTCTCTGCTGCGTGGGTGGAGTGCACAAAGGTGAAGATAAAAAAAAAATTGAAATGGAATTTTTGTTTTCTAACAGATTTGCCAACTGCCTTTTTTATTTGTTACTATGTTTGCCTTTCCTAAATCACTTGTCCAACAGACATTAAAGGATAAAGTCAGTAATGTTTTAATGCATTCCCCTTAACTTACTCTACAGTTTACAGTATTTAGGAACATAGTTTTTATAAAGTTGGCTTGATTTAATAAAAAAAAAGGTGTGGGGCTTGTACACAAAAAATTTGCCCTTTTGTTTTATGCTTTCTTTTTCTTATCATATATGGTGGCGGTCGTGAAGAGGCAGTTTGCCTTTTCAGCTAGCCAAATTTTACAAATTAGACTTTTTTGAAAAATTTTATTACATAATTTCAATAAAGTGATCAAATGATAAGATAGCTTTTTGTCTCTAGATGACTTTTCAGCAATTTATTTATGGGAATTAATTTAAAACTGGACTTTTTTTATTTAAACATCATTTGGTGTATTTACTGATTCCAACCTGACAACCCTGCATGTACACACCCAAATTAGTTTTACTCTTGTAAGAATTCTAATGAGTTAACTTTTTTTTTTCTTTAAAGAATTATCTATAAACTAAAGTGCTGTGTGAAACAAAAAATATATCTTTGGAAGACAAGGCATTTGTTTTAACTACATCATCCAGTTTGTGAGTTTAAGTTAAATATTTAATTTTGTTACAGTAATAAACACACACAAACCTTTTCCAAAAAATAAAAATGATTTTTTTAAAATTACCTATTAGTGACTCCGTAAAAGAAAAAAATACAACATTTTGGTTGTAGAGATCTATTTAAAAAAATGGCATATTTCACTTGTATGGAAAGCAGGAAGCCTGGACTGATAAATTTTTTTTTTTTTTTTTTTTTTAAACCTAACCTGGAAAAACAACAGGCTGCTTTATACAAACATCCCACAGCCTCAACCTCAGAAGATGGACCTTTTCCTCCATAAAAGAAACAATGTTGAATGACTAGTTTCTAAAATTTGTGCACAAACCATTGTGGAACAATTTCCAGAAAACTTTTATGCTGATGGCAATGTGCTTTTCTGCAAACTTTGTCATCATTGTGTTGACCTTGTTATGGGGGGACACTATAAAGGACCATATTAAGTTTAAAAACCATTTGTCAAAAAAGGCTTTTAACATACAACCAACTATGAAACAGACTACTTACTACTATAACAAGTTTGGTGAAAAATAAAGATATAAGAAATGGCTTCATCCTTGATTTTTTTTTTTTTTTTTTTTTTTTAATGTGCATGATGTGTGACATAGTCATCAATAAAATTGACAAAATGAAACCATTTTTGTTAAAGCATTGTAAGGAAGACTGTGCTGTTCTTACTGCTAAATGTATTAGACAACTATATCTACCAAAATTGTTTGATAGTCATTTTTCTGCCCTAAAAACAAAGCTTGTTAATGAAACTATAAGTATCACAGCAGATGAAACAACTGATCACTGTGACCACAGCCTTATGTTTGATAAATTAATATGCAGGTTAAATGATTTTTTTTATTTTTACTTTATTTTTTTCAGCGTCTTGAAAGAGAATTCAATGCCAAATGTACCCTTGGTAAACCCAAGGTTGCTTTCGAGAAACCATGTCTGGACCCCCTGTAGTAAGTACTTTGTTTTTAAAACTTCTTTAATTTACGGAGAGAAAATGCTGTAATTGGTAAAACTGAGGATGGAAAGTAAAATAAAGCTTGAGGTCAAGATAGAAATTCTCTTAAATTCCATTTTTATATATATATATATATATATATATATATATACCCACCAGATGTAACAGCAAAATTGTCCCAATTGTGCATAATTGTTCGTCCCACAAAATGTTTAATATCTAAAAAAATACTAAACCAATTCTTTTTTCAGGTTTTCAGATAAGACATCTTGACAATATTTGTCATAAGAATCACTGAAAAACCCTTTGCGTTATTCAGCTAGAAAGAGAACAGGTTAAAATCGTTTTGTGTCAGCTCCCACTTCCAACTGAGAAATGGTGAGAGGAAAAAGATCATTCAAGCTTTCAGTAATGGTACCAACATTCATACTCTGGCTTCCATCTTCAAAGTCCATTCAAGACCCATCAAGAGAACAGTGAATAAGTTTAAAAAAGAGGGAACATTAGAGAGGAAAACTGGATCAGGAGGTCACAGCCGGAAGAGGTATCATCATTTCAACTTAAAGAGCTAAAGAGATCAATAAGGAAAGATTCAACTCAACCTATAAGGCATTTGGCACATGAAAGAGGAGTTTTATCTATGACAGTCCAAAAAGACTTGAAAATGAAATCATATGTGAAACATGTAAGGCACTTTGTTACTCCAGAACAGAAAGTTAGAAGGTTAGAGAGGGCAAAAATCATCATGAATAAGTTGGAAAATGATCCTGGAATAATATATATTTGAACTTTATTTCAATCCTTCATGAAATTCCGATCCTTAGCTATGGTTAATCATGAACATGTCATTTTCATTTAGATCAATTTCATCATGATTCTTGTTAAGCTTGGAGAGTAATTATACATTCTTATTGCTCAAAGTAGAGTCCAATAGTGTTATAAAAACCTTGGAGAATTCCAGTAAAATATATTTAATCATTTCTAAGATACTACGGTTCAAAGCTTAATCTAACAAATAGACAATTTTGCTTTTACACAATTTGGACACTTTTGCTGTTACACAATATATATATATATATATATATATGGAATGTGATTTCTTTTAATGCTAGTAATCCATTTCACAAGCTGGGTTTTTCTTGTTTGAAGAGGCACCAAAACATGATGAGTTTCTTCAGCCTTCATTTGATGTTGTTTTTCCCTAGTTACCTCTATGCCAGGCAAAAGCCCTTCTGCCCACTGACAGATTTATAGCCTTTATATATGTTTAGAATTTGCATGGCCATCTCTTACTAGTTATATCTGTTGTGCCCGTCCCTGAATGTACCTTTTCCAAATTGCAAATGGCGGACTAAGCATCATGGCTTTTTCGATCATGGTAAGTGCATTGAATGTTTGTCACAGTACTGCAGGAAGAAATTTTACTAAGCATGTCTGGGTCCTACAAGCAAGTACTTTACTCTTGGACATTACAGTGATGGAGTTAATTAGTAGAACTAAAAATATAGTATACAATAGACATTGAAGAAGATGCAACAAGGTTACACAAATCTCCATCTGCAACAAAAACATTTGTGCAACTCTTGCTATGATTGTCTTGCAAGTTATGACTTTCATTCCCAACACAATAGAATTGTTTTATGTCAGCTTTAACAAAGTGCAGACAAGTTTCAATTTCAAATGACATAAAAATCAGTTGTCCAAATTTCTTACATGAAGCATTGTTTATATTATTATTATTATTATTAACCTTTGACTAGTTTATCTTATTTTTGTTGTCCATGTGCTAGTAGAGTTTATGTTGTCTGTGGTTTTCTTTAAATGAAGAATTGTCATTATTGTTAATTCAAATAATTTATTTTTATTGTTTCAGTTAAAATAATTTTGTTTTAAATTAATAAAAGAAAATTAAAAATAGCAATGCTTCATCTAAGAAATTTGCATAATTTAAGACTACTACTACTACTAAGTGTAGACCAACAATGCATGAATAAAAATTGGATAACGAACAATATAGCTTACTTAATGATTATAGAATATAAAATAATTTAAGCAACAAAAATAAGATGAAAAATGAACTTATAAAAAGAATTAATGATAATTGTTTGTAATAATTGATTGTAACTGATAATTGATTTGATTTATTTTTTATGGTTTATCAACACTTGCAGGTTATTTAAAACCAGAAAATATTTTTAGATTGTAAGAATGTTTATTTTATTTTATTTTTTTTGAGAAGACAATAGGTTAGTGATACAAATCTTATGAAATAACCCATAGCTGGGTGTGAGAAGAAGAGGTGGATTCATATCTTCTCCAAGGGTATTTGTGTGTAGGTGAATATAATGACCCCAATATGAATTTGAACTCTGCTATCTGATTAACAATTCTGAGACATTATCCATTACACCAGCTGCACATCACCTGGCATTCCCAAGCAGTCACTCATCTACTTACTGTCCCAGCTGGCTGTTGCTTAACTTTGGTGTTCATATGACTTAATAATTCATAATCATAATTGTTTGTGTTTCCTTTTCTTAATCAAGATAAAATAATAGTCGTAGAATGCTGAATGGTGTTAGCTAGGTTATGCATTTACATAAGTCAGATGCAAAAAGTTAAATATCCATTAAAACATTTAGTCTGAAGAAATTGTTTCAAAGGACGAAAAATGTGATATGTTAATTTTTTTTTTTTTCATTTTCTCATTCAATTACCCACAATTAGTCTGATATATAAACTTGTATATCATATCTTCTATAATAGTTCATCAAAGAAATTATGTCAATTATGATGGAATATTTTCCAAATTAAAACTTTCGAAACAAAAGGTTACATATGTCTACTCAAATATTGAAGACAATATGCAAGTTTGACAAGGCACAAAGTTATTTTGAATTGCCAGTTTAAATTATTTTGTTAACATATTTTCTTTGGGTATACCAGAAGTATTTTCATTTTTTAATCAACTGTTTATTTGTTGAACCTTTTGTAATATTCTGAACATATTGAGGCTTTTGTAATATTTTATGCATGTTGAGACTCACACAGTATTTTGCATGTGTTGAGGCTCACATAATATTCTGCATATGCTCCCAACTCTTCTTTAAAAAAAGGAAAAAAAAAAAAAAAAATCCTTTTGAGTGTTGGTTGTCAAGATATCATCCTCTTTGCATTTTAAAGCTTCATTATCAATATAACTGATGATGTTCCCCCCCTTCTGAGCCTTATTTCAAGAGACATATTATTCTCAAAGACTTAAATTGGTTTTGTTTTCATTTCTTACTGCTTCCCAAATTCTGCAAGCAACTTTAAAACAAGCCTTTAAAATAAGCCTTTAAAATTGCCAGAGTCTTAAAATTAGTATATACCATTTATCTACAAAAAAAAAATTTTTTTAAATCTATAGCTGCATAATATTGAAAATTATGATAATAATGATTATCATAACATGGTAGAGTTGTAGAGCATCTTTAGATGTGTAACTGAAATGAACTTTGTATCTGCAAAAAGGCAAAAACACTTTTGATATACCATAATATATAATAATAATAATACCAATAACATAGGGAAACCATGCCCACAAAAAATGGTTTGTCGCTGCTATTACTGTATACCCTTTTGACTCCCTTGGAATATTTAAAATGTCATGATTAGAATTTTAAGGAAAACCCAAACATATGAAAGTGGATTTATACATTTTCTTTATTCTTAAATTAAAAACAAAGATATTAATTAGTATTTATTAGCTTGCTTATTTAATCTGCTGGCAGATTTTCTAGGCATTTTTTTTTTTTAATTAGCAACATTTTCAAAAAAAGAGCAGGAAATTTGAGGGGTAGCCTATAATTTCTGGAATTTCAGGCCTTGGATTTCTATTGGTTAGTCATCCTTGATCATAGATCCTGATTATAAAAACAATTGGAAAATTAAAACAGAAAGTAATCTGAGATGTAAAATATAAAAATGTATTATATCCAAGGAATTATGTTTATTTGAATTTTATTGTTCTGTAGTTCATAGATATTTTTTTACAAAATTATGAATAAAAGACTTGTTTTCATGATTATTTATAAAATGGTAAATAATAAATATTGCATTGGAGTTGGTTTACATATTTTGATAATTTTGTAATTTTTTATAAATTTTTGAATAAAAAGATTTCTTTGCAAATTTATTTCTTTATAAAATGGTAAATAATAAATATTGCATTGTATTTGGTTCACATATTTTTATAATCTTGTAACTAAACATTGCTGGGGGTCAAAAGTGTATACACTAATTGTGGTGTCAAGGGAATAACCATTTTGACACAACGTTTTTGTTTTTTGTCTGGCACAAAGATTATACTTTGTCAAGAAATCTTAGATAGTTTTTAGATATGTACATGAAATAAGCTTTTGACTGGTGGCAATGGACAGATTGTTCGTTTCCTTATGAGGAAACATTTGGCATTCATTGATTAAGCAATTAGCATTACTTTTGGTTGAAAGATATAAAATAATTCTCTTGAAGCAGGTTTCAAAAAAAAATATGTTTCTCAAGTCCACTGTTATCAGTCTTTCCAATATTGATGAAAAGAGCATCCCCCTAATCTTTCGTTTGAAGTAGCATGGAATGTCACCATCTTGATTATGTCATTATTTTTCTTCAAGTTACATGTGCTATCCATTTTAGTTGTTGCTGCTGTTGAAAGTCCTCAAGGGTGTGATATCTGTTATTTGATAAAGCTCTTAACTGTAACACCAGTCAATGATATCTGATGAAGATCCAGACCTCTTCAAGACCCACAGAGTTCATTTGCCTGAAACCATTTTTAATCATTGATCTGCAAAAATGGTTGTATACAGCTGATAGATTAGTCATTTCTAAACAAGTTGGCCCCCATACATGACATCTATATAACAGAGTAAAGGATTTGTAAAAACAGAAATGCTTTTGATACTTATATAAATATATAATAATATTAATAATATAGTGTACACTGAGAGAGTTTTTAGATGCTTACATGATATAAGTTTTGAAGTAAAATCTCTGTAAAAAATGAACAAAATTTTACTATTAATAATTTTCTTTCTGTATTATGTTGATTTGTTTGAGCAAATATCAATTATTAATATTGACATATTTACATTATTAATATTTTATCATTTCTATTATTATCTTATATTTTGAAAGTTTCATACAGAAATTATTTTATTACAGATTTTCAATTGGAAAGAAATAATTACTTTATATCTGTTAATTTCAAATCATGGATTTAATTAATGAGTTTTTGGAGATTGCATGATTTGTAAATAACTGAAGCTTGCCTCTCCAACAAAGTATCTTTATCTTCCAAAATTTTGAATAAAATTCTACCAGTAAGAAATATTTGAGAGTTCAAAATTCCCATTTAATAATTCTAACTAAAATTATGAAATGTTATTTTAAGTTGATCCACGTTTCTTATATTTTACTTTGCTTTGTAAAAACAACAATTAGAAGCTGTAATTTGAACAGTGTTTAAAAACACTATCTTATTAAAACTCTAATTTTTGCTTTAAATACTTATATACAATAATGGCATTCCAAATTTCCAGGAACTGGTTCTATAAAGGCAGGTAATCTCTAGGAACCTATTCTACTTATTTTCTTTACAATCTGAGAATACAAACAAATCACTTTATAGTATCAAAAAGAATTAAACCATTTTGATAATTTAATAGAAGACATTTATTAAGATATTTCTAGGTTTAAATTCTGTTCTCATTATATTTCTGTTCAAAAGTACGATGCTTTTTGATACTAGTGTCATCAGCTGTGTTATGGTTTCTTAGTCACGTTCAAACTGAATCGCTGCATTCTCAAAGATCCAATGGAAAACCTATCAACATTACGACTAGAAGATTTGCCACATTTTTAACTTCAAGACAATTTTTTTTGTCAGAATAAATTCTGTTCATCACAGAAAACCCTCTTTCAGCTTCTGCAGAACTTACAACAATTGTATTAGCTATTTAGCTAGTATATATTGGCTATTAATATAGAAGATTATTTCTGGATAATCCAACAACCAGTTCACTAAGCTTTAATAATTTTAAGAATCAGTTTTGCATGAACTGGTTGGATGCCACCACTGATTATATTGATGATGAATTTTGAATGGTTTGGGTCATAACTTCATATATCAAAAATTTTATATTCTATTCCACCATTTTGTTTAGTACCCAGGCTAATCAAAATATGGCAGAGAGTAGTTCAAAATGGAAGAAATAGAAAATGTGACTTAGGGTTAAGTCAGATTTGAACAGGTAAATAACATTTATATTCATTGATAAAATTGTACTTTTCTCTTCCACAGTTTTGACTATCTGCATAAAAAACAGTCTGGGGGTCAAGGACAGTATGGTCGAGTCATTGGAATTATGGAGGTTGGTTTCACTCAATAGCTGATTCTTTTTCTTTCTTCATCTTCTTTTTTTTAAAAAAATTGTGATTAAACATCCATAAAAAAAAGTTGGTGTAAAAGATGGTAGGTATGGAAAATGGAATTGCTGAACATGAATCCAGTTCTCTCTCTGCTCTGTCCTATGGCTAGATAGATTGAGAAAATGCCTTAATTTTAACAGGGAAAAGAAGTGAGCACTTTGCAGAACCACTCCCCCATAACTATATTCCCCACACAAACATTAGCAGGAAAGCTTATCCCAATTGCAAACATTTTGCAAGCTATAATCTCTCACAAATACACATGTATGTGTGTGTGTTATTTTAATAGTTACACATGTCTGAGTAGACATCCTATTTATTTACAGTATACCTTTAAGGTGATTTCCAGAAAAAAGGGAATCCAGTCCCTACTGAGAGATATATTTTCTTTAACAGAGGTTATGATGGTCTAAGACAGTATACATTAATTTCACTGTTTTTGTAAATAAGCAGAGATGCCTAGTCAAATAATTGTAGCCATTAAAATAATGTTCATAATAATAAGAAATAATTTTTGATTGCAGATTATATATAATTTGCAATCAAAAATTATTTCTTATTACTATGAACATTATTAAGAATTAAAGAGTTAAAGAATGGTATGAAATGCCAAAAGCTACACAAAAGACAGACTCTGGTCTAACAATTGGACTTTTGAAAGTTTTGAATAGACAGAGGGAAATTAACAGATAACTGACAGCCATCAAACATGGCATGTGGAACTAGAACAGTCTACCCCAGTGAGCAAAATAAAGGGTTCAGTTCAACATTCGAACCACCTGAAGAAGGCCGGAGCATACAACGGCCGAAACATTGTAATAAAAATGGCGACAAAGATGGGGACAATAGTCCGAATAATGTAAATAATATATGCACATTTCAGTGAATACGACAGACAACGTGCTTTGATTTAGTTTTTTATCCAATTTCTCATGCAATCTAATAATATTTTTTCTTTTCAGATGATAAACTATATAAAAACTGTCCGAATGTTCTTTTTATCTGAGCTATACATTTAGCCATTTTCAAGGATTAAATATTTTAACTGTTTAATAAGAAATAGTTTGTTGCATGTATGTTTTATAAATTGTTTTTCTTTTTCAAAACACGGTCAAGATATTGTGTCCATGTTCATTGTTAATATTATTAAGTGTTGGTTTTTTTTGGTTTTTTTTTTTATTAATAAGGCTTCCATTATTGTTTGACACGCGGAATCACTCTACACCTTTCTGACCATAGCTCTTTTGGATCTCATTTAAATATTCATGGAGACCTACCGGACACTATTCATAACATACTTGTTGACAGCACTAATATAATAGCATCATCTACATGCAAAAAAAGGCTAAATATAATGGAAGCCTTATTAATAAAAACAAAAAAAAAACAGCACTTAATGATATTAACTATGAACATGAACACAATATCTTGACTGTGTTTTGAAAAATTAAAACATTTTATAAAACATAAAATATTTCTTCACTCACACTGCGAATTACAGCCTGGTAGAGCACATTTTTAGTTAAATATTCTCCCCAGAGTGGACACTTCTTTATTTCAACAGTTGCATATTCTATTGTTGTTGGCCATATCTTTACTGCACTCTAATACATTATTATTAGGTCTGCTGAGAATTTTCCCCATGTTGCCAGAACAACTGTAACTTACTTTTAAATTGTTCTTATTGAAAAATTTTCAAAGCAGCTTGTCACCTGCAAAGTGTTTATTTACTAATTTTAGAAATAATTTGATGGCGTTTGTCCTAATAGTTTTATTGAATGGTAGGTTAAACCATATTATCTTCCTGAATGTTGGGGTGGGGTAAATGTAAAACCATCACCAACCTATCTCTTTCCCAAGAAACATACAGGGTGCGATGGGTAAATTGTCGCCATTTTATCATTTTAATTTTGCACAATTATGTTGTTTGTTTTTGATTTTTTTGACTGTACAGTATAGTAGGGTCAATTGGGCACCATCTGTGAGAAAAGGAGCACCATGACACAATTCACTCCAACATAAATTTAGAAATAGCATGTTGTACTGCTTGGCATTCACACCGGAAGCTCCACTAGGAATATTTCAAATTGTTTGTGTGTCAATCTGAGGATAGTACAGATTCAAGCGTTGGATGAGTCCAATGGTGATTACGTAGAACACATTTTCTTTATTATTATTCCCTATGAAAAGCATTGTTTTAATGGCTTTCAACATGGCTGCTATTTCTATTGATGCAATTTTGGGCTCAAACTATTACTGATCCTGTCATTTCTTTCTCATATTTGGTTTGGTTTTCAACAAGTCTGTTTTTAGGTGGCTATAAAAACATTTTCTGTTGGATAAAACAAACAGATTTAAAATATCTTTATTTTTACAAAAGTTGTTCAATGCTAAACATGGGAGTAGATTTTTGTCGGTCATATTTTTGAATACTGCATACTTGATTTGGACTAAAACCTGACTTAGATAAATTTAAGAAAATTATTCAGTTTATTAATAAACATTTTATAATAAATTAATAAAAATTTATTAAATTATTAAAGATTTTTCTTCTTTATTTACACTCTTTGTTTTTATCACAATGTTTCATCCATTATGCAACCGTAAACAATAATTTTTGTCAATTTTATTTTTCAGTCTTTATGATGGTCGATACTTGATCTATCTCTTACTGTTACATCCCCAGGCAACGCCGGGCTCTACTGCTAGTCATTAATAACTCTCTTCCAATTAAGTGGAACCTAGTTACTATATTCTTAGTACTTGATATAAAGCAAAAATATCATAATGATAAAATTGGTCAATAATTATTTATACTGAGACTCATGCATGGAATTGTAAATAGTCTTATAGTCTTACTTATTATAAAACACAGATTGTGTGTGTGTGTGTGTCTGTAACGTTTATATATTGGATCGGATTTCCTACATTTTTCAACCGATTTCAACAAAACTTCACAGGACTACATAAAATTACCTTGTGGTGGTTCTAACAGCACCAAAAATGGGAAAAATATAATTGTTTTTGCACAAAATCAATTTGAAAACACGATTAAGAGACATTGTGAAAATGGAAGGGGGACAACTCACATCGGGTTGTTTGTGTGTGTGGGTTCCTTTAAATATGGGAGCGGATTTCTTATATTTTTCAGCCGATAAAACAAAACTTCACTTTTTTTTATTTTTTTTGGCAGGTAGTGTTTCTTATTCTCTTACACACTTTTTTCTTTATTTTTAATATTCACAATGCTTTAAAAATTCCATTTACAAGACAATTATTTATAATAAAATTCTATTCAATCGGGAGACTCATAACGATTGAAAACAATGTTTTTGTTTGGGTTTGACCAATTTGTAAAAAAAAAAAAAAAACTAATTAAGACATGCGTGTCCGTCAACCTTAAACAATAATCTAATGATCTCTACTGATTGTATGAATACAAACATCAGATAAATTCTTTATCTTTAGGGAAAGATAATGAAATCTAAACATACACAAGTCCTAACTAAAAATAATAACCGGAATGGGAAACTACTTTAAATACACATGGTGTCCAATTTTTTTTACTGTATTCAATAAGTAAAAATCATAAATTGTAAAAGATTATTATTACAGAAAGGCTACTAAATGAATAAGATTTGTTAGATCATAATTAATAAACCCAAATAAAGTTAATATTTTTTGTATTAGAAACAACGAGTGGAAAATATATTCAAATCAGAATTCTAATTATGAATCACCACAAGCAAAATATGCAATTTTTTTTACTGTATTCAATAAGTAAAAATCATAAATTGTAAAACTAAAAGATTACAGAAAGGCTACCTACATTTTTCAACCGATTTCAACAAAACTTTTTTTTTTTTTTTTTTTTTTTTGGCATGTAGTGTTTCTTATTGTCTTGCACACTTTTTTCTTTATTTTTACATTCAGAATGCTTTAAAAATTCCATTTACAAGACAATTGTTTATAATAAAATTCTATTCAATTGGTAGAGACTCATAATGATTGAAAACAATGTTTTTGTTTGAGTTTGGGTTTGACCAATTCGTAAAAAAAAAAAAAATAATTCAGACATGCATGTCCGTCAGCCTTAAACAATAATCTTTGTCAATTTTATCAGTCTTTATGATGGTGGATACTTGATCTATCTCTTACTGTTATATCCCCGGGCAATGCCGGGCTCTACTGCTAGTCCATAATAATATTTAAAATTTTTAAATCATATTTACCTTTGGCGTATGAATTTTTTTAAACTGTTTCTAAATGTTTGATTGTCTTTCAATCATTCTGCCACACTTATGAGGAATGTAGCACTGTTTGGGAACCACTGGTTTAGGCTGATAGAGCAATTGTGATTTTTGTGTGAAGTGAAAGTGATTTATTTTTGTTTATGGGAATTATTTTAGTCTTACATTTGTTTTCTGAATCTGACTTGCAATAAACTCTGTGAAATGTTTTTTTATGGTCGTTTATAAAAATCTAAAATAATGTTTTGCTTTTTCTAGCCTTTACCACCTGAAGAGAACACCAAACTTGAATTTAGAGATGAGACAACTGGAACCAACATACCTAGACAGTATATACCTTCCATCAAAAAGGTAAATACAAACTTTGCCCTTGGAATTAATTACACAAAATGAAGAGAATATGCTAGTACAGTAACGGATAGAGGATTTTAAGAGAAGTGTGACTTAAGTTTGGCTTTTACATCAGATTTTTCGTTTGTTTAAGATAAAAAGGAAACTTCAATCAACAGATCTGGGAAGAAAACCTTTTGTACTTGTGTTATAGTGGAACACACCTATTCTATAATCAATAGATTCTCCCACCTATAATAAGTAGGAGTAGTTAGAGTGGTGAGTTGCTCAGTGAGTCAGTTCGGTTAGTCGAGGTTAGACAACAGTTAGTCGAATAGTAAAGTATCAGCGACCACAACTAGATTACTCTGCGTTATACCTATTATATCAAGTTCCTAACGTTTTGTACGTTGAACCTATTTTAGGACCGACTTAGTACACATACAAGCCTCCATAACAACTTGTAAAATCCATTTACAAATTTTTTAATCAATTATTTGGTGGATTCAAGCCTTTGCTAACAGATACTCCTGCTTTTGCTGTGGTTGTTAGGATGTACTCCTGACCCTGTGCAATGGGGAGGCACTTTCTGGGAGACAAATCTCCAGGAGCCAGTTATGTGGTGTCCACCTGATGACAAGACATGACTGAAGTTTGCCATGAGTCTTGAATGCCATATTTGATGACTATTTTTCATTTCAGCAAATTTTCAATGTTAAGAACCTGGCAGGTATCCAAGAAGTGTGTACATTTTCCTATTTAATTCATTGGCGGAGGGGGGGGGAGATGGATTCATACCATTACCAAAGGTATTTGTATGAAAGTGAATACAATAAACTCTGACAGAGCTTGAACTCAGCTCACTAATTTCTCTTTCCAAGCCACTACCCACACCAAGACTGAATTACAATTATATAAAAATAAAATATAGAATATAAGATATTTGTTATAAATCTTTGATGGACAAAAACTCAGAAAGATAAAAGTACAAACAAAAATAGTCTAGATGTTTTCCTTTTTTTTTCCCCCCCAAGATTCAATTATGTGAGGTATGATTAAAAAGGAAAAGAAAAAAAGAAAAATTATCTCCTTTCTCATTAATTAATGAACATTATCATTTTTTTACTGGTTTTTCTTGTTTAATTTGAATTTTGCCTGTTGATGGCTCTTTCTCCGCAATCTGGAAAGATACTGCATTCCAGTCAGGCTCCCAAAGAACACCGGAGTTCAAATGTTGTCAGACACCACCACTTTATTTTCAATGTATGCTGCTTCCATTGCATAGAATGTCAAAACAATTTGAGCATTGCAAATTAGGTGACATAAATAACATTTAAGAAAACCTTGTCAAAAACGAAAAATAATGGCTGTGTTTCATCTTAGAAAAAAAAATTGAGATTTCTTTAATTCTATTATAAATACTTCTACTTGGACAAAGAAAAAATAGTAAACAATAATATTTACATACCCAAAAAGCTATATGTGCAAGTTTTTTTTTTTGTTGTTTTATTACAGTTCACTTTGGGTGTGCTTCACAAATAGTTTTTCTTTATTTTGCAAATTGAAGATTACTGCCAAGCCTGCATCATGTTAGTCATCCATGTCATTTTGCCAATCACCTTGAAAAAAAGTATTTTTTAATTAGGCTTAAAAATTAAGGCCTGTACCTCATGTTTAGACCTTCTTTTTTTTAGAATTAATAAAATGCAGTGTAATAAAGATAACTTTTATATGCTTTAGGGCAAGCCTCAAATTTATGTAACTTTGACATTCATTTTATTGCAGTCTTTTGCAATGTCCTCCTAAGAAAGTTGTTGTTTTTGTAATGGTAGTAATCATCATCATTGTCTAACAGATTCTAACATCAAAGAAATTCAAACATGTCATTTGCAGTAAAGCCAGAGAATACTAATGGCAGAAAGTTCAATCATATGCAGTTAATGAACAATATCTTGAAAATTGTTTTTTGACTAGTAATGAACTTTAAAAAAAAAGCAATTTTAACAGATTATTTTCCTTACATATATTTTTTCCTTATTTTAGGGCTTTCTGAAAGCTTGTGAGAAAGGAGCCTTAACTGGACACAAGATTTCAGGCATACGGTTCCGGTTAATTGATGGTAAGTAATTCAGTGAAAATATATATATATTTGGTGGGCTCTCCCATCGTATTTAATGTATGAGGGTCAGCAACTCCTAGGAACTGACAGCCAGGCACTAGCACATATGATTTGATTATGGTGGTGAAAGTTTTGTGCAGAACCAACCACACTTTTTGAAGGGTTGAATACAGAGATCTGGTGCACTACATGCCACAAGGTCCTCAAATGACCCTTTGCAGGTTTTGAATTCAGAGTTGTCCTTATTCTAGACCAGTTGCCATCCATGGCTATAGAACCCAGTCTGTCCTGCTAATTACCCATAACTGAAAGGAGAAGAGATGGATTCATACTTTTCCCACGTAAGTGAATGTAATGGATTCAACTGGAATTCAAACTTGGATCTCCAAGCTGCTACCCACTTCTCCACTTTGCCTCCTATATATATAATTGATAAAATGCTACCAGAACCAATTTCTGAATAACATCTGTTTCTATGCCCTAGAAAATGACCATTTTGGTTTTAGTTGTTGCAGGAATCACCACTTTTGATAATAGATTTGCACATTTTTTAGTAAATGTTTAATTCTCTTAGTATATTTATCTCTCAAACAATATTGGTGGACTCCTGTGAGTTCAGGCAAAAATGATACACAAGACACAGAAATTAAACAAATGAGTATTAATAAATACATCTAATAGGCATATTACAAAAAGGAAAAGTGAGAAATTAAATGTGAAAAGTTCAAAGCAATCTTCACTGTCTCTAAGGTACTTACATGCTGGCTGAGTGAGAGGAGGACGTCTTAGTGCTGCGAAAGGGAAAGAGGGAGAGTCTTTTAAATCTCATGCCACCTGTAATAATCATCTGGGGGCAGTAATCCAGCATAGTAAATGTTTGTTACAGATTCAGGGTTAGAGTGTAGAAATTAAGTTAGTTCAGCTGTTCTTTAGTCCTGGGTATGGCCTTTGATTGAGAGATTCATGATTTTGAGGTGTGTGGAACTACCTCTTAAGTGATGTTGTTCCCAGGTTCACCCTGATTCAGGGTGGTAGCACCTGTTAGAGTCTCAGCTATGGGCAAATAATGAACACTCCCACAAAAAGAAAACACTATGAAAGTATAAAAATATATTCTTATAGTAAAATTACCAACAACACAATTTTAAAGCAAAATGACTATCAATACATTTCATAGTAGAATTACCAATGATATATTTTATAGCAAAATAACCAACAATACTTTTGTAGTTGAAGGCATACAATTGCGTTCAAAATATATTTAGTTGAAGCCATAAAATTGTGTTCATAATATTTAATTTCAGCATTAAATAACCCATAGAGGTGTTGATATGCTGCTAAGCATAATCAACTGATCAACTGTTCTTTCACCATATAATAAAAGTAGAAAGTGAGGAATTCTTTTCCTATACACAATGCACATGCATCCTTGAAAAGATACACAGATACCCCCCACACACACACATGCGCGCATAAACACAAGCAATATTATATTGGGCAAATTGTTACCAAGTTCAAAAATTGACCTTTGCCCAGGCTGTGATAATGCTGATTTGATAGGAACAGATGATATTCTTGTGGAGGTGGGGGGTGGAAGTTGAACAACAATACTACTCGATATTTAGTCACCCCCACCCCACGAGGGCATCATGTGGCACAAGGCCGGTTTAACGTGGGATCTCCAAGCCCGTGGGCTCAGCCAAAAATATGCCCATTGAACCGTATAAACGGGTTCAGAGTCGGTTTACCTCCCCGAAAGAGAATCCACCCTTCGGCGTAGCCTCTTTTGGGTTCCTCCCCGCCCGAAGGCAGAGAGTTCAACCAATCAGCCAGTCGACTGACCAACAATACTACTCTTTCCTCGTGATTGGAGACAGTTATTTTATTTGTGATGTTGAATGAAACATGGAGAGAGAAAGTAAAGTCAAACAATGGCCAAGATTTCCTTCTCCCAGTTCATGTCACCACTTTCAACTGCACAAAAAATGGGACAAACAAGAAAGAACTGAGCAGGGATCCTATGTACAACATACTTTCTACTTCATCATTTAATAAGAAGATCCTCACAGTGTGTGACACTGTTAGGAAGTTCCTGGAAATGACACTACATATTGACCTTGGGAATAAAATTGAGTAGACAAAACTTTGGGAGCTGTTGATGCTTGTATTAGCACAAGGTCACGAGACATCATGACCAATGGTTTGAGTGTACTGGCCTTGATTAACATCTGATCATATCAAATTATGCACTCCCAGAAAGTATAAGGTCCACTCAGCATAGTTCCTGTACAAACCACAGGTTGGTTTTGTGGGTGTCAAATAATTACGTGTGCCTGTGTGGGCATCTGTGACAGGGATTAACTAGCAATAATAGCAAATGATTGTACTTGGAAATGAACAACAAGCCATTATATATAATGATGTTATGTCTTTGCTTTTTTAAAGATTTCTTAGAATCTACCCATTTCAAAATATACTTAAAATGCATCGTCTTTAACTCACATCACAATAATATAAAGCCAGTATCCACATGTCACCTAGGTAGAAACACCTGTGCCTGAGTGGCCATCTACAATAGGGATTAGCTAACCACTTGAGCAGATGAAATATACTTGTGAATGAACAGTCAGACTATATATGTTGCAATGTTATAGCCTTTCTTTAGAATCTTGTCCATTTCAAAATATCTCACCCAGAGAATTTGAATTCTATCAATATATACATGTTGTCTTACTAATATATACACATGACACAAAATCAGTAGATCTTATAAATATAGTAAACAAATTAAAATATTCAGTAAATTTTATGAAAGTTTTTCTACCCAGAAATTTCTGTCTCGTTTCTGCATCTGAAAACAAAACATAGAAACTCCAAAAGGGAGTTTATGCTGAATCCAAAGACGGACTTATTTTTCTACAGCCAACTTGCTGGAAGCTTGGCTATGAAGTCAGGATTTCTAAACTGAAATAAAAGAAAATGACTATTTGATATTTGAAAAAGATTTGTATGGAATTTGAACTCTCTCTCTCTCTCTCCATCTTTTGCAAATGTCATTCATTGAATTCTATTGAAAAAATTTTATTTCTCACTAGGGGCTCATCACATTGTTGATTCAAGTGATTTCTCTTTCTTCACTGCTGCTGAAAATGCAGTTAAACAAGGTAAAGTTACCATTTCTTTTTTTTATTTTTCCTTTCTTTAATTTATAAATATCATTGGACAGATGTGTCCACTTGAGCTTAATGATCACATTTTGATCTTAATTGAAAAAATTGAGAAAAATTGCCAAAATATGATTTTAAACCAACTTTTTAACACCTTTTACTGTTTATGACGCATAAAGCATATTATTTTCAGTAGTTCACTTTAATCAGGCATACTCATTGTAATTCATTTTCTGTTGCTTGCTCATCATTGCTAAACTTAAAACAATGAATTGGGACATGTTTTATAAATTTTAGACAAAATTTCTGACAATATAAAAATGGCTTTCTTTCTTCATTCATCTGCGAATAATTTTGTGCCTGTTTATTCACTATAACCCACAATTTCTCTTTTTCTGTCTATACCAGCATAATAGTTCCAATCACAACAGACAGCTCTTTGTGTCTGCTCATAATAATTGTAAATGTGTCCTCAAAGTGGCTAAGTTTGCTGATAGAAGCAAGCAGGGCCTTCTTTCAGATAAGGAAATATGGCTTTCACTTCTCTAGGTCAACTGTTGATGTATTAATGCTTATTACTGAAAGAGTCTATCAAGCTTTAGATAAGACCGGTGAGGCTTGGGCTGTTGTTTTGGATATCTCAAAGACATTTGACAGGCATGTTGGCTTTCTTCACAAGTTAAAAGGTAATGGTATTTCTGGACGAATTCTTCAATTGATTTGGTGTTTCTTACCAAATCACGAATGAAAGTTGTCATGAATGGTGTTGTTGAAGGTTATTGAATAAAATAATCACATGAAGGTTGGTAATGAACAATAATACTTAGAACAAGAACAACACATATAAGATTCGCCAGCAGCACGCAGAAGTAGTCAACTGCTAGAAGTGAGTTAAGTGAATTTCACAATGAATCTCCAACTGCAGGATATCTACCAACTGCCCCACGTGGTCAGATCTGGCACAAGGCCAAATTTAATGTGGGGTATGCATATGCTCGGCCAAAAATTCCCCATAAAACAGGGTCAGGTAGCTGTTTCCCAAGACGAGACTCTGCCCTTTGACATAGTCATGGGGATCCTGAGCGTGAGATAAAGCAAGGAGTGACTTAATTTTAATTTAAAATGAAACTGCTCTCTTTTAATCATCTGAGAGAACTAATTTTACCTTCCAGTAGCATGGCTGATGCTAACCTCCAGGAAAGTGACTCATTGTGGCTTCTCAGGCTAACATTTTCCATTCATCTGAAGTGTAAAGATTATATTGACTCAATTGCTAGGTCTACAGCAAGGAAAGTTGGTTTTGCTGTGACATGCTAGACAATTTTTGTTTTTTGCCAGAATCTATCTTACATATTTATAAGTCTACCATTTGTTCATACTTTGATTATTACTGCCACTTTTAGAGATTCTTGATAAAATCCAAAAGAGAATCTGCAATGATCCTGACCTGGCATCTCAGCTTCAGTCACTTTTCCACTACTGTAACATAGCTTTCCTGTGCTTTTTATATAAATCCTTTCATGGTAATTGTTCTGATGAACTTTCCTCTATGACACCTAGACTTTATGAATTTAAGCACAGTAGTAGATTGATGGCAAGATCTCATCACTTGCAATGACTAGATGTAATCATAAGTTCTATGCTAACAGTTTCTTCTCTCACTTGTAGAAGTCTCTTCTGACTTCTTACTTCCCCTGTCAACTTTGCATTAAATTTTTAATTTCTTAATTCTTGTTCTTTTGTTGTTCTCTCTCTTTAATAGTGTTTTTTTTTTTCTCTCATATATTCTTGCACTCAGTAACCCCTTATGTCTTGCTGGTTTTGTTGCCTTGCTTGGGGTGAAATGATTAAGCAAAAAACATTAAACTATGAGACTGCCTGATTCTATTGATCTTCTTCAACCATTACATTTTTTTTCTTTTGTTTTTATTTACACAAAATACTACAAAAAATCCAGACTGTACTGATCTCAATAAACTTTAGCTGTTAAAAGACAATGAAAAAAATATAAATAAAAGTAAGTAAAAAAATAAAAAAAATATTTAAATTTTTCCTTTTAGGATTGATTTTTGTTTTAACAATTTAATTTTCAAATCAATTTTTAGCAATTGGGGAGAAAAAAAAATCTAATTTACTTATCAGCATGAATCCTTCCCAGAATGTCAAAGGTTTATAACAAGAGTGATAAATTGTAGATAAATAAGAGCATGAGATAAAGCAAATGTTTCTATAGCTATCTGCTGCAAAAATACTTCCTTAGAGTATGGAATCATTGAAGGGGCATAAATTGTTTCTTTGCAAACCATGCTGAAAATCTCTGCTATTTGTAACTAAAAAATATCCGTTTACAGAGTGTAATGTTTTCATACTTATAAAGAAACATTTTTAAAACATTGAGACACTTAAAAAAGAATTGAGAAAAAAGTAATAAAAGAATTATTATTAGTAGTATTAGTATTACTACTACTACTACTACTATTATTATTATTGAGAGAGATAAAAACTTGCCAACAAAGTAACACCACAGTACAAATATTACAAAGTCCAATATATCCATCATGGCACCCAGTCTGAGTAACTGTATAATTGGCAAATTATTATTGTTTTTTTGTAATAACCAAGGCAAATTCTTCTGACAAGGCCTGGAACGCAATATATTGTAAAACAAATTTTCATTCATCTTGTATGAAAGGAATTTTTTTAACTGGTTTATCAATGTTATCCAAAAATCAAGATATTCTCTAAATTAGCTGAGCAATGTTTTGTGGTATGTAGTTTGGTTGTGTTAGCTTCTTCTTCCAAGTGTCATGTTTTTCAGGATGTGAGCAATCATGGCTCTCCACAATTTCTTACTGTTTGTAGCTTTTAGTAAAGTCTGTCTTTTTGAATCTGTTAAATTCTAAGCTTTGCTAAAAAGAACTTCCTGTTGTGAAAATTGCAGAGATTGCGAAACGTTTCATTGTTTAATTATTCCTATTTAATCGAATCCAATGAAAAATGTCGAATCCAGGATCAGACTAATTTTTCTAAATTCATTCAAAAATATATATTCATTTTTACAAAATCTTAAAAATACTGCCTTTTAAGAAAGAAAGAAAAATAGTTCTGTGAGGATTCAAACATCCAATATGGAAGTTAGCAAACAATAGTCCATCGCCTGCTTTTAAAAAAAATTTGTCAAAAAAAAAAAAGTATAAGTACTAGTTATATTATTTACAATCTAAATAATATACATTACATTAGTTACATAAATCTGGAAATGGAGTATGCTTTATAAGGATATATATTTCCTGTGTAGTTGACCAACAAGTCAGGATAATAGACACATTGTAAACTCTGTGAGTCTTTCATTAGCAATATGTATTTCGCTAGGGCTACATATGATTTTGAATTCAGAATTGTCCTTCTCCTAGACTAGTTGCCACCTAAAGCTGAAAAGCCTGCCCTATTATTTAATTCATAGCTGAAGGGGATTCATATTTTTCTGAAGGGAATATGAACAAAAGTGAATGTAACCCCAGCTCTCTCTGATTTCTTGTTTCAAGATGCTTATCAATTATGCCACAAGATGACCTTTTTTTTTTTTCTTTTTCTTTTTTTAATTTTTGAAAAAAAATAATCTTTGAGGTGAAATGAGTTTAAACTTGAAGTCCAATGTACAGTGTACATATAATGCCAAGCGTTTCAGCTTGGAATTATATGTACACTATAAATAGACTTATAAATATGTAAGATAGATTCTTGTTAAATATTTACAAAAACTGGAAGAAATCCTAGCTTTTCTGTAGCCTATGATATTCATGGGGGTCATACTGCAAAGTTTTGTCCAATTCAGTTTTGCAGTTTAGGTGTGCATAATGTTTTTAACAGACATCAACCAAAAATTGGAAATACAATATTCATTCGGAAGATCAACATGTACAACATGGACTCACAGTAAAATACATTTTAACTGAATGTACTCACTTAGCCCCTATAAGACAGAAATACAAGGAAAGCAACTTGAGAGAACTATTTGAAAAATACTGAAACATGTCCTACCTTAAAGAAATAGGTTTATTCAAAAACATAAACACCTATAATAAATCTACAAACTGTATCTCTGAAAAAGATACATTTACTCTGAAAGTATAAAATTATGTACAAAATATTTGTAGTTAAAAACAAAATTATGTTCAAAATATTTTTGGCATTAAATAACTCAAAAAGGTTGATATGCTGCTAAACAAAATAAACCAACTGACAAACATCAAAGTTATGCAGGGGGGGAAGTATCCCCTTCATTTAGATGGTGTATGCATGTTTATTGACTACGCACAGTTGCTGAGAGTATACTATAGACCAGGGGTGGCCAAATCATGGATCACGAGACACATGTGGTTCTTTGACCTTTAATATGTGGCTCATGAAAATATGTTGGCTCAGCTCCTTTTTCAACACAAATGTAAATACAAGGTAAATAAGAAAAATTTCAAGTTTTATGATTATTTATTGGGTAGAAATAGAGATCCCACTGGATTAAAACTCAAGTTTAATATCCATGGTTAATAAACAGTTTAAAAAAACTGCATACATTAATATTATTGTATGCATGCATTTCTTAATAGGTATATAAAAATTTAGTTACAAAATGTGTATGTAACAAAAAGGTATGTGTAAATTTTGTTCATGTCTTGCGACTCTCAAACATCTGAACTTTATCATATGTGGCTTTATATTAAGCAAGTTTGGCCACCACTGCTCTAGACTTTAATGTTTGGGGAAAATATATATATATATATATATATATATATACACACACACTGCAGACTGTCAGTACTTGTTTTTATTTAGCCTAATTCTATAATACTGTAAGTTTTTTTTTTTATACTCTATTTCACCCAATACAAGGCCCAAGGGCCACTCAACGTAGAGGATTACTAAATGAGATTGTTTTAAAGGAGGGGGAAGGAGAAGGGGGGTGTATATGACGAGGGCGAGTAGGATAGATATCGGTTAACTTGAGATCCAAGGCTTAAAGGCATTAAGATTGTAGTGGCCAGAGAAGAAGCATTCTCTTGGAAGTCTGTTCTGCAAAGTAATAGTTCTGGAGAAAAGCTGTCTGAGTGGAACTTCCTCCTTACTAATGGAATATGAAGAGAATGAGTCAACCTTGTGTACATAGCATGGCAGGTCCTAGCTGTGAAGGTCTGAACTGGTGGAACCAAGGAATGTAGTTTGTTCAAACATTTGCCATAGTAATAGAGATTGCAAGGTTCATATCATTTTTTGACTGAGGAAAAAGGGGCTGCCAGGTGGAAAATATTGAAAAGAGGTGGTCTTATTTGTTGTTAGTTGATAACCAATTTTTCATCATATTGGAAGGACTCTTTGTCACCATTTTATAATTTTGTTGTTGTCCACACTGCTGGCCTGGACACCATTTTGTTTAGCTGAATGCATTGACAAGTACTTTTAAACAATATTCACAATTCCAGATCCCTTTCTTTTTATATCATATCAAAATATTTATATTAGAATTTTTAATAAAATGATTGATATTTAATTTGGATTTCAAAATAGTTTAAATATTTCAAATAGAAATTAGATATTTATGAAAACATTGTCAAGGATTTTAAACATAATTAGAAAATAAATTTCTTACTAACTGTATCTTCTTTTAAAACTCAACTCATATAATGTTGTTAAATTGGTTTTCCTTATTTTAAAAACTGTTCTTTGCATATCATTGAATGCTGGTTGAAGACGTTTGTATATTAAGCCAATGTACAAGAGGTTAAAGACAGCATAAACTTTATAGCAGGAGTGACAGGATGCTATAAATCAGCAGGCAATTATTCTGCAGCAGAGTATAAGTACATTAACTGTAATTGATTTATAGCCTACCATACAAAGAAAGAGGCTATTGTTAAATATGCAGAAAAAAAATGTGACTTGAAATGACCTTGTAGCTAGTTTCAACAAAGTTTTTTTTATGGTTTACTTTTACTTAAAGAGAAAAGTAAGTTACATTATATTCATGCAGTCTTGGTTACAATAAGACCAAGCTAGTTTTCATATCAGAACAAGTAACCTAACTATCTATCTGAAAATTAAGAAAAGAAAATTCAATTGATCTTTTAATCTTTTTGACACATTAAGAGAATGTGAAAATTTATTAAATTTCTGAGATTTTTTTTCACTCTTTTTCTTATTTCTTTTTTAAATTCTAATTCATATTTTAATGTAAAGAACACAAAATTTAACAAAGAAATATTTCCCCACTACACAAGTTTTTTTTTTTTTTTTTTTTTACACCAGTTTCATGTCAAGAAATTCTATAAATCATTTCTAAATTTGTTTCATTGCAGTTCTTGAAGAAAGCAATTTCTTAATATTGGAGCCTATAATGTCTGTAGAAGTGGCCATTCCCAATGAATTTGAATCAAATGTTTTAGTAGGATTAAATAAACGTCATGCTGTAATCTTGGGAACAGATTCCAATGAAGGTTATTCCACTATTTTCTGTGAGGTACGTAAAATCAGTCATTTTCTTATTAGAGTCTATGTACAAAATATTCTTATTTAATCTTGTTGAGCATGAAAATCAGTTTTCGAAACACCCGAAATAGTTTCTTAGGTTTGAACCTAATAAAAGTGCTATCAGATCATGAAAAGTATTTGAGGACTGTCAAATTTTGTGTAAATTAAGTTGAACAATAAGATCACTTGGTGATGGAAAATCATATCACCAGTTTAGCCATGCCATCAAAAATGACAGACTACAAGAAATCATCCACCTGTCAAAACAAAGACACTACCACTTGGAAAGATAACAATTATAGGAAAAAAATTTGGTGTTTATGAAATAAGATTATCAATAAAATGTTAAACTATTTATTGAAAAGACTATGGCTAAATATGAAGAAACTTCCAGAACTTTAAAAATATTCATTATATGGTACTTCCTCGATTATGCAAACACCTTGGGAGAGGTGTTGAAAAAATGTTTGAATAATTGACTATTTTTAAAGAATTAATTTTTTTTTTAACTCCAACATATTTTTATTACTTCAAATGTTATTTTTAGTGGATACCTGTATTTGAGTAGACGCTCTGTTTGTCTAAAAATAATGTTTGACGTAATAATTGAATATCTAACTCAGTATTTCTCAACCTTTTTCTTTTTACTTCAGGACACACTTGTAGAATAACTAAAACTGAGTTGCACTTTAAATTTTAATTAGGAAAGATTAGTCATGAACTTTCAAAATAGGATATTTTTAAGACATTACATTGTAGATTTAAGTATGCTTGTGTGAAAGATGTGCTTTGGAAATTTTTTTGAATGTTAAGACTCATATGTGATAAACATACCCTCATTTCCTCATTAATGCATTTAATATTTGATCTCTTTTTGCATTTAATGTTGGTAAGTGCAAATAATCCTAATTCACAGACGTATGAAGTGGAAAATTGCAAAAAAATATTCAATGCTTTACAAGCTCTTGAATGATATTCTTGAATGGAAATCCAAAATTGATCAATAAACACCTCACATATTTGTAAGCAGATACGGTGACCAACTTCTCTTCTGTTAATAAGCGAATATCATCAAAAAAAAAAAAATTAAAATAAACAATCAAGATTTTTTGATATAATTCATAATTTATTCATCTATTAACTTGGGGTGCACCTGACTAACCTTTTCAGGTGCATTGGTATGCATCAGTTGAAAAATGCTAATCTAAATTATTTAAAAAAAAAAAAAATGGGCTGGGAGTCATTTTCTGGAAGAAATTCAACATTTATATCATGAAATAACAATTTCAAATGCTTTCAAAGTCTTGCCCAGTTTATTTTTTATGAAAACAGTACATCAATTTTTATCTGTTTACAGTTTCCTTTGAGTTTTTTTACTGCCAACTCACAAGTCTAAACTGAAATAGCTGTATTTGTGCTGGGCAAACAAAGACCTTTCATTTCCTACTGATGTGACACTATTTAGTTATGGTAATTAATTAATTAGCCATAAAAATTGAATGGGAAAATGCTGAAAACAGAAAAGAAGGGTTAAGAGTTATCCCGAAGGATATAACGTTCAACATAAGATTTTATTTTATTTTTCAAAAAGTCTATTTTTCTCAAGAAACTGAAGAATTGCATCAATGATAATTTCACAAAAATGGTCTAGCTCTGACAATTGATTAATAATGGTCGTTAAAAGTGCTGGTTAAGAGAACACAAAATAACCAGAATCAACAAAGATATCATTCAAAGAGTGCAGAGATATTGTGTACACAGGTAATGTGACCAAGGAATGGCCAGACAAGAGGGCCATGTGTTAATTGTAGAAATTTTGGCAGGGCACAAAAGGATTTGCATAAACAAAGCTCCAGTTGATAATTCTGCTCATGATCTGGGAACAGGATAAGAAATCCTGAATAAGCAGTGGTATCAAAGAATTAATTAATGAAACAAGCTTAGCCACACCAGCATGACAAAGATGCCATTGGTCGTGTGGTAGCAGTGGTGATAGGTGGAGGTAAAATAGTAAGAGAGACAGAGAAGTTACTAACGCCCACCAAAAAGAATTGGTGTAAGATACCAATGTGAGGAGGAGGAGGAGGGAGTTTAAGAGGATAGCTATCCTGCAACCTCTCCTCATGGACAAAGGGATCCCCCCAGAAATAGGAAGTAATTAATTCTCCAAAAATGGGAAGTAATTAATTTTACTAACCAGACAACAAAGGGCCCCTTGTTGGAAATTGGAGATTCACCGAAAACCCCATGGTGCATCTAACCCCGCACTGGGTTTTGGTTGATGTCCATATAAGTGAGCAACCTCAGGCAGTTCGCAAGTTCGTGTTTTGCAGTTGGGGAGAGCTACGAGAGAGCTGACGTAGAGATTCCACTATTCCTGCCTTCAACTTCACCTTTCTACCAACAGTAAGTTATACTGGTGAATGAAGCTAAGCCAGCACCTAAAAACTAAACCAGTTGACTTAGAAGACCAGAACTTGCCTAGAAGTATAAAAGTGTCACTCTCAGAAGGAACAGGTTGGGAAGAAAACACACTCCTGTATATAACAGATTGATAAATGTTGATTTGCTTTCTTCAAACATACACAAACCTTTTTGGTTTTCATTTATTTCTTTTTACTTGTGCAACATTACCTCCAGTTCAGACTCATTTTGCACAACGTCCCCGGTGTCTGATTGATTTCATCTACCAATGATCAAAATCACATTGTGGGTAGGTTAGACTTGAGATCAAGGTAGTTACTTCGGTAACCAGTCATTGAAAGCAAGCTGAGAACGATGGAGCTGGTGTCGAACTGGTTGCATCTGGTGTGAAGCCATTACGTATTCTTGCTGCTAGAATCGACTGACCATCCCATTTGGTACCCTGACCAAAGGATCCCGCCAGGTAGTAATAACCGCCAATCAACCGGGTCACATATTGGTGGCAGTGACTAAAGAGTCAACCCCCAGAACGCCACAGTAGATGTCACACTGAAGTATCATTCACATGTGTGTCCCACACATATTCTCAAAGAGTTGCGTATGCCATAATCCCTGGCATGACCTAACTCTAATAATTCAAATGTATGTTCTTTGTATGAAAAGGGAATGGGGGATTAACATGAATTAATTGAACTGATTTTATCAGCATTTTTATCAAATGTTGAATATAGTTTTCTAAACTCTAACAATGCTTGTCTCAAATGAAATATTAAAATGGATTATGTTTGAATGACTTCAATTTTTTCTTTTTCATTTCACATCTGGTTCATTTAAGTTCAGAAAATCAAGGAAGTATTGTAAATGACATCAGAAATTGTTTTTTTTTTTGTTTTTTTTTTTTCCAGAATATACCAGGTGGACAACATTAAGATCCACTTAGATATATATGAATTTTAGTAAGAAAAATTAAAAAATACATTACTACATTTTTTTTTTTCCTAACAGGTGCCATTAAATGAGATGTTTGGCTACTCAACTGAATTGCGCTCCTTGACTCAGGGAAAAGGAGAATACACAATGGAGTATAGTCGGTACTGTCCAGCACAAGTTGATGTACAACAAACTTTGATAGACCAATATCAAGAGAGTCTAATGGCTGCTCAGCCAGATAAGAAGAAGAAAAAGAAACGGAATTGATAATTTTATATTTACTAAGTAAAAGTGAGAGAAAGAAAAAATGATTGCTGATTGGTTATCATGATAGATTCTGTAAATATATAATAAATTGTGTCTAAAAAAAAAAAAAAAAAAAAAAAAGGAGAGAAAAACTCAGTTCAAAACTGGAATTTTTAAAAACTTTTTGTCTTTGTTGTTCTATTCTTTTGTCTTCTTTAAGTTTAAACATTCCACAAGGGCCTCCCTACAAACCATCAATTTCATTGTTAGTTTAAGTGAAAAAAAATTATAGATTAAATCCAACAGAATGATTAAATAAGTAACAAATAAAAAAAATGTTTATAAATTTAATGTTTTGCTTTTATTTTAGTTTTATCAGAAATCTTTTTGGAAATGAGTGGATTTAGAGAAAGTTTTGGTATTTAAACTTCTATGTGGTTTGTTTTGGTTGATCAGGTAGATCTCACGTGTTTGTGGCATTAATGTGTAAATTCTAGTGGATATTTTTGTGCGTGTAAGGTTCTGACTCATGAAAAGAAATGGTATAGAATTCAAAATAACAAACCAGAAAATTTCTGATGAAGCAAAAATAAAAGCGAAAAGTTAAATGGATAAATTTTTTCTTGTTTGTTCCTCATTCCCGACTGTTACATGATGAAATGTAATGAAAGCTAAAAACTTCTGCTTTAATTGCAGATAAGCAAAAATCTACACATTGATATAAAAAGTTTCATCCTCACTAGATGTCCTAAGTTCAGCTAATAATCATACCTTCTAAACTAACAAGTATATCTGAATTAAATTCTACTACTAGCCAGAAGTAAAAACCCCTTTCCAATTGGACAAAAATCAAAGCATGTATTTTATGTGACAAATAATATTGAGAACAAAGGAAAAAAAATTATCTGAGCTAAACTTGAAAAATCCAACATTTAAAATGGTTTCATTTTTCATGTTTTGTAATAATATTGTTTACCCAATACAAGGTTGAAGAGCCCCTCAAGGTAAAGGGTTACTGAATGATTTTGTTGTAAAGTAATGCAGATTATAAGTTTATGCAAGATAGTTAACGGTTGATCTGAGACTTGAAGTGATTGCATCTAAAATTTACCTTACTCTATGGAATCAGTCTAGTAATTCCATATACCATTTATATATAACTCATTTAAACACAGAAACCTACCAAACTCCATTCGCAAAATACTTGTAGAAAATACAAGTATAATAGTATAATCCACATGTTTTAAAAAAGAAAGGACTAATAATGAAAACACTAATAATAAAAAAGAAAAAGCCGACATTCAACATCAACTATGAACATGCCAACAATGTGCTGACTGTGTTTGGAAGATAATAGACAATTTTTTTTTTTTACACGCTTTATACCCAGAAAATACTTGTACAAACAAGAAAAATTAAAACAAAAACGTTAATCACATTACCTTGTCAGTCATCTTTAATGAAACTTGTATAAAAGAGGGATTGCTGCCCAAATACACACGTGTGTGTATATATATATATATATATATATATATATATATATATATATATATGCTGTAGCTCCTGAAAATTGGAGTTAAAATTTAGAAATGCTGCAGAGAGTGCTTAGTGTTAAAAAGCTAACTTACATTACATCTAAATCAAATTGCACCTTGCTGATTCCTTTATGGCATTTCTCAGGGCAGTGGGGATTTATTTCAAAATGTTCATCTCCTCTCCAAGAAACTAGCATCAGGAGTAACACCCTGACCTACCAGGATTCCACCTACCTCAGGTGGAATTTTAACTTATTCAACTGTTTTAATTTCATGTGTCCAGATCCTTTTCACCCAAGAACGGGGACTAATTTCAAAGTAAAAACACCTTCCTTCTTCTGTACTTGTAAAATACAAACAAAAACAAAATACTGGTTGCTGCATAAATACCTCCCCCACACACATAATGAGACATTAGCTAGATGAAGACATCATTGCCACTAATGTCTTACCATTATGTGGGAGGTATTTCTACCACATGGTATAAGTATCAACTGCCAGTGGTTTCTAAATGCAACAAATTTTTGCTATTTATAGAAGGGAGTTCTGAGCAATTCTTGGTTCAGCTTACTTGCCAAAATCAATTTTCTGTTTTGTTATTGAAATACTGATTTTAGGAATGAAGCAGAGCAAGAACTTTTCAGAACCCACTTGTATATATGTAACTGGCAGAAAATAATTGAAATTCCCATTGTCCACAGTTAATGGCTAGAAGCAAGCTTGCACAATTAAAAAATGTCAACGGTGACATTGCTCTCAGAAAATTAAACACAGACTTGTTGATTCATATTCTACAGCTTAAACTTTTTGCAGGTTATTTAAAGCCAGAAAAAAATTTGAGATTATAAGAATTTTCCTTTTCTACCCATTTGGAGGCAACAATGGTTTAGTGACACAAGTTTTTTTAATTAACCCATAGCTGGGGGGAGAAGAGGTGGATTCATACTTTAACTCAAAAGCATTTGCTTGTAAGTGAATATAGCGAATTCAACGAGAATTCGAACTCAGCTCTCTGATGAACAATTCCAAGCCATTATCCATTATACCACCTGCATATCCAAGCTTACAGCACCTGGCAATTCCCACACAGTTACCTGTCTATATACTGACCAGGCTCAACATTGCTTAACTTCAGTGATCATGTGGGATCTGGTGTTTCAACACTGCAGACACCGGCACAATAGGTCTCTCATATATGACCAACTGAACACACACACAAATTTAAGTGTGCCCTAAATGATATTACTGGAGTCAGAAGAGTCAGGTGTTTTTTAATGCCTGGAAGATAGACTTTGAAGTCCAAGATTTAAAGTGACAACTCACTTTAGTGAAGAGGGAGGAAATAAAGAAATAAATGAAAAAGGTGATCAAGTGTCACTTCATCAGAAACCAGATGTGTCCACTTGCAGCATTATATAAGTAGTCTTGGTCAGGGTTAGACAGACAGAGAGAGAGAGGAGCCATCAGTGCAACCAGTCACAACAGTAGTAGTCACTCAGCTGAAGAATAAAGTTGAAGGAATCTAGGTGCCACCTACCTACTACCAGAGAGAATACAAGGTCCAACCAGAGAACCTCATTGCAATAAACACCAGAGTATTGAGAACCAGATTTGCATCTTTATTTCTTGCTGTTGATTTTATCTTCCAGTTCTTGTGAATGCCCCTTGAGTCTATTCCAGTTTTTTTGTACACACCAGTGCAAACAAGAAGCAAAAAATATGGGGATTGATTTGTCCAGTTGGTGTTGTATGGTCACAAGAGTAAATGGCACAAATGCATTAATACATCCCAAAGGAGGTGAGGCTTAATGGAGAACAAAGATCGTGCATCAGTTTTTGATAAGGGTCAAGCAGGCATCAACTTTTTTTTTTTTTTTTTTTGGTGTCTGGACAAGATTTAGTTTTGGATAATTTATCATATACTTCCTCATCTTTTGACACCTGGTTATGTCGTATCTTTTTTTAAAATATTCCAATATTTAATATTTCTAAAAAGTTTAACTCAACAATAATAGAGCAGTGTTGAAAAAAATGACAACTTTTTCAGTCTAACATCAAAATATAAAATGGGATTTTCTCAACCTCCCTCCAAACACACTTTCTTCAAATGAAGAGTGAAATGCAGACTCACTGCATAGCCTTCCCACTGTTTTCCATCACTGATGTGAGTGCTTCAAAAGGGTTTCTTCACATCACAAGTGTTGCAAACTTGAATTTGATTTGACTCTAGACTAGGATCTCTAATAGGATTTACAGTGTGAGCAAGAGAAGAAATTCATATTATATATATATATATATATATATATATATACACACACATCACTTTAAACTAAGTACCTCCAAATATTTTCTAAAAAAAAAGTCTCAAACTTGATAAAAACAAAATGTTTATGTTGTTATTATTAAGAGGAAAGATCAAAATGTTTTTTGATTATTTTATTAAAATTTTGAATCCTTTCTACTTTTTACTTGCATCAGCAGGTGGGCCAAAGATTAATATAGGGATTTTTAGTGTCTTTTTTTTTTCTTTTGGCATTAAAAATATTGAAAATTCTTACAAAAATCAAATAACAGTCAGATTTTAATAAAATTTTCTGGACTTACTCGCAAAGGACTGAAATTATTTTTCAATTTTTTTTTAACTGTTACTCTCCACTTAATTTTATAAAATTTCAAAAAATTAAGATTCCACCCTCTTCATATTTATATTACTTAAAAGCAGGACTTATTGGAGAATTTAAATCATCAATTTGTTTTTTGTCAAACAGCAACACCATTAACTGAAAACCAGCTCTGAATCATAAAATAAAAATGCAATAAAACTGACATTATTTAATTAGAAAAGCTTTTAATTGCTCTTATAAATAAGATATATTATGGACATTGTCTTAAAAAAATATTTTCATTGAATGAATTTTTTACTAGAATTGTTTTCATTTGAAAATTTAAATTAGAAAAATTTATTAAGTTTTAAATCTTAAAATTCTGTATTAATTTCACCGTTTCAGATGATATAAGTATTAAGTGAAATCTATAATTACTAATCATAAATGGAAAAGCCTGGGCACTTCAATGTGGCATGATGGTTAGCAAGCTTGTCTCACTAGATCAATTACACCTGAGTAGTAGAGTTTGATCCCCAGTGGGTGCTCCATACTTTTGGCCTTGTGCCAGACCTAAGCTACACTTAGAAAAATCACCACAAATGGAAAATCTTAATACAAATCATCAAACACCAATATTTTTAAAAGAATTTTGAATTTTTTGTATGTGTATAAACGTGCCAATTTTTTAAAGTATGAGCGATCATGCTCAACATTATCAAAAAATAAGAGTAGTAACTACAGTAAATTTAAAGTCACCATCTCTAAAATTCAATAAAACATTAGATTACAGAGAATATTTTCCTAAATTTTTGAGATTACTGAGTAGTTAAATATTATATGAAAAAGGTGCTCACATCATCATCTTAAATTGTTTTACAGATAAAGTCCCCATTCAGACTGTCAAAATAGCTATTGTTGGGTTAAAAAATGCATAATATTTGTTTCAAATCAGATTATTTATACTTTAAATCAACTAATATTCCTCAAATAAAGTTTCAGAATTGTATATTTTATTTTTGGAAGATTTTTTAATAGAGAATTACATTGCAATGAAAGACAACTAAAAATTAGAAGCTTGTCTCACTAGATCAATTACATCTGAGTAGTGAGTTTGATCCCAAGTGGGTGCTCCATACTTTTGGCCTTGTGCCAGACCTAAGCTACACTTAGAAAAATCACCACAAATGGAAAATCTTAATACAAATCATCAAACACCAATATTTTTTAAAAGAATTTTGTATTTTTTTGTATGTGTATAAACATGCCGATTTTTTAAAGTATGAGCAATCATGTACAACAAAATAAGAGTAGTAGCTATAGTAAACTTAAATAATATTTAATATATCACTAGAAATCTTTTTCTGGACTTACTCGCAAAGGACTGAAATTATTTTTCAATTTTTTTTTTTTTTTTAACTGTTACTCTCCACATAATTTTATAAAATTTCAAGAAATTAAGATTCCACTCTCTTCATATTTATATTAGTTAAAAGCAGGACTTATTGGAGAATTTAAATCATCAATTTGTTTTTGTCAAACAGCGACACCATTTACTGAATCATAAAATAAAAAATGACTACTTTTTCAGTCTAACATCAAAATATAAAATGGGATTTTCTCAACCTCCCTCCAAACACACTTTCTTCAAATAAACAGAAATGCAGACTCACTGCATAGCCTTCCCACTGATTTCCATCACTGATTTGGGTGCTCCAAACAAATTACGCCTGAGTAAAAATAAAAGCTTCAAGAAAGATTTTTCATTTTTAAAAATTCATTTAAAAACTTAGGTATCAACTTTTGGTTGGGTGTCCCTATTTTAAATGTTATTTTTAGTGGATACTCTTATTTGTGTAGATGTTCCATTTATTTATTAAATAGTATATTTTTTTATTTTCACCTACTGGCCTAAATGTTTGAGAAATCTTATTAAAGAACAATTTGCACTCTCTGGCAGGATTAGAACTCGTGTCCCTCAGAAGGGAGCCCAGAAAATTTTTTTTTCCCTTTTTCTACAGATTGTGAGAGAGATTAATTAGATTTTATCTTTATAAGACAGTGAAATGTTGGTTGAATAAAATTGTGCTTCTACAGAACTGATCAGGACAGATTTATTCTGATGAACACAAAATATTCTGTATTCTGAAAGTCCCCCCAACACACACACACACACACACACAACTCGGGGTTGGGTTCAACAGGTCACTCTGTATAGTCTCACTGGCAAACTGCTGTCCTGGCTTAGAGTTTACTATAGTTACGAAAATAACTGCACTGGAAAAAAAAAAAAAAAAACAGAATAAAGAAAAACCCTCACTATTTATTAATAAAAATCTTAGTACCATACACGTCCAACAAATTTTTTCACCTGCTTTTTCTCACGTACCTGTTTGGACACATTGCTTGGATCATAAACATCATCTATAGTCAAATTCAGTTCTTTCAGGTCTTTCTGTATTTCATTTAGAGTTTCTTCTTTGTATTTATAAAATTCAACCTTTTCTTTTTCCAGTTTCTCACGCAAAGCAACTATTTTCTCAATCTTTAAAGCAAAGTATTTTTTTCTAGCTGCCTTCTTCCGTCTGCCTTTCCTTGAAAGGGGAAAATATTGATAGCGAGGCACAGGACAATAATACAGTTTCAACTGTTGACAAATCCATATGAAACGTTCACGATCTAACTTTTTCAATTGTTTTAACCACTTCCTGCGTTTGGCAATCCTTTCATTCAAGTCCGATTTTGAACGTTTGTCCTGAAAAAAAAAAAAAAAAAAAAAAAAAAAAAAAAAAAGAAGAAAAAGAAAAGGGAAGAAATGCGAATAAACAAATAAAATATTTCAAAATTTGGAGAAATCCTTTACAATATGCAACATATTAGCATTGTTAAAAAAGGAGCAGCTGTAGGTAGACATACTAAAAACAAAGGGACACATAGCCCAGTGAATAAAAGTATTGGTTGGATCGAGAGACAGGACCCAAAGAGTTGAGAGTTCAATACCCGGCTACAGCAGAGGTGAACAAAAATTTGAAGAGTTGATTTAAAGGGAGATAACTAAAGAGGCATGGCATACGGAACTAGAACAATCCACCTCAGTGGATGAAATAAAAAGTTCAGTTTGAAATTCCAATCACCTGAAGAAGGTGGGAGTATACAACGGCCGAAACATTGTGAATATGGCAACAAAGATTAGGACAACAGTCCAAACAATGTAAATAGTTCATATAATTACAATACCTCATCTCAGAAATAGAGACAAAAAACAAAGAATTCTAAGAAAAAAATTGTTCTATTGCAAGTGTGATATTATGGACACTGTTTGATAGCCCAGTGGATGGTTCTTTTTGAAGTTCAGTCTTCTAAGCAGCATCCACTTTAACCAAAGGAAAATGGGGAAATAAAGGGGTGAATGAAGGATTTTTGGAGATCAAGTAGTAACAAAACTAGAAATAGGGTAAAACCAGGTGCTGGTCTATATTAACAGTCATGTTTGGGATTGAGGAGTTGTTCTTGTCTGCCCTTGGCAGCTGTTGAATATATGGTGTCTACCCTGGCTGTTCCGTATTCAAGTTCGACCCCCTCGGCTGATCGTAGAGTTGATCGATTCGGCCCAAGTTTTGTCTCACTCCACATTGTGTTAATTGATTGCAAGACTGGCTTGGACCGAATGGTCAACTGGAATCAATGACTTGACTTGGTCCAGTTAGACCAAAGTCACACAAAAGAAGAAAAAATAAATTGGATAAAAGAAAAAAATATGGACAATTCCTTGATACAAAGTTAATGGTACAGTTATTGATGGCTTAAGCAGACCTAATATTCTCCATGTAATAACTATTGACCCTTCCCGATTATTGTGACACACTGTTGTTATGGTTTTGAATGAGACTTCTGAAACAAGGCTTTTTCTTCAGGGTGGCAAATCACCTGCGACCAGATGAAGCGGTGGATCTCATCTCTCCTTTGTCTTGTCTCTGTGGTCTCTCTCTGCTGTGTCTCCCTCATCTACTTGGCGTTCTGTTTTTATGGAGGCCTGTGCAAGAGCTGATGTAGTCTGGGAATGCAACCCTAAACAATCCATCAGGGCTCTCCCTGCCAATGTCCAAATATGGGGTAGCCCTTCTCCATCCTTGGAATTCTACCTGGGCCTTCTCCTTTTGGTCATCTGATCAAACCCATCTCCTTCCTGCTCTGTGTGAGTGCCTCTCACCATCACTGCCTGAGGGGCATGCAAGTTCCTCCACCTTCCCTGAAATTCTACCTGGGCCTTTTCCTCTTTGGTCACCTGATCAAATCCATCCCTCAAGGGCTAGACGTGGTCTTGCACAAACAGCCACACTTGAATTATCATTCAAAATTCTTTGCAGTGCTTTTGTGTGTGGTTGTTTTTGCATCTGGGATTTACCATTATTTTTTATCCCCTTGTCAACCCTTTGGCCAACAAGTGACAAGAAAGAAGACAATTCCTTGATTTGGGAAGTTCTTATCACACTTCAGCAGACAGAAAATTTAATTATCATTCTTTATCTATGTTCTTTTGGAAACCTGTCTGCCTTTAAAAGTTAACCTTTATCAATCAACCAAATTCATGGCCAGAGGTCTGTCTTCCTCTCTGTCACTCAATGGTCATAAAAGTATTATCTATTTCTTTCCAGGAGGTTCTTGGAGCTACAAGAATATGCCATCACTTAATCTCAGTCCTAGCCAAAAACAGATGGTCTCTTTGTTTTACCTCTCTGGCAGACACAGAAATTACCTTTTTCTATTTCTATTTGTTTGAGCATCAGTCTATCAGAAATTAGTGTTTTTGTGTCTTATAGTTTTTTTTTAATTTATTAGTGCATTTCCAATGGTGTCACAAACATGTCCATCACACAGTTCCAAAGCCTCCATTTATATTGCCAACTATTACATCAGGATGAGTAGATGGGCAAGGAGTTGGTAGGTGATAGAGCTGACATAGCAGAAGTTGTCCCAAGTATCACCTAACTACCCACCTGGACAAGCAGGTGAAGCTCTGCATAAAATAACTACACATAATATGGGAAACAGGGTTCACATTCTTATATGTTGACATAGCATTTGTCTTTCATTGCAACCTTTCTAGCTTTTGGTGGCCACTGATCAAGGATTGAAATGTAACTTTGGGTGATCATTGGCCAGTCGGTGGAGAGCTTGGGCAAGGGTTGCTTTGTATATTTACAGCAATTACAGGGTACAGCAGAAATACCACCCATGTATTTCTGCTGTACCCTGTAATTGCTGTAAAGATATTAGCAAGATGAAGACAACCATTACCACTAATGTCTTACCATTATGTGGGAGGTATTTTCTGCTGCACACTGTATCCCTTTCCCTTAAAAAAAAAAAAAACCTCACCAGTGTAATAAGTTTGATCCTCACATACAGGGTGTTCAACTAATGAGGCACCTTCTAGACATTTTTAACTCCAAGTGAAATTTTTTTTCTATTAATGAAAAGAGTAATTTATGTATTCATTCTGAAAAAAAAAAAAAAAGTTTTCAACTCTCAATGATTTTTATTTTTTAAATATTCCAGTGGCTTTTACATTAATTGAATGGTATTCTACTTTTTTTTTTTTTTTTTTTTACAGTGAGAATCACCCTTTACAAGGCCCAGGGGCCACACCAGGTAGAGGATTACATTAGGAATCCATTTGAATGTACAAGTTAGGGAGATAATGATTAACCCTAGCCTTGAACAGGTTAAGATTGTAGTGATCAGTGAAACATTGCTTCTCAGCCTTTTAGCTGGGAACAAAGCATAATATCTGTCCTTGTACAGATAAACTATATTTCATCTCAGTTGTGCCCGTCTTCAGACAGAGCATGACTCAGTTGTGTGTGTGTCTGCAAACAAAGTGCAACTGAAAATATTACTGAGAGGTGCCAAGTCTCAGGAAACAGTTGCTGATGGCAGAACCTCTCTCAATGCACTAAAGAGAGGCAATCTGTAGTAATACTGATGCCAGCACAATCAACAGTTGCTGGAACTGAGCTATTTTTGGACCTGACCTAGTTGCACACACTCAAGCTCTCCACATTAAACTGATCTTGTGTCACATCCTGCCAGCATGGGATGGTAAGAAAATACAATTACTTCCTGGATACTATGACATGGCCCTCAATGTTGAATGTTAAATCACACGTATGATCAATTTATTAAGAGGTATACTTTCTTTGTATTTCCTCTTCTTTCTTTTCCTTTTTTATTTCCTGTCTTGACTGAAAAATGGCAGGAAGGAATCTGTGTCACTTGACTTAACACAATTAATCTCCTAAGAGAGTAAGTAAAAGTCAGTTACCCAAGCCCGTGTGATATGCACCACCACATGAGATTTTTGTATTGTAATTTCTTGTTTCCTGATAATCTCTGACCATGATAGGTCACAAGTAAAATGAATCATTGTACATTGATTATAAATGCATCTATGAACTTATTCTATTACTTGTTTTATAAGGAATGTCATTCCCAAGGATTCTGGATTTATTCAACTGCAGTATGCATAGTGAATAAAAAAAAAAAAGATATTATTCCCTGACGACTGTAGATTTATTTGACTACTTGATGTGTAGAGAATAAAAGAATGTTATATCCAGAGAAATCATCCCAACTTCATATTGGATGTAATTGGATTACCAGAGGAGAAACAAAGTACTCATACCATTCTAGAGTTGTCCAACTTTTACTACAGGGAAAAAAAAAGAAAAAGAACAACCAACTTTAACTTGGAAATTTTAAAGAGATTCTATTTGCCATTATGAACATTTGAACTTACAAATTCATGAAACATGAATGCTTGAAGTAACACCCAGTATCAGATAAGTGTCTTTTATTGATTTTATATCTGTTATTCTATACTCTTTCCATATTCTGTTGTGTATTCCTATCCAAGAGAACCCACCTTTCATTCTTTTTTTTTTTTTTGGAACCTGAGGTTCATATGTCAATATGCTGTAAATTGATAACAATTGTCATAGGAGATGAGATCTGGATCCACCAATGATGAGCCAGAGAACAAAATAGGATCAATGGAATAGTATCAGCCAGAAAAGTGATGGCCACTTTATTTTGAGACTAAAAAAGAGTTAGTATTAATGCTTAATGTCACCGCTATCAATTTTAACTCCTACAGGAGCACAGTTAAAACTCAAAGAAAGAATTCTTCAAGTGATGTGATTTTGACAAATAAAAATGCAAGGCTTCAGTGCAGCAGAAAAGAAAACAAAAAAGAAAAAAAAAAAAACAGATGAGCAATAACAGTTGATGGCTGGACAATGCTGCTTTATCCACCCTCTGTTTGGGACCATGAAAGAGGCACACAAAGATGACAGCAGTTCTCCAAAGATGACGTGGTGAGAGAGGGTAAGAAAATAGCCAAAAAACTTCACCAATGTACATGTAAAAGTCTTCATTCAAAAATGGCATGCAACTATCGAGATGGAAGGAGACTAGATTAGAAATTCTGAGACGTTACTGTTCATTTTCAGTATGCTTTGTATGCATCTACTATTAAATATGTTGTAAATTAAAGAAGAACAGGCATTAATTTTTGAATGATCCTCACATAAACATAAGTAATAAAAACAAGGTCAATATTTACTTCTTGTTAATAGAATAGAGTTAGAACCTATCTAAAAGGTTAAAAGAAAAAACAAATAGTAACGTAATAAATAAATATAGAAACAGTTTACATAAAAAGGATAGAGCAATTTTTGTTTTAGTGTACACTCAAGGTAGTGGATTATTGAATGAGGTGAGTGATATGAATGAAGGGGGCAGGGAGTAAGAAGTGAGGATTACGTAGATATGGAGGATAAGTAATGACTGAGCATTGACTTGAAGAGGTTAAGACTGTATCATTCGGGAAATGATCCACACAAGAATCTGTTCTACAAAGAAGAAGCTGTTTGAATGGGAAGAGACTTTTGGAATATGGAGGGAGTGAAGGTTATCCAACTCCATGGACACAGCAAGCCAGGCCTTAGCTGTAAAGTTCTGAAATGGTGGAACTAAGATTTAATAGAAGGCTGCTTTGTGTTTGAAATAAGTGCATATTTCCATACAGGGATTAATGTTCAAGCTTAAGATACAAGCAGAATCCTAAATGCTGATTTTCCTGACAGGTAGCCCCCTTCCCTTGAAAAATCAATGCATAACCTTTTTAACCTAATTCTCTTCATGTGGCCTTCGTTTGTTGAAAAGAAGTAAAACTATATAATATATATTTTTTTGTTTTTATTCAGTGACTTTCAACAAATAACATAAATCAAACATTTCTAATCTGGCAAAACCTTCCGAACGTTTTCTAAACAAGTTCTTACCTTCCAAAATTTATGCACATGTATCTTCATACAGCGTATGCGAAGAGTCGCACGAGCAACTGAAACGAGAAAAAAAGTAGGTTTTTTTTTTTTTTAAATATTATTCAAAAGTAATCAACTTACTAAGAACAGATTTTGAGATTAACATTAACTTTATAGGTTAATTCAAATTAAATGGCTTGGTATAAAAAAATAAAAGAAAAATTTCCAAAAAAATTAAAAAAATAAAAATAAAAAATAATGAAAAATATGTCAAGATTAAAATAAAAATAATTACTTTTTTTTTCCAAAGATGCATCTGGTCCAAGAGATGAAATAATTTTTTCAAGCATGTCGTATATTTCATGTTCCTTTTTTTCTATCTGTACAAAACAAAATAAGAATAGGCTTAGATTGATCGTTTTTTACAGCTTATCAACCCTTTGCAGGTTATTTAAAGCCAGAAAATATTTTTAGATTGCAAGAATTTTTTTGAGGTAATAATGAGTTTTACTGATACAAGTCCTACTAATTAACCCATAGCTGGGGGTAAAAAAAAAGATGGATTCATAACTTTCCCTATGTTATTTGTGCATAAGTAAATATAACAAACCTGAGTAGAATTTGAACATGGCCCTCCGATTTACAATTCTGAGACAATATCCATTACACAACCTGCACATCCAAGCTTACAGCATCTGATATTTCCAAATGATTACCCATCCAAGTATTGACCCTGGTGACTGATTGATTTCTTTTCCTATCAACTTTTTGTGGGTTATTTAAAGTCAGAAAATATTTTTAGATTGCAAGATTTTTTTTTTTTCAGATAATAATGGTTTAGTGATACAAGACTTATTAATTAACTCATAGCAACAGTGGGGGATTGGATTCATACCTTTCACAAAATTATTTTGCATGTAAATGAATATAACAAACCAAACAAGAATTGGAAATGGCCTCTCTGCTTAATAAACCCAAGTCATTACTCATTACACCACCCACACATCCAAGCTTACAGCACCTGGTATTCCAAGTGGTCACTCATCTAGGTACTGATTAGACTAGACATTGCTTAACTTCAGTGATTATACAGGAACCACTATTTCAATATTATGTGGCCTTAAGCAGTTTTAATATTAACATGCCATGATAGAATAAATGTGACTGACTGAAATTCTTTTAAATATTAATGTACGCTTGAGAGACATATATACAGATTATAAATACACATGTATTATTCTTAAAAATAGTCACACCACAAAATTTATTTTATTTATCTTTTTCTCCAATAAAATTAACTTTCAAAATTTTCAGTTAGGATTGTTAATTTCATTACAAATGTTTGTATTTTTCCAATTCAGTGATTTTCACAGAAAAATAAAGCAAATTACAAAATCTCACAATTCTGTTTGTCCCTTTCTGAGTTAGCAAGTACATGTGCCAATAACTCAGGAATAGTGAACTATTCTATTTTGATCACATGGAAATATGCAAAAGACATATCAGTGACACTATTTGGTTTCAGTGAGAAGCAAAAAGAAAGAAAGGGTGAAAGAAAGGAAGGAAAAAGAAAGAATAATAAAAGAAAGGAAGGAAAAAGGAAAAAGAATGAAAGAAAGAAAGGAAAAAAGAAAGGAAAGAAATTCCCTGCCAATGCCTCATAATGGACTATTCCATTTTGATCATGCGGAAAAAAGGAAAATACATATCATAGGTACTAATTGGTTTCAGAAGGAAAAGAAAAAAAGAGAGAAAACAAAATTCAAACAGAAAAGTTATGAAATTTTCATAGGTACTACTAGTAAAATATAAATAATTATTTTGTATTTGATGGTAGATAAGACCCCATCCCCACTCCCAAATACAATCTAACTTCAAGTTTTTGTGGATTTGATTATTTCATCAATCATAATAGAGACTTGACTTGAAAGTTAATAGAGAATGAAATTAGCAAATGACAACTTGAAACAGTGAAAGAGTTAAGCCAACATTATAAAATAATTTCTAATTAAAGCAGTGATCAATTGAATGTTAAAAAAAAACAAAAATAAAAAACAGTTTAAAAATATTAATTAGAAACATAAAATGAAGGCTAGAGAAGGTATGATTTGAAACTAAGTCTATGAAGTTACTTCCAGGATTTGAACAACATGATTCATTTATTTGTCAAATTGGAACATGTTTGTCTTACTGTAACCTCTCTTAAGAGTGCATCTTCAAGATCCAACTAACTGATGACAAACAATGGAAATTTTGGGAAAAAAAAAAAGAAATTCCAAACTAGTTAAGTATTAGCAACAATTCAACCCTATGGTAACACGAGATGAGTGCTTAGCTTAGGAACATTTGTCAGGTCAAAAGTGATATTAAATTTCTTATATGAATCAAAGATATTCAGCATCAATGACTGGAGTTCTCTGCTAGTGTCTACACTGTCATCCAGTCAAACATGTGAACAAAGCTGTCTGGTGAACGGAGAGAGAGAGAGAGATGTCACCTACAATAAACATTTTGAAGTTTATTATTAATCTTTTCTCATTCTTCTTGTTTTTGTCAAATAATATTTTACAGCTAAAATGTCCAGTGAAGTTCAACAAAAAAAGATACAGCTTAGTGGGAATCTTAGTACACTACAACAAAAACTAGAGAACTCTATTTTAACCAAGCATTGTCTCAATGCTGATATGAGATTCAATGATGTGACCGTCATGAATCAGTTATATTAGGTACCTCCACGAAATCGCTAAAAAAAAGAGCATAGCTTGATGAAAAAGACGCCAACCTTGCCAAAAACAAAATTTTATTGTCTAAATGCTTATGTTATTATTAAGAGGAAAGACCAAAGTTTTTTTTTTAATTATTTTAAAAATTTTCCTTCTTTTTAGAACATTCTAAATTTTGATTAAAAAACCTTGTTTCTATTTGTATCAGCGGAACTAGTAAATAACATAGACAATTTTTAGCTTTTTTTTTTTTGGTATGACACACATTAATTTGAAAATCGCAAAAAATAGAAATAATTATCGGATGGGAACTATTCACAGATGATCAAAATTATTATAAATATGTTTTTTTATGAAAGTCATGGTAGAAATATTTTTTTAAAACATTTATTACCCCCCATAACTAATTTTATGAAAACGCTAGAAATTTGATCGGATCGGTTTTAGTGATTACAATAATTAAAAAGCACGGGGCTTTGAGGAATGCAAATCATGTTTTTTTTGTTTTTAATTGGATCCGCAGTACCTGAAAATCAGCTCAGAATTGTAAACATACAAAACTCAATAAAACAAAGATATTATTTAATTTCAAATGCTTTTATTTGCTTTTAGTTGTTTTTATGAATATGGACAATATTTTCTGAAAGCAAAAAAAATCTTTTTCGATGAAAAATGAATTTTAATACAATTATTTGTTATTTCATTAATTATAATAGATTTTACATTTAAGTTGTTAAAATATTATAAAATTAGTTAAAAGTCAAGATCGGCTTTCATAAGTGTCCTTATGAGATAGATCTTTTTTTAGCACGTTGTAAATTGTATCATTTTGACTAATCAGAAGATCCACAGTAATTAAGAAATGTAATTTTGTGCTTATAACCGATCTGTAATTATAAAGTATGGAAGACCAACCAGAATATAATTAAGTTGCGTTATTTGAGTTAAGCATTGTTCTCCGCTGTTAAGGCCTTTACTTTTGCGAAACACGTGTGGAGAAGTTAATTTGATTTTTTCGATTTCAACTGAGAAGGGTACCTACAAGTATCAGTATCATCTTATGAAATTTATATGATCTTATTTTTATATTAATCTCAGTTACGACATTTTCCATAAATGAAATATCAAAATTAATAATAAAATGAATGCAAATACAAATAACAGTAAAATGTAATAAATGTACATAAAATTATAGTATTTTATGTACAATTCTGATAAAATTGCATAAGAAAGGTACCTATAAATTAATTAGATACCTTTCTTAAGAAATATGAAATTTAATGTCACTCTTAACAGTTTTATTTTAATTTCTTTAGAATATATTTCCCATAAAGCATCATAAACATAAAAGGTGAAAGCTAAGTACAAAAAAAAAAAAATAAAAAATTAGACCGCTGAAAGTTTTCGTTAAAAATAACGAGGTAAATAATTTGTTCACGTAAATGTAAATTATTTCACTTTTCTCCTTCTGTAGAACAAATTAGCCTCATGGAATTCGTAAATATATCATTCATCACCTGTCAAGAGACGCGAAAGTTTATGACCTGCTTTGTTTTATTTTCAAATTACATCTTTTGGCACAAAAGCTAAGTTAAGTTTGGTTCAAAATATTTTAAATAAACATTATAATTTCTGATTTTCTTAAAATAAGTTTTGAAAAAATGATAATTGATATTTAAAAAAATTTCAAAGTCAGATTTCCAGTTTTTTTTAAAATGAAAAAAAAATGGTCAATTTTTGACTCAAAAAAAAACTAGATTTTTTAACGAAAATTTCGAACGTGCTAGGAACGATTAAAAAATGAAAAAAATACCCCAAAAATACTTTGACCTTTCCTCTTAATAATAACAAACATTTAGACGATAAAACTTTTGGTTTTCGTCAAGTTTGGCGTCTTTTTCATCATGCTATGCTCTTTTTTTAGCGATCTCGTGGAGGTACCTAAGTTATATCTTCATTGAATGATAGCCAGCAATGACTAACCATTTATAGTAACAATATTTAAATGGAATCTTTTTTTCTTTGTGTTTCCCAACCTATAATATTGAAAACACCTATATATTACTCATTGTGCACAAATTGTGCATAAACCAGAAAATGTAAAAGTTAAAAATAAAAAAAAAAAAAAAAAAAAAAAGAGAGAGAGAAAAAACACATTTAGTAAGTTATAAATTCATAAAATATTTAACCAATTACATTTAAGGAGTTTTTTGGTTTTTTTAGATGGAGTTAACACAAAAACAAACACATTTTTCAATTACAAAATATCAAAAATAATATTTAAAATCCTGTAAAATATTTGTCAAATTAACTATTTTCATTTATTTCTAAGAATGATATTTTTTTTTTTATTATTTTTTTTTTTAAGATGTTTGATAAATTTGACTGTTGTCACATCTATCATGACAGAATAATGGATAACAAAAAATTTAAATGTAAACAATTTAGAAAAAAACAACTGTTTCTGCATAATGCAAAAGCAAAAACAAATGATTTTATAAGATTTTTCTCCAGTTATTCTTTATTTAATATTATTGTGTTGTATAAAGCCAAGAACCACAGAAGTTGAGGTGGCCAGAAAAAAAGTATTTGTAGTTTTTCTACCTTTCCTAGTCTTGCACTCCCTAAACCCTGAAAATAGTGCAATTTACAATACATATGGTACATTTAGAGATATACCAGTAGACAGAAGTAGATATTAAAATAGCAAATTTAAGCAAATTTCAATGAATGCTAGTAATGACAATTTTTCAACAATAGCATCCTTAAGGCACTACTATTTTGAAAATATATTTACTTTATTTACATTCAGACTAATATCCTCATCTTTTTTGTTATCACATTTCGGCTGTTGTATCCCCCAACATTTTTCAGGTACCTGATAATCTGAGTAGCATTCAGAGAATATTCAACTGAAACCTTTATTTAATCTAAGGAAGCAAATTGTTCTCATTCCATGGTCCATGTCTAGGGATATCTTGTTTTGTTCTTATTTAATACTGTTTAGTTATTGCTTGCCTTGTTTTCACTAAGACTGTAATAGTCAGTCAGTTATGTGCCATGCGTGATACATGCTTAGGCAATCATGTATCTTTAGATTTTTTTTTTTCCTGCAGTAGGCTGCCATTTCTTTTTGCAGTAGACCAGTTGCCATCCAAGGCTATAGAATCTGGTCTGTCCTGCTATTTACCCATAGATGGGGGGAGAAGAAGAGGATTCATACCTTTCCCAAGGGTATTAGTATGTAATTGAATGTAATGGATTTGACTGGAATTTCAAACTCGGCTCTATGATTCCTCAATCTGAGCTGCTATCCATTACTCCACTGTGCCTCCTAGAGACTGTAATATACAAGCACTATAAAATATGTCAATAATCCATAATAGTCAAGTTTTATAAATTACATCAATAATCCATAGTCTTATAAATTATAGCAATAATCTGTAGTCTTATATATTACGTCAATAATCCATAATAGTCAAGTCCTATAAATTATGCCTATAATTTGTAATAGTAAAGTCCTATAAATGACATTAATAGTCTGTAATAGTCAAGCTATGTAAGTTTTATAAATTACAAAGAGTGCCATTAATAGAAGATTCCACTCAAATTCAATGGTGTACATAAAGTGCTGCCAAAAAGTTTAGGGAATTTGAGCAGCAAAGATAAACGAAATATAATCTGGTTATGGCAGTGGTCTGTGTGTGATCAAAATATAAATATACCCAAAGGGATCACTTTGAAGGAGATAGTTTCTATTATTATCTAATTCCCTGAATGTTTGGATAGCACGTATAATACACATGCACAAGAATCTCCTTACACAGAACGACATCAAGACTGCAAATGTTGCTATTGTTCCTTTTAAAAGGACTTGCATAAAAAGAACAATTTGATCTAAACTGTTGATTCGATTCTAGCCTGATTGATCTAAGTAGCTATTCATTATAATCAGTCTCCCATTTAAGTTCACTTTATGTGTAAATACAAGGTGGAAAAGCCTGAGGCTGACCAAGAAGTCCTTAAAAAAGAAAAGAAAATCTCTGATAAATTTAGGAGGCTAGCTTAGACCAAGAATTTTCCCAGCATATCTTTTATATTACAGTAAGACAAACATGTTCCAATTTGACAAATAAATGAATCATGTTGTTCAAATCCGGGAAGTAACTTCATAGTTTCAAATCATACCTTTTTTTTTTTATATGTAATATATTTTTGACAGGTTTCAAAAATTAAAAGGTACCATCAGAAAAAGGAGTTTCAAACTTCAGTTATTACATAAATTGTCCCAAAATATACTATAGTAGAAGACATTTAAGACCACCTCCCCATCCTACCAAAAAAATAATGTGCTAAAAAGAATTTCTTATATGAGAAGTTGAAGTATCTGTTAGACTCTTGGTACATGTACCTCACCTAAGCCCATATTATCATGTTAAATGTAAATTGGGAAAGAGGTATCTTATTTGCCATCAAATAATATAAGCTCGTAAAGCTTCTTCCTTCAGGTTTCGGTCAATACTTGCCAAAGTAATCAACCACCAAAATGAGGCAGCACTACCAGTAGAATGACATAACCTCATGTATTAGACTTAAAATGTCTCCCTATTTAGTTATTTCATATAAAGAATCAAGAAATAAACTTTTATGGCATTTATGTAACATCTACTCACCCTATCAGCAAAACCTAATGAAAATATCCGTTGGGCTTCAGGAGATAAGCTGAAAAATTTTAAAAAAAAGAAACATTATTCATTAAAAAAATTCTAAAATTCACTTTAAATTATGCGTTCCTTTTCCTTGTATCTCAGTAAACTGTTTTATATTTTTATAATATTTTTTTACCAACATTAACTTGTCAAAACTGAAGATGAAGCAGGAGAGAGAAAACAAAAACTGTAGAAATTGACTAACTGACCAAGTCAAATTAAAAAAAAATATTTTTTAAAGTTTATAAACAATACAGAAAGGTCAAAATAACTATCAATGGCTTTGAGAGCAAAAGCCTCAGGATTTAATCAAAGCAAATGATCTGTATATATGGCATAATTCTTTTTTAAATTAATAAACAAAAAGAAAAAGGCATAATTTTTAATATGAAAAGAGATTAGTCATAATAGAGAGAGATAGAGATTATTGTTGTTCCAGTGAGAGAAAATTGTATATATGAAAGAGAGAAAAAGCAACAAATATTTTTGATTATTACATGGATTTTTTTCTACTTTATTTCGTATATTTTGCTACACACGTTTCGGGTTTGTGACCCTCCTCAGGCAAAGAATGGTTAGTTAAACATATTATTTAAAGAAATGAATATTTTCTCCCTATGTTAAACATTTTAAAAATACCTTTAGACCAACTACAATACCCAAAGAAATGCAACCACGAACAAATTCTAGCATACATCTCAGCATACAAGAACAATCCAGAACTATTTACAGAAATGACAAGAAACCTAGACCTACTTAACCAGAATGATAAAATAAAAGATATACTAAAAACAACCAAAATAATTAAACAAATGCCAATCAAAAAAACTAAAGAATCTATTAAACTCATCCAAATTTAGTCAACACGCAATACAAGGAGTTACAAAATGCACCAACACATGGAATTTATGATATAATTATAGAGAGAAACTCCTATACTTTTGAAAACCCCACATCAACATTCACAATAAAGTAAAACTTAAACTGTAACTACAAAAATGTAATTTATGCACTGAGGTGCATAAAATGCAACAAATCTTATATAAGTATCACTCAAGCACTAAACAACAGAGTTTCCCTGACACAAAAGCAACATTAAATTACTAGACAACAGAAAACTATGTGTCACAACACATCCATAAATGCAACAAGGTTAGCTTTAAAAATATATCAAACAGATGATTACTCTTACCTTCAAATACAAGAAATAAAAAACTTCATAGACAAATTTAAACCAGAACTAAACAAATCATAACCCTCACACCATACGAAGTGCACAAACACACACATTATATATATATATATATATATATATATATATATATATATATATATATATATATATATATATATGGAGAAAGAATACAACACACAAGAATAGAGGAAAGAAGATACACAAAAAAAAAAAAATACAGGGGCATATAAAAAAAAAAAAAATAAAAAAAAAAACAAGGACATTTTCCTCTCTTTCTCTGACCAAGTTTAATTATTTTATTACCCCTCAACCAGAATAATATTTTTCAGCCAGTCCAAGACAGAGTCAGATGCCGGATGACTACTACTAAACATAGAAGACAATTGTTAAAAGGTTTAACATAGGAAGAAAAAAATCATTCCTTTAAATAACAGGTTTAATTCTCCATTCTTCACCTGAGGAGGATCTCAAGACCTGAAATACATATCACAAAATATACAAAATAAAATATGAAAAAAATCCACATAATAATCAAAAAAAATTTGCAGCTTTTTCTTTTTTCAGATGTAAGCATAGTCATACCAGCTTATTTCAAATATATATTGCTCTGTGTTACCAAAAGTAGAACAATGGTAAAACCAGGAAATAAAACAATCATTAATTCTTCTAAACAAGGTTTTTATTGTTTCATGCAATACAAAGCCTAAAAAAAAAAAATAAAAAAATAAAAGTAATATATACTTATTATTCTGAATGTGTAAATATGCAGCTATATATAAGGAATGAGCAAGACTGTATCACCAAAACACTCTGCTGTTGTCAGCTGCTATAGAAAATTGTAACCAACATGTGGTGTAGCCCTTGTAGCTGCTCAACCAACTAATGGTGGCTGATTCAAAAATGTGCTGGGCCATGGAGTACTGGACTAAAGAGGTTGGACTTTTTGCTTTTTTTTTTTTTCGTAAAGTGTGTCTGTACATATGGGAAAGAGAGTAGAGATGTGTGTGTGTGTGTGTGTGTGTGTGTATTTAATTTCTTATAGAATAAGAGGAGGAATGTCATAAACTGATTTGCGTAAATTTCTCCTTAAAACCCAAGCTTATCTATAACCATTTGGAGAGCAAACAAGAAATCTGGAAAAAGTAAATAAAAGAAAATTTAAAAACTTACTTTTTAATTTCAGGAACATCTCTGAAATAATTCTTTATAGCATCATTATCAATTGGTTCTCTTTCAACAAGGTCTCCTGGAAAACAATTTTATAGAAAAAAAAAGTTGTCTGAAAGCATGAAAATCACAATAAAAAAAAAGAAGAATCTTTGATATTATAAAGTCAGATAATAAAATAATTAAACTGCTCTGTTTTTTCTATCAAGTACTTTTATTCCTACAGAAAATCAAAATAAATACAAGGCAACAACCCAACATGAATACTAGGTAAAAACTTATGAACCCAGCACCAGTCTATTGATTGATTTGTTTTTACAGCTTATCAACCTTTCACGTGTTATTTAAAGCCAGAAAATACTTTTAGATTTTAAGAATTTTTTTTGCAATAATAATGCATTACTGATACAAACAAATCTTACTAATTAAGATTACTATAGCTGAAAGAAGAGGTGAATTCATACATTTCCCATGGGTATTTGCATGTAAGTGAACATAATGAACTCAACTGGAATTGGAACTCGGCTCACTGATTTCCAAGTCAGAACTGCTGTCCATTACACCACCTATACATCCACACTTACAGCACCTGGTATTTCTAAGCAGTCTTCTATCTAAGCACTAACCAGGTTCAATGTTGCTTAACTTCAGTGATTGTACGAGAACCAGTATTTCAATGTAATATTGCCATAAGTCCTGTGCCAGTCAAAGCAAAGATGAGTAAATTTACAAACCTACATGAGTGTCCAGTTGGTTTATTGCACAGTTCACAGATTTGAATGTCACTTGATGAGACAGATTTAATTTTATATTTATAACACTAAAAATTGATACAATTAGAACTAATGTATTGCATTTACCAATTTATAAAGAAATGTGAAAACAATTTTTTTATTCATAAATTTATAAACATTTACTAAATTATTAAAATATGTGAACCAACTATAAGGAAATCCTTATTATTTACCATTTTATAAAGTTCAAATCAGTTAACCAATGTTTTGCCAACCATTCCAATAAATAATATAATAAATAGAGTAAATAAACAATCTAATTAATAGTGCTTATTATTTTTGTTGTCAATTCTCAAGAACAAGAAAAATGTATAAATTCACTTTCATATCTTTAGGTTTTATTACAATACTAATCATTGTTTTTTTAAAATAATAAATATTGCTAAAAAGTGAAAGTAATTAAAGAAGTGGTGTTATGGGAAAAACTGTCCTTTTGACACTCCCATTATATTGCAGGCATTTTTATCTATGTTTGCCAAGTAGTCATTAGCATAGTAACTACTCTTTGTTCATTTCCCTGTGGGTAATATGTCACAATGTGTTCCAAATTATTATGTCCAAAATAAATCTGTTTCTGTCTTAGTGGTTCTTTACAATTCCTGAGCATGTCCAGTCCCTGACTGCTAAACTTTCTTCTTTTCTCCTTGTCTTCTATTGTTCTTTCTTGGCTACCAACTAGTCCCTGTCCTGCAACTGCGATTGTCCCGTGCTCTTGCATTCTACATGTTATCAGTACCCTAGCAAGAGATTACTAGGTCAAGCCATAGCATCTATCCTGGGTAACTGTTGCATGGTTGCTGAAACACATTCTAGGAAGCCATTAACTTCACAATTTAATTCAGCTCTTTTCCTGCCAATCTTGATAACCTCTTGATATTGTTAGCATACACATCAGTTGACTCTCCATTTTGTCTCAATTGCTACAAGCTTCTTATATGCCATAAAATCTCACACTTTAAATGCCTTTCTCAGCATGTACTCTGTTATGTCTGTGTTTATTTTATCCTTGCCATTCATTTCCAGGTAAAACCATCACACTGCCTCCCCTCCAAATATAGGGGTATTAAACTCACAAGGCTGGGAATTTTTGCAGCTTTGCAATCAATTTCACTTTCACAATCCATGCAACCTTTCCCACTAAATGGTTTCAGATTGCTAATTAACTGTATTCTCTTCTCCATATCATATCAAAGTAACACTGAAATAGCTTGTGTTTTGATAAGTTTTGTTCTTTTCAAACTTCATTTCAATCGTATGCCAGCACAGAAAAATAAATCCTTCTGTTCATGTTTTTTTGCTCTCTTTATTGTCCCCACCACTAATTCCTTTGTTTATGCTAAGTCTGACAATATATCAATATTTTTTCTACTCTTGCTAAGTGTTTCAAATGCTATGCACTTTTCTTTACAAAATTTTAAAAGAAAATCCTTAATCATTTAAAAAAAAAAAAAAACTTACCAGAGAATTTAAACCATCTCCAAACTTTCTTGTTTGAACGAGTCTTTACAGCATAATCTCTCGCAGGAGGAGAATTTCCAAATGTATTCTGGGGTAAAACTAAAGAAAAAAAAGCAGAAAACCATGTCTGAAGTCAGTATCTAAAAAAATAAAAATAGAATTAATCATGCATATAATACTGCTGGTCTTGCTGTCAATAATGCTTGCATTAATTCTTGGCCAACGAAAATCTATTTCTTTCTGATATTCAATGCAGTACACACACAGATCAAGTGCAAAAAACAATTTTTTAGGTTAAAAGTTACAAAAGCTACTGGTTAAATAATTCAGTTCCACTTTTAAGTGTGAATGTTACTCTGGTGATTTTTGTTTATTCATAGATTTGACTTCACCTATTAGCATCAATACAAACAGTGGGCAATTACTAATTCCTGTGTGAGGAAAGGCTAAAATATATACTTTCTCCTATTATATCATACCTCTATTTTTTTTAAAGACTTCTAGTAGAAGAAAACATTCAATTAACAACTTCTGAATGAATATTGTATCTACTGTATGTGTTCAGATAGTTTTAAATGTCAAATGGAAACAACAGTATCTACTTCCTTTCTATAAACACCTTTAATAATGACCATATCATTATATTTGAAATCAGAGTAAATGTAACTTTAATGGTATTTGTTTAATAAATCCTACTCTTTTGTATGAAATACAAGTGCTATCTGGAGTAGTTGCAGCAGTGGGAATTTTTTAAATTATAAAATAAGTGTGCCAGTTCAAATAAGGGTTCTACTAGGAATTTTTGTAAAAGTTTAATAAACTTGTGACAAAATAATCATGGCATAGAGAAAATTATTTGAAAAATAATAAGCATGTCAAAGAAGCATGGTGGTGATTGAAGGGGAGGAGGTAGTGAAGGAAATAATTTAATGGTACTGGCACTTGTATGACCTACAATATCATGGGATACATAAATAACTAGTAAACATTATCAAACTGAACAACAGAGCAATCTTCATGCCACTGTTGTATGAAACTGGAGTCAGAGAGAATTAACTAGAGAGATACCAATCAATCGGTTGATAAGTAATTACTCTCAATAAAGATTGAAAAAAATTAAAACAATCAGTATATTAAATTCGTTCTTTATTCAAGATAACTGATAATTAAGCAGGAGATGAAATTCATATAATATAATAAACAAGGATAACAGCCCCGAGGGTGGGGGGTAGAGATTGAAGGAAAAAAAAAAGCTAATGACCAATTAACATGCCAGCAAATATTGATATGACCAATTACTGATAACCAACTAATTAATTGATGCATCAACTTCGTCAAGTACCTTATTGATTTGAGTTTTTTTTTTTGGTTTTTTTATGGCTTATCAACCTTTTGCAAATTATTTAAAGCCAGAAAATGTTTATGGATTGTAAAATTTCTTTTGGGGGAAAATATTACTTTACTGATACAGTCCTACTATTTGAGGAGAGAAGAGGTGGAGTCATATCTTTCCCAATGGTTTTTGTGTGTAAATGATACTGAACCCAACTGGATTTGGAACTCAGCTCTCTAATTTCCAATTCTGAGTAGTTATCTATTACACCACCTGCACATCCAAACTCACAATATCTGGTATTCTATAGAGGTCACCCATCTAGGTACTGACCAGTCTCAATGTTGTTTAACAAGTGCTACTGGTATCAAACAACCCAATACTATCTGCTACATGGTCAACCACACCTAATTGTGGAAATGATGATGAAGTAACAGGATCAATGAAGTATGATTTCAAAGGTTCTTTTTAAAACTACAATTTTTGCTTCATTAATAAGCATAAAATCACTTGATTTTCATTTATTTTATATTTTTGTGTGCCATGGCTTTTTTTCCTACTCAATAAAACTGTAACCACATTATATTTCTAACAAAAAAAAACTGGTTTTATTGTACAGCTATAAAAAAAATTTGATGCATTGCATGCTAAGAATCATTTTATAAGATCGCAAGGCCAAGGTAAAATTTTTTTTTTTTTTTTTAATAATAAATCTTTTCCCCCTCACTGAGAAATGTCATAAAACAGTTTCTTACACACAAAGGAAATCTTTTATGTAGGATTAATTTTTACAGAATGTGGAACATATTTACCATTTAGAGAATTAAGTGCATTTTTTTTTTTTTTTTTTTGCTGTTACTACATTTTAAACAAATCATTCTTGAACTCTCTTCCATTTCTGCTATTTTCAACTGTAAGAAAAACATTTATTTAGACACTAAAACATTTATTTAGATACTGTTTACAGGTTGTATGGGGGGGGAGCAATAATCCAACCAATTTTTTTTTAATAATAATAACTCTCCCCAATCTCATGTTTGCATAACAAAAAAAAAACATTTGAATATGAAAATATATAATTGATAATCTTTGCAACTATTTAAGAATGATTAATTGAAATGAATATTTGCAAGATTGCATTAAAATAAACTGTTTACTTTTATAGGAAATATATTTTTTCTGTATTTTGGATGAATATTATTAGCAGTAGCACTTAAAAATGGCTTCTAATCAGTTGTTAAGCAGGGCAAGAAATGGCTTGTAAAGTTTAATGCTTTCAAAATGAAGCTGCTATTTTTTAATCACCATTTTTGGTCTCCATCAGAATGGCTGATGCTAACCTCCAGGAGAGCAACTCATTGCATTTTCTTGGTCTCATGTTTTCCACTGACATGAAGTGGAGTGATTATCTTGAATCAATATTTGTTCACTATATCATGCCAGACAATGTTTCTCGACAGAATCCATCTTGCACATTTATAAATCTACCCTTTGTTTATACATTGAACGTTGCTACCATATCTGATCTGCTACTCCTGCTATGCCATCAATTCATTCCACTCACCAGAGATAAAATAGCTATGAAACAATGTAGCAAAGATGAAAACTATGACCTAATATATGACTTTTCTTTTGAGGCTGAAGAAAAACCAGTAAATGTTTTTGTTTCAGGATATGTTTGTTGCAAGTGCAACAATAAAATTTGGATTGTCATGGTCCTGGAAATTGATATAGAGAATAAGGACTTGCTGATTAAGTTCATGCACCCAGCTCTTCCATCACATTCATTTTACTGGAAAGAAGATTTTAAGGATATATGTTTTGTACCATTAATGAATATTCTGTGCACTGTTGATGTTCCTACAACAGCAAATGGTAGAGTTTATCATTTATCCAAGATGGATAAATTATCTTTGCAAAAAATTATATCCAAAACAATTTAGAAAATATGCACAACAAAATTTAGTGCATAGTGTAGTTTAAAATGTAATCTTTTAAAGACTATTTGTATATACATTTTTATTATGATTTTCTTCTGAATGAAACAAAATTCAAATATTATGTTTTAAAGATTAACATTTAACTTGTGACTTTTTTGAGAATGAAAAAGATCAAATGTTTTTGTTTCATGGAAATAATTTACCAAAATAAAATTAAAAGAAACACAAACAGAAAGAATTTCTTTTAACTTCATTTGTTAAGTGCCATTTACAAATTTTCTATGCACTGTTGATTATCATACATAAGGTAATGTTTATCACTTTTTAAAGATAATCTATTTGTGCAAAAAGTAATATCTGCAAAATATATTTAAATTATTGTTTTTTTTAAAAAAAAACAATCTTATTGAATAGTTTAAGAAGTTACTTAGCACAATATCAACATTTTAGGGGTCATGGAGCATTAGGATGATTGTCTTTAATTATAATCTTTCTTGGAAATCCTGCACATACATAGGAAAAACTCTAAACTTGGCAGGGTCATATCTTCCAAAGTAGACTTAAAACCCTCACAAAATGTTTTGGTGAACTTGAGAAGGCATTGTAGATGTTAGGCAAAAAATATGAAAATTGAAGAGGACGTATTTTTGATAAACTGACCATAAGCTACATAGGTGAAAAGTTGTTGATTTTGGGGTCATGTATTTGGGTGAGTAAAATAAAATTTTCTATCAAGTGTAGGCTTGAAATAGTTAAATATTTGGATTCTACACTTCTTACTTGCCCTACATACCAAATTTCAGAAATATTGAAGGTATGGAAGTATTTTTCTTTAATTTTTAAATAAACACTGAGATTCGGTGATGTTGCGCGGCCTTAATTTAGAGGCAAAATAGGAAAATTATACACCCCCACTTAAAATTGGAACGGTAAAGTCTAGCACAAAATAATTTGGCACACTTTCCTAACTCAGGAAGGAGAACATTTGTGCCAAATTTCAAGTAATCAGGTGTTAGTGGGTGTATTGCCCTGGTGAATTGACATGGAATGACCCATATGTATTTTTTTATATGCTGTCCCCTCAGTAAACACATCTCAATATGCTTACAACACTGATGCTTATAGTGATATCTGCATATGTATTTTTTATGGTTTTTTTCTTTTTATGTGCCATGTCCCTTCAGGATGTGGGCGATCACGGCTCTCCACCTCTCTCTATCCCTTTCAGCTCTCAACAAGTTTCCTCCCTCTGCTTCCTCCCCCAGACCACATTCTGTCATCCACTTGCTCAAGCCCACCAGATATGTCACTCATCGTTTTCCCTTGTCTCTCTTTCCCTCTATTCAACCTGTGAGTATCAGATTCTCCAGGCCCTCCTATCTCATTATGTATCCTAGAAACTTCAGTTGCCCCTTCCTGATATTAAGCATAAGCCTCCTCCTTGTTTGCAACCTCTCCAAGACTTCCTCGTTGCTCACATGCTCAGTCCATGATATCCTCAGCATGTTTCTGTAGAACCATGTCACCTCGAGTCTCTCCTTCATCTTTGAGGAAATCATCCAACATTCGCTGCCATAAACAAGGACAGATGTCACATAACAGCTCAGTAATCCTCCTGTCTCGCAGTACCCTAATTTTTGTTCTTTAATTGGCACTACTTCAAACAGGTATACATCTGTTCTTTAATGATAAAAAATAATTTTATAAAAGGAAAACTATTTCACCAAACAATTGTTTGCTTCAAATATTTATAAAACATAAAAATGTAGATGTTTGTGCTTTACTAGAGAATAAATCTTGGAAAATGAAAAAAACAAAAAAAACATCTGTTTTAATATACATAACAAAAATTCAGTTTCAAACTTGAGATTTGTAAATAGTTATGTTTTGATAATTCTGAAAAAAAATCAGGGATTGGTTTCACATTGTACTGATACTATGAACAGGACCTGCTTCTAAAATGTTAACAAATCAATATTTTTCATTTCTGACAAGTATCAGGGTCCACAAAAATTATTTTAAAAAATTCCCCCCACCACATAAGTGTCTCACTAAAAACTATAAAATTATGTTATTTCTATCTACATGCAAGGAAGATAGTTAATTTTAATTTGTGCTTGCTAAATCAGGTGCAAGCTTGAAAAGTATGTTGTAAATAAATGACTCCATCTGTAGTGAATGCAATCATTATTGTACCTGTTATAGTATTCACCTAGTCACTCAAACTGGCTGGATGTCAATGCAAAAAACAAAATAAAAAAGTTGTTTGCTGTGCATAGGCTCCACACATCACATTTGGTCTAAGAAGCAAGCTCTGACAGTGGCCAATCTCAAATGTTCTTGCCAGAAAAAAAAGAGATGCTCATAGGGACTACCAGACCTGCTTAAAAGCAGGTGTCTGAGAACAACCAAGTCAGTGGAGGGCCAGCAGGCCACCAGACGTCACTCCCAAACTCACCGACCATTGTCACTCCCAGGCTTGATTGGCCACTTCAGCTATCCGGCTTCAGCATGACAACACCTTGGCAACCCACCACTGTCACCTCAGCATAACCATCATCAGCAAAAGTCAGATTTGTGACTTCTCCTGACTACTCAAGCTCACACCCTCATATCATCATAGCCAGATTCATATTGTCACTAACCACTACGGGACAACACCTCGGCATAACCAACACGTACCACTGACCATGTCCTGTGACTTTGGCCAGGCCAGCACAAAAAATAGGTCAACTCCCAGTTTTACTCTTCACCCTGATTACCATACTGACAAGATACCAGAAATGGACATTCCAACTATTTGTGATATCTGTACAACACTATGTATATTAACAATAAATATTGTACAAATTCTAAGCCTTATTATTCTTTTCTCTTTCAACCAAATGCTTAATAGAACAGAGATTCAATGCGAATTTGGATTCACAAGCGATCCCCAACTGCATATATACACACACTTTAATGCGATCTGGTTTGAATTCAGAGTCCTTTCTCCTAGACTGGTCACCACCCAAGGCTATAGAACCCAGTCTGCTCTGCTCTTTTACCCACAGTTGGGGTCAACCATTATTGATTGAATGTGGGTCCTTAAGAGAAGTAAAATTAAAATGCCTTTAAACGTCTGAAATAAAAGTTGCATACCAAATAGAATACTAAATTTAGATTTCTTTACCTACTATGATTTTTTTCCCCATGAAATAATTGAAATTGAACCATCAACAACGATACACGTGTAAAAAAATATCTGCATAAAAGGTAAAGGTTCTTGATTAGATGGATTTTATTTTTAAATTTACCTTCAGGTACCTCCAATCCAATTTGATGAAAAAAGGCCCCAAACTTAATAAAAACAAAGTTTTATTGCCAAAATGTTTGTTAGGAAAGACAAAGTATTTTTTTATTAAAATTTTTAATCCTTTCTATAAAGTTCGAAATTTTAGTTAAAAAAAAAAAAGTTTTTTTTTTTTTTACAGTCACGTGTAATATTTACGATTAGTGTTTTTTTTTTCGCCTTTATTTATGGCAAAAACACATTGATTTGGAAATTCTTGCAAAAATCAAATAATTGTCGGATTTTAATGAAACTTTCAGGAGAAATGAATGAAATGAGTGAAATTATATTTTTAGAAAATCTTAGTAAAAATTTTTTTTTTTTTTTTTACATTTATGCTAAAACCTAACAATTTCATGAAATTTCGAAAAATTTTATAAACATCTGAAAATTTTTTTATTATATAAAAAAAGGCAGGACTTCTTGGAGAATTTGTAAAAATCACTTTTTGATTCTAAACTACTTCTCAATTCCCGAAAATCTGCCCCGAATCGTAAAATGCAATAAAAGTAGAAATGATAGTGGCATATAAGATTATTAATCTATTTATAATTGATGCTTAGTAAAATAATTCATAAATTCAGAAGAAAGTTAAGCTATTCATGCGAGGATACAACGAAATTGAAAGTAAAAAAGTTAAAAACAATTCTTGTCTGACATATTCGATAAAACCATGATAAAGTAAGAATAATTGCTTTTACAATATCTAAAAGGTTTTACGTACCATTTTAAAATCATATCTAAGAATAATTCATTTATTAAAGGATTTTTTATTTTTTTTAAATCCTGAGACATGAAAAAATATTTGACCTTGTAAAAAGGCTGAACCAAAAAATAACAAATGAATCAACTGTTCAAAAAGATATATTCATCGCAATGTAAAATAACTCTGAGAACATATTCTAAACATACCAGAAAGTACAGGAGCCAATTGTTGAGGGTTCACATATCGATAAGCTAGCCGAATAACATTGCTCCGACTTCCGAGAAAAGAACGTAAGGCTGCACAAACAGCCATATTTTCACATGGATTGCATTTAAGTTACCTCCCTTTAGTGCTCTCCCGTTTACTCCCAGGGTCACGATTAGCATTGAACTTCACACACGTATACGAGTTAAATGTTATAATTTGTTCAGTTCTCTCGGTACTTTCATTTTAGTTTTAATTTCAAACCAATAGATTAAATCTAAATATTTCCAATAAGCAAAATGCTATTACACTAATTTTGGCATTTGTGCCCTGCAGCCTTCATCAAGTGTAGTACTCTGGGTAACCTACAGAATTCTGACCTTAACTTTTTTTTTTTTATTTTTGTGATTTGGAGACAGAACTCAGGAAGGAACGACTCAAGTTTTACCAGTTCACTCGCTGGTTACTGTTTTCTTCATTCGCCTCAAGCTATTTCGGCATAATTCTTCAAAATGGAAGGCAAAGTCTTTGACGTCCGTTTGATTCAGAATTCAGCGGCGCCCCAACGGATATGCCCATTGTTGAATGGATGAAAATGTGGAATTGGTCTGCGAACTTTGTGCCAACAAGATCGAGCGCATCTTGCCTTTACGACTTCGAGGGGTGCCCTCGCTGTATATAGACAACTGTCTCGACAGAGGGCAGACGCGGAACAAATTAAACAGGTGACTGCATACGCGACTGACAAATTTAATGCGTTCGACCAATTTTGGGACAGCGTCTAGAAACTGTGGATGAATTCTGGCTGAAATGCATCGTTTGGCGCGGCTAGTAGGAGAACCGCTACCTGATCGGTGGATGGCATGTGCATTTGTGTCAGGACTGCCAATCATGTTAGGCGCTTGCTTCTTCAGGATGGACGACATGAATCTAGAACAGATTCTGACCCGAGCAAGGGCTATTATGACGGATGACGAAGGGTGCCAGGTATTGGCCGCCACATCCGTAGAGCCAACGCGCTCAAACTGAGGTTCCCCCTGCCAAACCTGTTAGCAGAACGATTACCTGCTACAAGTGCTCTGGACCCAACCATATGGCGAAGAATTGTACACAAGGACGTCAGGAAGGTCAAACAGAACGCAGAGGTCTGGTCGCGACAAGCGGTGTTTTCGATGCAACGGCATCGGACACATTCCTCAGAATGCCAGGGGAAACGCCTAAGGGGAGAAGGCGTCAGCGCCAGCCTTCTCCCCGAACAAGTCAAAACCTGAGGCTACCCACCGTACAAGTATTTGTAGATTTTGCCAAATGGATTCAGGATGCTCACAGACTCTGGTGAGCAAGATTTGGAAGCGAGTGTTTTAAGTGCCGTGGATACGGTAAAAATTAAGTTGGGCGTCGAATATTCAGCCCGTGAAGGTTCTGGTCGTGGAAAAATTCGATCTTCTTCTCGGGATTGATGCAATCAAAGTGCTCGGAGGTGTTTATTAGCCGAATCAAATCGTTTCGGAAACCTGAACACATGTGCCGCCATTGTTATCAACAATGACTTTTAACGTTTAACCCGAGCACAAAAACGTGGACTGCATTGTGGAAGTGGGCAGTGGTCATTCAAGTTGGTCAATAAAGTACAAAAAAAATGCATACGATGAAGAACTAGCACGGTGGCAGCGAGACGGATGGCTACTGCCATATCCTGAAAAGCTTGGCCCACAAAAATTCCTTAATGGCGGTCGTACAAGAACACAAACAGAAGGTCCGATTTATCGGGAGTTGAACGGCTTTGTAGACGCATTCACGGCTTTATTTGGCGACGAAAAAGATGACGTATCGCTGTTGGATTTAAAGATTTTAATGGCCGTTTCAAAAGTGGTCATTAAGGGCAAGCGTTTTTTTACGCGTTTGGGTTTTGGCCTGAATGTGGCACCTCTTGTCAAAGTCAGTGATCGACATGATAACGTTCAGGACATTAAGAGTGCCACGTCGGCATACGTCGACGATATCTTCATAAATGAAGGCCCTAGTTTCTGCAGCGCGTGTAAGACACTTTTGCAGATTTAGTTTTAGCGATTGAAGACGGAACTGAGGTCCTGGGTCTGCAAGTCTGGGGAAAACAACTCCCTTCGATGGAAGCAGGAGGTCAAGTTCAGAAATTGCTGTTGAGAAGCGTATTTTATCCGGGGAAACTTGTGGGTCATAGACATTTTTATTGTTAACCAAAGGATGGGACGACGAGATAAAGGATGCCCCTCTTGGACGTATGCTAGGTGGCCAGAGTGCGGGAATCATCCTGTCGGCGGAGACTGGTGTGTGAACGGCAATTGACAACAATTGGCCACAGGAGTTAGAGGTGAATGGGATGTGGAAGATGCTTGCTGGTTGCGTTGATGCCAAACACATTAATCTTGCTGGGCTTGATCACGGTGATCAGGGCGTGAATCTTGCCCTGCAGTGGAACCAGTTATTTTATTCAGCATAATGTTTAACGTACGAAGGCGGGGGTGAAAATCTTAAAAGCTTTGGTTAGCACTGAAAATGAAATCTTTATAAGTAATCTAATGGTTTTAGTGAATTTGAGCAAACGTTTATAGTCAATTATTTGCAAAGATACTTGTTGAACTGGTAAAATGTTAGAAAAATCGATCCAGCACCAATTAAATTTTTTGGAGCAGGTTAGCAATGGACGTAACCCATTGCAATGGTAGCCATTTTTAATTATTTTTAGTTACTGAGGCGGCAAGACTCTGCTGGTGTCGTTAGTCAGCTAGAGACAGTCTTAAATTGACTGACAATGACACCTTCCAGACAATTTAGAATTTGTAAACAGCTGGGGCGTGCATTTGAACGTGCCGTCTAAATTTAAAGCGTCAAAAAAGGAGAAGCGGTTTACTGGCATTTAAGGACAACCTTTCACCTTCCACGGCAGCTGATGTACTGATTTAAACGCCCCGCCTGAATCAAATAACATAAAAGGAAGGGGACATTGTCTTTGGTAAATGCGACCAAATTTGGAACGGACGTGTGACCGGTGGTTTTCTCTTGGAAGGGTTTTTAAAATTTTTTGCTCTTATCTTCTGAACAGCCAATACATCGATTCAACTTTTTTGCCAATATGGCACTCGGAGGAGCACCGGAAAACTCACTACAGAAGGGAACGACTCAAAATACCAGTTGAGCTTTTTTTCTCTACTGTTTTTTCATTGCCTCAAATTTCCATCAACTGTTCTCATTATGACATATCTAAGTTCTTTTTACTGCTTTCGGTTATTGTTCGCCCATTTCTACTGAGTGTTCTGATTGAACTCACTACCACTATGTTACCAAATTCATGAACCAGAAATTAATTTAAATTGAATGCGATATTTTGCCAATATAGCTGATATTTAGCGATTTTAACGATTAAAAAAAATCGTTAAAATCGCTAAATATCAGCTATATTGGCAAATCTGTCAACAAAAACATCTTTCTCTTTATTAAAAAAAAATCTTCCCAAAATAAAATATAATTTTCTGAAATTTTATTTGAGGAAGATTACCTGATTTAAAGTTTAATTAATCTGATTTGAAACAAACATTACTTACTTACTTTTAGTTTAAAATATCACAAAAAGGCATTTTTAACATGGGTGTGGGTGTTTCATGAGGTGTTGAGAACTATCACGATAGACTTATGTTTGGGAATTTTTTCTACATGGGACATAACAACAATCCTTGATGAATAACATAACACATTTTTTTATATAATTTTTTAACTACCCAGTAATCTTAAAAACTTAGGAAAATATTCTAAGTAATCTAATGTTTTATTGAATTTGGCTTTATAGTCTTATTTACAAAGATACTTGTTGAGGAAATGTTAGAAAATTACCAATAAATTTTACATTTTACAATAAATTTTAACTATTTATAAATACATTGTGACTCTAATAATAAGCAAAAGAAAAAAGGAGAAATAGTTTCTTTTTTCAAACAGGGGTTTTTGAAGCATCCATCAACTGCTTCTGTTACTATTTATCTTCTCTACAGCCAATCGACTGTGTCATGGCATAAACTCACTACATAGGGATCGTCTCAAAATATGAGCTATCTCCTTGATGAAAGGATGTAAAAAGTGATGTGTTCTGATTTACTATGTTACATAATCCATGCACCGAATTAATAGAAATTATCTAACTGGCATGATATAATTATGCTTCTTTTAACATTTTAAATAGGTTGTGTAAATTCACTGAAATTTGTCAGAAACTTGTCTCATCATTAGTTCTCATGAATGTAAGAATTTGAAAGTTTTCCGTTTAATGGTTAAGCAATTTAGAAAAATATACCAAAATTATGACTAAAAATACTGGTCGCAACAATTATAATTCATCTTATTTTAATTCAAGTGTTTTGGCAACTATTGTACACCAATTGTAGCATTGCAGCCCATATCAAACACCAGGTTTGTTCTCAGAGTACAGCTTCTTGCAGTCATATGCTTGTGGCTTAAAAATAACCCTTCAGCCAGATCATTACCCACAAAATGAAACCATGAGCCAACTGCAGCAGTAAGCAGATTTTTATTTTTGGGTTTTAACCTACAGCTATAAACAAGCAAAGCTGAGATGAGGCATAGGTGAGGGCTATGAACAGTCTAACAGACATCTTCCCTTTCATGTTGTTCTCTGTGGGCTCTCGCAGTCTCTCTGCCTTTCCGTAGGCAGTAGTTACTGTCTTATAGAGAACATTGTTCTTTGTTTTGTTGTCTTTGTCTAAAAAAGTAATTTATCTTCAATCAGTAACCCTCTCTGTCCCAATCCCTTGCTATGTACTTGTGAAGTCCACTTTACTTACTGATAACCATCAGGGAAAATAAATGTCTGAATCCCTTTTTCTGACAGGTCTAGCTGTTTTCCATTTAATAACTTATCAGCTGACTGATATCACTACACAATTATCATGCATGATACCCTAACCTAGTCTTTATTATCCAGTTTTCTTCATTCCAGAAAGAGTTCCCTGGGTTTATATTATGTTATGATTTTGTTTGTTCCTTCGTTACTTAGTCAGTACATACGTTACGCTCTGCCAAATGTCTGTACGGATCTATTATACATGAACATACATGCATACAAATTACATTTACAATGCCAAGCATTCATTGGTTAATAAATTACCACTACATTTCTACAGGCAATTTACAAATCGCAGCAATGCGACAATTTTGTAATTGCTCTATTTTTAAGTAGTCATTTTTGTGCACTTTTGGGAGAAACAGATCACAGAAGCTTTCTTAAGTCTCCCCAAAGCTCGCTCGCTGATTGGTCGATGCCAACCAACCAGATCATTTGCACGTGAAGAATAATTCTTCCCACGCAACGATTTGGAGCCTATAGTCGCTTATTTAAGCCAAAATATTTTTCATCTCAATTAGTGAGAACTCAATTGCCAAATGAATCCACGACAGTTGAAACCATGCGCCAACCTTCTCACTCACACACACACTCACATGCTGAACATAACGTGTACACACACACAAAAAACTCTTCTTACACAGCAATATCTTTCAAGAAGAATCATTACAAGAGACTCTCATGAACATTTTTCCAGTGAACCTTAAACCAAATAACTATCTCTCACTGAACACTAAAATAGCAGATAAAGAGAGGCAACTCTTGGTTACTTCAACATTTCTTCATGTTTTCTTTCACATCGTTGATTGATATTGTACATCTTGTTAAAATACATATTCTATGTGTAATAATCTCTTTTGGTTATCCTTCTTGTGTGAGCCTTGTTTCCTAATCAAAAGTTAAATTAATGTGGTGAAGTCTACATGTCTCATAAATAATGAACTATTCCATTTTGATTGCAAGGAAAGATGGAAAAGACATATCAGAGACACTGGTTACAGTGAGAAAAAGAAAGAGAGAAAGAAAAAATAGAAGAGGCGATAACACTCTCATATGTTTAATGGTTGCTTCAGTGAAATGAAAAAAAACCTTTGTTGCTTTAACTGATTTGTTTGATGTTTCTTTTAGCATCCACTGTAGGGGAATGAAAAAGCCATATAGCCACATCTTCTCCTGTGTCTGAATGGCCCAGAGACAGCCACATCTCTACTCTCTGAAAATCAAAATCTGTAGGGTTTTATAAGTTTCCCCAGAAAATAGACCTGAGAATAAAAGGGTTTTATTTTTCTCTGATTGTTAATATTTAACACCCCCTCCCCACACGAGGGATGTATGTGACACAAGGCTGAGTTTACCGTGGGTTATCCAAGTCTGTAGGCTCGGCCAAAAATATTCCCTTAGAACCTGCATAAACAGGTTCAGGGTCTGTCTACCTCCCCAGACAAAACTTTGCCCTTCAGCAAAACCTCATCCAGGTTCCTCTCTGCTCAAGGCAGAGAGTTCGACAGTAATGGACAGTTTGGAGCACTGTTCCTCTGATTGTTCAAATATTTCACATGGTGATGTTAATTTCTAACCACTAGACATTTTGATTTAAATGGTGTGGAATATTGGTTTTTCAAGAAGACACAAGATGGCAGCCATGTTAGCAGGTAAGTCACTTGATTTCTACAAATGGTTTCTGTTGTATTGTTGTATATTTTCTTTGCATGTTTGTAATATTCTCTATTATAAGGTAGAAAATAAAGTATGGATATTTTTTAATATGGTATGTATGTGGGTATGCAATTGTGATGGAAATAGGGTTTATTTTTTATAACATTATAAGGCTGGGTGTCATGATGGATGTATTGGGCTTTGTATATTTGTACTTCTGCATCATTTTATTGGTGTGCTGCTATTTCAATAACCATAGTAATAATAATCAATGCAATGATTTATTTAACAGGCATATCTATGTTTGCTTTATTTGTATTTTGTTGTTTGGAATTCAGATTTTTAATATAAAAAAAAACATGAACAACTGAATTTCCTACAAGGATATACAAGGCTCATGTGTCAACCAAATGTCCATATAGTGACAGAGTTTTAAAAGTAGTGCATAAACTTGAAGGTGGGGCCCAGTTATAAGTAACTTCAATCATGTCAGACGGTTCCTTACTGAGAGCATTCCCAAGTATCTAGATGTGACTCCCAAATAGCCTTGTTTGACTGTCTTGACAAACAAGAAAAAAAGCCATGAGAAACTGCAAGTTTATTAGCTGAATTAAAAAGAAAGCCAACATTTGTACACAAAGCTGCACAGAAGAGTACAATGAATGATGAAGAAACTTCCAAGTTAATGTCTTTACAATAACTTAGTAATAGATATTAAACTTTAAACAATAGAAACACTAAATAAGTTCTAACCGGAATTTGCATTCCGGAAACATTTAAATCATTTAATTTCCTTCCTTGTGCTGTGGCTACTTTCCGTTTGTAATTTCATGTTCTGTAGGTCAATAAGTTTATGAATGACCCAACTCTTACTTAGACTACATTTGAAAAGATAAATGCACTCTAAATTATAAATCATAATTTTATTTTTAGAAAATAAAAAGAAAGATTTCTTATCACATATTTTAATTTTAATCAAAAAACAAATATTTTATTTTTAACAGAATAAATACTTAAAAATAAGTATTTAACTAGTAGTCTGTTTTCAATTTTCAATCTACAGGGTGATCCGAAAGTCTTGTCACCGTTACATAGTGTAAGTAATTTTCTATTTCAACGCTCTGTGTGGTACTATCATCAAGGAGAGAGAGAGAGTTTCATATGATCCACCACAATAACCATCAGTTGAAGAATCCCATTCGGAGAGCCTTTGCAACAATCAACAAAGCACAGCGTCATAAAAAAAATATCACACAGGACATATGGCGCCGCATCATTTTGTGTCACGAAAATGGTGTTCATACAGACCTTCTCGATGTATGGCAGCACCAATAAAAGTAAATAAACTGAATCCAGTGCATGTGCTTTGTATTACTTGTTCTTCTATCGTTCTCATTTTTTTTTTTTTTATTGTAGGTGGCGGACAAGACTTTCGGACAACCATGTAGTTCCCTTGGTGTAGTGATTTCATTTCAAATTTAAATGAAGAAATTTAGAAAACTTTTGAAAAATAGAAAAAAATCACCTAAAATATTATACAAAAAGAATATTTTCATAATTGTAATCAGAAGTTGAACTAAAACAGTAGGACAATAACACTCAGACTGTGAAAATAAGTTTGTTTTTTAATTTTCCTTCGAATTCTCATTCATTTGAAAATTCAAATTTCTATCAGACACAGTCCCGAATTATTTTTGTAAATCGTTTTAACGTTTATTTTTCTATCCAAGAGATAAATTATAAATTTAATTTATTTTAAATTATTTTGAAAACTTCTTTAAAACAATGTTTTAAAATAAAAAAGAAATTATTACTTAGCGTAACATATTCGATCATAAAAAAACAAAATGAAACAAATTACGAAACTAAATCAAGCAATTCTAACATCCGGGTCATGTTGCTATGACAACCTGACAAGCTTATTGTTGGCTGTAAATAAGTTTCAGGTTGATGAAAAAAAAATTGTGAATAACTGAAAAGTAAAAACGAATGAAATCATGAAGACAAAAACTTACACCAGCGAAACACGAATGAGAAAGAAGGACCTTGTGGAAGGCGCATTTACTCATCAGTCTCTGCAATCTCATGTCCAAGTAAGACGACATTAATTTTTTGTTTGTTTGTTTTTTTGTTGTTTCTTTTTTTTGTGAACGCTGATTTTGAAGTCGAAGTTGTTTTGAATAAGACATTCATTACATTAAAATTTGTGTACAATAGATAAATAATTAGGAGACCTAGATAGACGGATAGCTAGATTGATGGATTGGAAAAAATGAAGAGAATGAGATCGAACTATGGACAAACTGAGATATGTCATTTATTGTCCTATCTTAACGAACCTGACACATCTGATGAGAAACTAGTAAGTTACTACTACTAACTATGGCTCTATTTTTTTACTCTTGTCAACTATTCGACTATAACAGATATAAACCAGTTGAGACACAGAAAATAGGGAAAGACATTTTCACCACTGAAATAGACAAGGAGGTACTGAAAAAATGTTTATTCTTTAAAAATTAAATCTATCCAATTTTTATTTATTTTTGAAAGCCTTCTCAGTCAGGTCAAGAATTCAGTAACTTTTCATATATGAAAAGACTGAGATTAACTAAAGACATATCCCTACAAGCAAGCTGCTATTGGCCCTCTGGCGGGCCGCCGATGGCAACACCAGCGGTCTTCAGGTGGCAGCCACCGGCGGGCCACCGGTGGGCCTCTAGCGGTTCGCCAGTGGTAACATTGCCAAGATGAACACTCCTGTGGTCCAACAGCAGGTCACCAGCTGTAAACACTAGTGATATGCTACCCAGTGGCAGATTGTTGGGTTGCATGTAGGGATGTATGCATTTAAGATAAGTATATACTGATATATCTTTGAAGCAACAATCAAAATTTTCTCAGCCCAACCAAAAAGAGATTAAAAAAAATCTGCAATTTCATTATTTAATCAGATTTTGAGAAGTGAGTTGTGCCAAAGCCTTTTCAGCACCCCCTCATGCTTATATATGAAAAAGGTGAGATTCCCTGAAGAAAGAGTGTGTGCATTCCAAGATATATATACACTTAAATATTTCTTATTACTAAAAACTTATTACTTTTATAGTGGGTACATGTATTTGAGTTAACATCCCTAAAACATCTTGTCACTACAGCATCTTTTGAGAGAGAGAGAGAGAGAGAGAGAGAGATTTTCCCCTTACTTTTATACTGCTTTATGCAATGTCACCTAGTGAGCATTAGAAGTCCCCTAGCAAACAAAGTAAGGTAAGATAATCCCACAACCTCAAGTAGTGCAGACATAGGAACACCACATGTGACAAACACAGTTTTTTGATCAATGAGAACAACCTCAACTTCTTAATTTTCAGAGCCTAACTCACATAAAAACACAAAATACGAGCTGATAAAGAAAAAGTCTTTTGAAACTGATACATCACATAGAGATCAAGTTACCCCTCCTATATTTCTACTGTTTGACCAGCATATTACCTTTGGCGCCAGTAATTTCAAATGGTATAATTCTCATTATCCCTCACAATTAATGACTGTTGGTCACTCCTTCTCCTTTAAGTGCAGACCCCTTCAGATCAATCATGAGTCTCCTAACAATATACAATAGAAAATTTCAACAATCTCAAAATAAATGAATCCAGCATCTATTTACTTCATTTACAAAGCACAAAACTGGAAATGGTTTAATCAAGTTAATACAGCCCCTTAAAATATGAATACAAGCAAAATGAGAACTAATGTTGGCGTGTTTGTTGAACTGGAATATTTCCTTGTGCAATCGAATTAAGTCGACTCCCCATGAAAAATTATTACCTGTAGAACAACATTTCCACCTGGAAAAACATGATTTCAAAACCCATGCCAAATTCACTATAATTGAGAGAATAGAAAAGTTTAGAGCAGATAACATTAGAAAGATTTTAGAGTTCTGTGAAAATAAGTGGATAGAACATCTAAAAACACACTATCCAGCCAGGCTAAACCATAAATTTAACAATATAGATAGTACTAATATATAACTTTACAAATCAAAACCTACCCACATTTCTCACCCACACAAGACAGGCATGCTTACGGAGGTGTTGAGGCCTCACACATACACACACCCACACGAATATACACACTTACACACATCATACTCACTCACTCCCTAATGAGCCAAATGATAACACACACCCACAGCAATACACCCGCTTACACATATCATACTCACTCACTCCATAAGAACCAAATAACACACACACAAACACTTAACAGAGACACATCCCCTCTCCAGGAACCAATAAAACTGTCAAACTGACCAGGGTAATTCAGGGAAGCATAGATCCATCCAGCTCTTATCTCAAATAACAACTTAAAAGAGACTGTTTGACAAACACAAGGAATGTTAAAAGATTCATGTTAAAAAGATAAAAAAATAAAAAAAACAAATGAAAACTACAGACAAAAGTTCATTTTTTCCATCAAGACATTCATTTCTGTAGTTTACTGCTACCAGCAAGCAGAAATATTTCTTTTCCTGATGATGGCCATTTTGGCCAAAACTAGTCGAAGAATCTAAATGAAATAATAATAAAAAAAACGAAAGAATGTTAATCTACAACCCAGTGTGTCTGAAGATTTTAATCTTTTAATATTTTTTTATTGCAAAAAAAAAAAAAAAAAAAAAAAATATATATATATATATATATATATATATATATATATACGCACAAACACAGAGGGTGCAATGGATAAATTGTCATCTAAATTATACAAAAATGAAAATAACACTGGCATCTCATTTTAACAGATATATATTTACCAAAATTACACAAAAATATCTTGAAATACTAAAGTAAATTTATTCAATAAAATTGTCATTGGCATCAACCATGCCCTCCAGACAACTTTGGAATCTCTTGCAACTCTTCTGGATAGTCTCCTTGTTTAAGTTGGTGAATGCTGCCATAATCCTTGCCTTCAGTTCATCTTTCGCATTGCAAGGAGATTTGTTGGTCTCTCACTCAACTGTACCCCACACATAATAATCAAGGATGTTACAGTCTGGGTAGTTAGGTGGCCAGATATAAGGGGTGATGTGGTCACAGAAATTGCCTGACAGCTATGACTGGGTTCTCCTGCTTATGTGACATGGTGCATAGTCCTGTTGCCAAACAAAGTGTATTCCAGCAGCCATCCTACTGACCCAGGGAAGCACTACTTCCTCAAGGCACTTGATGTAGGCCTCTGTGTTGGCATAACATTGCCATCACTGGTGATCACTCCAAACACCATGATCTTAACTGGATATATCATCCAACTCAAAATAGCTTAACATGGATATTCCACAGGTATTGATATCTAAGATACTCTTGTGTACCAAGTATAAATGCCAGTACAATTAAATTGTTTCCATCAATTTTCCCTCATCCTAGGTATGATGATAAGCTACACCTGGCAGCAAGGCCTCTGATTGAGAAATAGGAGGTTTGAGGAGTGTGGAACCACCTCTTAATTACTGTTATTCCCAGGTCCATCCTGATCTCGGGTGGTAGTACCTGTTAAGGTCTCAGCTATGGACAAATACTGAACCCCAAATAAAAATCAACAGTACATTTTTATAATAAAATTACCAATAATACATTTTTATAGCAAAATGACAATTTAACACTAAAAGAGTATAAATATCATCATCGTCAGCACCCACTCACAGCCAAGCATCAGGATTGTCATCCTCTCTCTCTATTCTCTTTCTATCCCTTGGTGGCAGAGATTGCTGTGAATCAAAGAGAATTTGACAAGGCCATTTGCATGAATTTGAATTTGGTGGACAGCTCTGCACAAAAGAGAAGCCCACACACTTAGCCAGAAGTGCCTCCCTCATAGCTGAAAGTATAGTATTGTTATAGTAAAATTACCAGCAATACATTTTTATATAAAATTACAAACAATACATTTTTGTAGTAAAATTACCAGCAATACATTTTTAAAAAATTACCAACAATATATTTTCTTATCTACAAACTATATTTCTAAAAAACACAAATTTGCTCTGAAAGTATAAAATTATGTACAAAATATCTGTAGTTTAAAGCATTAGAATCACATACAAAATATTTAGATTCCAGAATTAAATAGAGGTTGATATGCTGCTAAACAAAATCAACCAACCAACCAATCAATTTTACCTAAGAAACAGTGCTTATTTGGTATCAAACAATTATTATTTTTCAAATAATTCTCTCCATGGTACAATTATTTTGCTCCAGCAATCAAAATTTCCCTGTATATTTTATAAGATGAAAAATTCACACTATCCTAACTATTCCATATAATACTTATATTTGGTAAAAAAGAGTATTGTTATTACTCTTGTCAATATATTTCTGAAATTATTGAGACAATGTCATTTTTATATGCTTATTGAATATAAATTTACATATATAAAATTAACAGAACAAAATTAATAAAAATGAATATGTTAGGCTAGAAAGAAAGAAAAATTACTGGAAATATATGAAGGTGTAACTGGTCTACTGACAGACACTTCCATGGTCTTAAGGAATGGTTATCAAGTCTGATTCTGTTTGAAAAGCTTATAGTGGCAGAGGCCTTAGGGGTTAAAATGAACAGTTGTTTTACTCATACCAAGAAGGTTATTGAAGGATCATAATGACGAGGAAACACACAGGCAATATTAACAAAACAAGATAAGGAATTTATTTATGATTTTACATGCTTGAAGTTGTGTCAGTAATTAGTTTCAGGAAAATAAATCAGAAATTTTTAAGGTCCATAGTTTTAACTTAATTGTTATGAAGAGGAAATGTTCATGCAACAGATTAAGTGATATGACAAAAATGTTTAAAGCAAAGATAAGAAAATTTGTTGTTCACAGAAGGGATATATGGTTGCATAAATTCAAATGTAGAAGAACAGGGATAGTTTAAAATATTTAGCTTTCTAGGATCGTTGAGAGAAAATTCTTTGAAATGCCATATGCTTGATTAAAAAGTTGATAATGTAAATGGCGAATAATTTGACACTGGCAAAAACTTCAACACTGGACATGGTGAACAGAAACAAAACTTGTCAC